ATGAAGGCTGGTTCATTACATACATTGATCGTGATCCGGCTACAATTGAACTAGAAGAAAAAATGAGGAAAAAAGAAAAAGCAGAAAAAGATGACAAGGAACGTGAAATGGAGTTTTTGCAACGACAAATTTTAGAAGGTCAAAAAAAAGAATCTGCTGAAAAATCAACCGAAAATAACAATCATAGAGAACTTGTTAGGGAAGAAGATAGTAAATTGTCTCTAAATTTAAAAATGGATATTTTTAAAAAACCAACAGTGGCACCCCTTAAAAATTTATTGAGTACAGCTGGTTCTGAACGTATGTCTACGATATCAAAATCTAGTAGTCGAAAATCTGACAAACGAAAACTTTCTGCTCTTGAAGAAATTATTCATGAAGAGACTAGAAAAAAAAATTATATGAGAAAAGATCATTGGTTATTAGAAAATATTATAGTGAAAGTGACTACAAAAACCTTAGGTCTAGAGTATTTTGGCAAAAAAGGTGTAGTTATTAAAGTAATGGATAAATATGGTTGTATGATTAAATTATTTGATCCCAAAGTTAAATTAAAATTAGATCAAAATCATTTAGAAACTGTTATACCAAATATCGGTGGTCGAGTAATAATAGTAAATGGTATGTATGTAGGACGTGAAGCAGAGTTGACAAAATTAGATCAAGATAATTTTTGTGTTGATGTCAAACTTAAAAGTGGACCAGCCACTGGTAAAATTATAAGTCGTTTACCATTTGAAGATGTATGTAAAATCCATACAGTTATGTCATAATTTTCTTTATATTTCTAATAAAAATAATAAATGTATGATATACAACAGTCTTTATTTTTATTTTTGTGTAATTTAAATTTAAAAAAAAAAAAAACTTAAATAGAAAAATAATTCACTTAAATAATTATATGATTTTAATGTTAAAAAATGAAAAAAATGTCTAACTTCTTATACCAGAGGAATAAATAAATACAATTAATCAAATGTATTTTACATTAGTTATTGATTTGTAGATAAAGAATCTTCAAGTTTTGGAATTTTTATTGGAGTTTTTGAATCGGTTTCTTCTTGTTTTGGTCGTTTGCGTACCAAATGATTGATGTTGGATACTTTTTTGGTAGTTGATGATTCACCATTTGAATTTGATGCACTAGCAGCACCTACAGCTGCCAATAATGCGCTCACTGCAGCTTTTTTACGTTCTCTGATATCAACTATTCTGTCCTGGATTTCAGGAATAATGGATTTTACTTCAGCCACTTCTTCCTTTACATCATTGTTATCGGTCAATTTTTCTAAATTTTTAATTCTTAGGTCCAAAACAGCTGCAGCTTCCATTAACAACTCAATCGCTCGTTCACCACTTCCACCTAATTCTTGTGCAATACCCAATTGAAACAAAGTTTCAGCTAAGATACGACTATCCTCTGGCAACAATAATCTAAAAATTAAAGTTATATAATTAAAATAATTAATAAAAATTTAAAAAACCAAATTTACCTTCGAATTTCTAAGGATTCTGTCATGTCTTGAATAGCAGTTTCAAATTTTTCATCTTCAATACTAACTTCTCCACATTTCATTAATACTTCAGCGAGTTTTAGTTTTGCTTCTTCGGTATCTTTATTTTTATAAATTACTTTAGCTAAGTCAAGCATTTCCCAAGCAAGCTGTAAATCATTTACATCATCTTCTTCAATATCTTCTTCATCTGGTTTAACTCCTTCACCATCAGACTCTTCTTTATCAGTTAATTGTTCTTCAACTTCATCAGATTTTTCTTGTTTATCAACAGACGTTTCTTCTTCCACTGTTTTGCACATATCAAATTTATTTTTCTTAACAGCACAAATTTCTTCTTTTGTCGACTTGTCTTTTACTTCATCTATATTATTAGATGAAGAACAGTTTGTCTCTTCATTATTTACATCATGTTTATCTGCTTCAGTTAAACTTTGTTCTTGAACAGAAACATCTTCATTTTCTTCCTCATCTTTTTCTTCAAGTCCGACAGGACTTATTTGATCCTTACCGAGTTCAAGAAGGGCACATCCATAATTGAAATAAGCTTCTGCACATTCTTCGGCCATTTCACCGTATACAATACCAAAAAGGTTGCATGCTTCACTTAAAACATCGGCAGCAGCTTGGAAGTCTTTAATTATTAAATGACGTTTACCATCAATTAAAAGTTCTTCAGCACGCTTTTTATGCAACTCAATGTCTTCATCACTAGGCTCCTCATTTTCTTTATTTTCACTTTCAGACAATCCATCAACGACCTTAGATTCTTCTAAAATATCATTACTCTGTTCTTTATTTCCTTGGGAACCATTTTCTTCAGTTTTGGATTTTACATCGAATGCTTCAATTATTTCTTTGGCATCTACTTTGATTTCGTTATCTTTTTGTACTACTTCAGAAGGCATTTTAACCTATGAAAAAAAAAGTTATCTTAATAAATTATTAAAATTACTACGAAATAAAAACTGATTTCTTCATGGTATAATTCACAATCGACTTTTAAAGAATAAAATATAAATAGTAAATGGTTATCGTTAGTGCCAAAAATTCGAGTACTTCGCTATGACAAATCAAAATATTTTAAAATAACGAACCTAATAGTAAGTACACTTATGATTTCGTTGCATAATTGTTTTTGGTATTTATTATTAATTAGTTAACATATAACACTATCTGAGAAAACCTTCTAGTCTAGGAAAGTTGAGTCAAATTTATTATTATGTTAAACCATAATTATATAAATTATATATAAAATATAATATAAATTGATTTTTCTATATAAATTCTAAGTACTAGTGTTAAGGGTTTTAAATTAATGCACGCTAATTTTGAACAATCAATAATAATCTTATAAGTATATATAAAAGCCGAAAATAATCGCAGTACACTTTAAAATTTGATACTGCACACAATTTTGAGCCATATTTGACGTCAAATTAAGAATAAAACAATCAAAATTAAAATTTAGTATGCGAAAAAATTTTAAAATACAAAATAAAAATGTATTATAATAATATTTTTTATGTTGGCAATCCTTATTCTTGAGAATGTTTATTCGAGTTTGGCGCTCTTAACACCCCAGTTCCAGATATTATAGATCGGGGTAAACATGCTTTTATATGCACTGGAGCCTCATAGTCTACTCGGCACCTAGTTATTGCTTAGTAACGTGTGGTTTCATAGTTAATAATGCTCGTTAGGAGCCAACTTTAAATTTGCTGATGAAATTATATTATTAATGATATATATATATAGGCATACTAATAAAACTGTATCATTATTGGTAAGTTAATTTCTAATAAATACATATTTTCATTAATTAATACTAAACAATATTAAAAAAAACTTTACAATGAAAAATATTATTTAAAACGTTGTAATTATAATTTAAACTTAAATAAGTTCAAATAAATGAAAATGTAAATGATTTTTAATATTTTGTAACAAATTATTTTTGTTGAGTATATTTATTAGCAAGGATTTAAAAAAGATACTTCATCAATACTCAGAATCGCGGACGTTTTGCCCCCGTCTATTAATAAGTTAGGACATTTGACCCTCGGTTGGGTTAGGTTATTACTAATTTAAATGTAATAATGATAATGATATTTTATATTTATTGTAAAAAATAAGTGACCTAATATAAATAATAGTGTAAATGTATTTGTATTGTAAATGTGATTTTGACTGATCATTATATTTTTGAAAAATAATAGTGATTTTAATGTAATACAAATTATAATATTTGAACAAATGTGACAGGAATAAATAATGATATAATATTTATAATTTATGTTTACTCAATACAATTGTAGGTACCTAAATTATTATTATAATTTTTTTTTATTGGTGCTTGTAACCGTTCGTCGATTGTGGTGAGTACGGTTTATGCAATATATGGCTATTGTGGATTTAAATTTTTTTGTGCAATTAAGCGTTTTAAAAATAATTTAAATTTTAAATTAAAAAAAAAAAATCAATTTAAATTTAGTGATTTAAAATTCCAGGGGCCTAATAAAAGATGGGGACGAAAAGTCCTTTTACTCAATACTCAGTCACCAGGCATATTAGAATCCAATGAATTAATACGTATAAAATGCTTATTTTATTACTAAAATATAATTTATTTAATTAAGTATGAAAATATAAAATACATCTTGTTCAAATAAATTTTAATGAAACCTGAACTATTAAAGCAAAACTTTTTTTCTCATTTTGTATCTATACTAATCGATTCACAAAGGCTGAGAAAACACAATACTATAAATATTATTTATTATACAATGTATAATGTAAATAATAAGATATTTTACAAAATTAAATTAATTAATAAACCAGAATTTTAACATTGTTATTTCGTAATTTCGTTTTCATTTGAAAACTTTCATTTTAAAGGATATATTAACGCGATTGAATTCGCTTTCTTTACTCATAACAGAAACTATTAAATTTTTTATTTATCTAAAACTTCTATAAAAAAAAGCAGTTATGGTTCGAACCTGATTTTTCGGTGTTGAATCGAATTATTAAATTTTCTTATCGATATTTTGAACTCGTCATTTTTTCCTTTTATAAATATATTGAAATTATGAAAATTTTACTTACATTGTACAAAATTCAATACATCTAAAAATATATAATAAATTATAATAAATATTAATTAACATCCAATACTATTATTTTTGATCAAATTTTTAAAAATATAGAGTATAAACAACATATATATTTTTCCTTTTCACTTTTCCAAAAATAGATTTGTAGTTTTGATCATATTATATCACACATCATAATTTGTGATAATATTACCTAATTGTAATAATATATAAAAAAAAAAATAGTTGATATTACTATGATACTCACTATAAACTATAAAAAATTAATTTTAGATTGTTCGATTACGAATAATTTCAAGTGAACATTTCGAACATATCTAAATAATAAATAGTTCGGTTCGACTCATCACTAATAAAAAAGGTTAACTAATTCAGTTTAAACCGGATATCTAATCTACTAAATATATAAGTACTGTAATTTTCTTCAAATAATTAATTGTAACATATACTTTTATGAGTTTGGTTTTAGTTTGGAGAAATAAATAATCTAATAAATATAAGAATTATAGCCTAATTTCAGCAAAATCTGTTTTAATATAATAATTAGATTACGATGGGAATTATTATTTATGTACTTCTATAAAATTGACATTCAATTTTTTTATTTTTAAAATATAAATTTATTTTGTTTAATATCAATAATTTTATTATTTAAACATTTTATATATTTATACAGTGACATACTTAGTATAATTAAAAATATTAAAATGGATACGGTGACTGTTCATTATTGGCCAACAGAACCCCAGAGCTGTTCATCTATACAACCGTTATCTTTTATCCTTACCATCACCTTAATACTTACATCGTGTACAACACTTATGTTATGTACGTCGGTTTGGACTGATCATTGGGAAAATATGGAGTGGGATTTTCAAGAAGTAAGTTAGTTCAACATTTAATATTCTTAGATAATATTTATTATTTTTTAGGTAATTTCGGTTTTGAAAACATTAAATAAATCTTCAAAATGGTTAAATAATATAAAAACCGAATGGTTAGTTAATGGAACTACACTCAAAATAACAATTAATGCAGCAAAATCACTGCCACAAAATAACGACGATTCCACGCTTGTTTTAGCTACATCTAATCAATATCATCACACAAATTTGTATATGCATTCATTATTGTATAAAGCAGGAGAAACAGCTACAGTAATATTAGCTCCGATGTATGGTGGAATCTGGACTTTATGTATATCTCTATCAGGTACTACTATAGTTATTTCACCTAGAATGTTACACACGTATGCACATTGAAAAAGAAACAGGACCCAACAGCGTTACCTAATGGATTTGTGAAAACCTTTTTATTATTTTCTAACAAGGTTTCTCAGCGTCTCAGTTAGTTAGCCAATTATTCTGTTTTTGTTAAACCGAAACCAAATCGAGTATGCGTAAATAATAAAATAAGTAGATTTTGTCAGATGCACATAACAATTTAATCTGGATATTTCCACTATTAATTCATATGCTATATTAAAAACCACTTTAGTGATCTATAAGCAGAGTTGAGCAAAAACAAATCAAAATAAAGAATAATAAATAAAAGCATGAACAACTAATTTATTTATGAATAAAGAATATTTTTTTATTCTCAATAATTGTGGTGTACTGAATAAGGAATAAAATTATTTTGGATAGTTTTATTCATGAATAAAACAATTATTCAGAATAAATTTATTCCTTAAAATCATGAATGATATTAATTTTTTTTTTTAACTTATGTATTAAACTAAACGTAATCATAAGGGCATGAATTGTGCGCTATCAAGATCTAAATTTTGATAACTAAACAGGTTATTAGCAGAAAACTATTATAGAATATTGGCGTTTTTACATTAATCTTTGTAGATATATCAGTAAATTACCAAACAAAATTTTACTTACTTTTCAGTGCATTTTATAAGGAATTTTCACTGGGCGACAAAAAATGTATTTCTCAAAATAGTCAATGTAATACCATAGTAAGATTATAGTATTACACGTTAGTTTCGCATTATTTCGACCAATCTTTCAAAATATTGTCGACGAAGTATAATCATTGGGCGACATTTGTGTCACCTAGTTAACTAGTTAAAAAATGCACTGGTACTTTTCATATCATTTAACACTTTAATAATAATTATAACAATTATTGTTATAGTAAACTATAATAACGTATGTGTATCAAGAATAATAACATTTTTATATTTATATATATTATATTATTTAAGTCAAAATAATAAGTCTATTATTATATACATCGTTATTTAGGATTTAAATATATTATTTATATGATTATAGGGAATAATGAATAATGAATAATAATACAAATTAAAATAATGAATAAAAATAAAAATCAATAATAAAATCAAGAATAAATCAAAGAAGAATAATTTTTTATTCAAATAATCAATTGAATAATATTTTATTCGACTAATGCTCAACTCTGTCTATAAGTTCTATTAATTTATATTTTATAATTTATACCACTCAACACCTTATTTAATTCAAAAGTCCCTATAACTGTTGAAATATTTTAAAATGTTTAATATATACATACACATATCCATACACTGTATGAATAATAAATGGTATTAATATGCAATTATATAAATCACTGAATCAGTTATTATTGAGTATTACTGATAAATATTTTATTTTATTGAAATTATAATAAAGTACTCTCTGTGTGGGAATTTAAACTATTTTGATTATAAAAAAATGTTCACACAGACTTAAAAAAACGAGCCTGAATATTAACCTAACATAAAATAAAACAATTAATATTTAATAGTTAGTGAATAAAGTTTTTATTAATATAATACTAAGTAAAAGTTAGTCAAACTCAGTGGCGTACATTCGATCTTGCTCTGGGGAGGGTTTAACAAACCCTAATAAAATAATCATTATCTTTTTTTTTCGTTGTACAGATAAATACGATAAAAACTGCTATAAACAATTATTATTTTATACAACTATTTTACCAATTTACAATTTACTTTTACATTACAGTAAATTAATAGCTATTGGAAAATAAAAACAGCATAGTTAATAAAACTTTTCAAACACCTATCAATATAATTATTTAATTATCATAATATTTGTATAGTTGTATATTTTAAGTTCAAAGCGTAATAATGAAACTACGAATATATTACACGTCATCAATAATAAAACAATTTTCTTTTTCTTTTTTTTTTTGCCCTGGGGGGGGGGTTTGAACCCGGAAACCCTCCCCGTATGTACGCCACTGGTCAAACTAATATCTTAAAATCTTTTATTTTCTTGATGAATTGTAAATAAATTATGTTTATACTTGAGGATCATTACTTTTAAAACACAAAACAAATACATCATTAAATCATAATTTAATCAATTAAAATTTGCACTGAAAACCATGTTCGGATTTCAAAAAATGTATAAGTTTTATTCGAGTAGTATAACAAATGGCTGGTTTTAAATCATTTGATTTTCATCAAACTTTTGTAAATGGTTTTCTAATATAAATAGGTGACTTTATAATACAGGATTTTTACCATCAGTTATTGTGCAAACAAAAGGTCACGTAAGACAAAAACAAAATGTTTTCTACAAATATATTTGGAGACAGTACTGGTAAAAAATATCCCAAGTTACAAGCAAGCCAAATAACTATTATCCAAAAAATTTATAAACCATACATTTTTTTTTTTTACAAATATTTATTTTAAGTCAAGTGAATTTTAATATTTGTAGACAACCAGTTACTTCAACTGTACCAAGAAACAGATCAAAAAACAGGATGGGTGGTACCCAAATGTGTAAATTATTTAGCCGAAGGAGAACCTCCAGAAGGGGAGTATTTTAAACCAGATTGGCATCATAGTAAGTTACAATATAAAAATAAGGTTTGAAAATTCTTTTGTTCTATACTAAAATCGTTAAATAAATAAAAATAGGTATGGTAAATAGTCACGCAATTATTAATTTCAGGCTTGTATATATATATATATATAATGATTTGATTATAAATGCATGTTAATAGACTAACATCATTCTTATAATTTCACGACTGTTATTACTCAAGCAAAAATGCTAAAAAATATAAATGGTTGCATGGCAGAACCTTATTTTTCTACTTTAAAATCTAATCACGTATTTTATATAATATATATATGTAATACTCATAATTAGAGATAGGATTTATATGCATTTAAAAAGTGTCAAATATGATGTAAATATGTAAAGAAAAAGTGGCTAAATATGCAATTATATGCATTATGTTACACTTTATAAAATGTTTTTTTTTATAAACCACACTTTTATACCAAATAAAATTCTAAATATTTTATCAAAAACAAAAAAAAAAATGATAATATCCAATGCTTTATATTTCAAATTATTTAAATCAATCTTAATCTTTTAGGAAATTTAAAAACGAGAATACAATTAAAAAAAAAACTAAAAATAATATTTTAGATAATTTGAAATTATTTACTCTCAAAAAACTAATAGAAAACTTAAAAAAAAATAAAAATCATTTAAAATAATTTTTTTAAAACTTAATACCTATCATTCGTACTCTATTCGAGGAAATTACAAAATTTACTGTAGATTAAAATAGTTAATTTATTAAAAACCTATTAAATATGCAATAACTCTCGAAATATGCAAAATATACAATATAAAATTTGGTGTTTAAATTCAGTGTGATATAAATCGTGAACATTTTAAACCTCCATAAAATGTGCATAGGTACACATAGTACAAACATGCAAATGCATATAAATCCGGGCTCTACTCATAATACATTACTGAATATTATATTGAATAGGTTATTGACTATATTCATTTAGAATTATTACAGTAGTCCGGTTTAATTTATTTCCGGTATTCACTTTTAAAATCCGAATTGAATAAAATAATTAAAATTAAAATAGTTTATAATTATTTTTATTTATTCCAGTAAATTGACATTATTATTTGTAATTTATAAAGATTATGTATGTTTTATTTTGTTATTTTATAATTTTGATGTTGGTGGTTTATTATGAAAGTTAGTTTATTTCTAAAAAAAATAAGAAGGAACATTAAAATGTATCTCAGATCCTATATTAGGGCAATCTACATTAATATTAAGAATTATATGAATAAAAAAAAATGTTCTAGATAATGCTAATATATTCTAATATAAAACGAACTAAAAAGCAGTATAAAACTTTCAAGTATAATGGACTCGAAAAATCTTAACAATTCCGTTTTAAAAAATCCAACATTTTTCTTGCTTTTTTTTTATAAATTAGATCAAAATGGTCTTTAAATAAAATAGCACCTAAATCTTTTATTGGTGACACTGTGTAACACCTTTTGTGATTTAATGGGGTATGAAAAATAATTTTTGATTTAATCAGTTTAATTTTACCAGATAGATATAATTTAAATCAGAACAAAATAAGATCAAAAATTCCTGACAATTTTATTTTATAGACCAATAAGCCAAAATCTACTGATCAAATGCTTTTTTTATTTTTTTTTTATCGGTATACATCGCATTGACCGGGCTGCAATTTTTTATTATTTCTACAAGGTCTTTATAATATTGTAAGGTCCCAAATCGTCAAAACCTTATATGACATCCCATTTTCCGGAGGGTCACCAACCTACAGGGCGAGACCATCAGGCCGGACTACAATAGGATTTTGTATAGAAAAGAACAGTATTAGAAATAGTACTAATAAGTTCGGACTCGCACATCTAAATAGCAAAACACGTTACAAGCCCCTTAAGGTCAAAGAAAACTTGAGGCCCGACTCGGCCGACGCCATTTAATTCACATTTACATTTTTAAAAAAATATATTCTCTCGAGAAAAATAAGATGCTATCCCGCACATAGCCACACACCAACAAACCCGCAGTGTCCTCCTCGTCGGTCACGCTCGATTTTTCGTTAATTTACTATAATTTTAGTTTTAATTGGAACGATAACGAGTCGTCACTAGGGAAGCAACACAAACCATAATATAACATTTACCGAAAATAAATCATAATACAAAAAAAATATACAAATATCACATGATATCATTCCGTAGCGTTACAATATACTAATAAATATGTTATTATAGATTTTAAACAACGAAATCCATGTTGATTAGGGTGGATAATAGAATTTAATATTAGAAAAAACTTTCACAATAATGTTTTTTTCATAAGTTTAAGAAGAACATTGATTTTGGATACAGGTCTATGATTTATAATGGAACTTTTACCATCAGAAGATATGAAAAATATAACTTATAATATATATAAAATTATATGTTAAATTACTAAAAAACTGAATAATAATTATATACATTTTAATAAAATTATTATGTACTTATTTGTTTAAGGAATGCAAAATGTGTCAATATCATGTGCATTAGTTAGCATTATAATTGTTATTACCGCGTCTTTGATTGGAGTTTATTCTATTTGTCGACATCAAATTAGTGCTATATTAATTACGGCTGTAATGTATTTATTAGCAGGTAACTTTAGTAACATATAATACATAGATGTAATAATTATAACTATTTATTAAGTAGTTTCTATTCAGAAAATGTACTCTTAACTAAATACAAAATTTCAACCATTCTATAACAAATTATTTAGTAGGTCTATGAATGTAATCAAATATAATAGTGGGTTTTGTACTTACGGCCCGTTTCACATGGACGCGTATCATACGCACGTATATGAAAATGCGGCAATGACGCAACTCTTGTTTGTGTTTACATGAACGTGTACCTACGCCTACCTAGTTTTTGTAATATTATTAGATTACATGTCAGTTTTTATTTTTTATTTTATATCGTCCAGACGTATCAATGTAGAAGACCAAAGAAAAAAAACTATTCGTGTAAAGCAGTGATGGCCAAACTTTTTTTACCATGGGCCATAAAAAAATGCATTTTCAATTTTTTTTTTACGTAAATGCAAAATATTACAGTTATACAAATAAGTGCTGTAATATAGAAGACTTTCGCGGGCCAGATATTAAATGATGACGGGCTGGAGTTGGCCTGCGGGCCGTAGTTTGGACATCACTGGTGTAAAGTATAATATATTTAAATTAGCAAAATAAGACTGGATTCAACCCAGTGGCAAATTTAAAGGGGGGGGGGGGCAAAAGGAGCAAATGCCCTAAGCGGCAAATTTTTGGACAAATTATATAGAGAAAAATAGTACTTTGCCTTAAAATATTTAGGTTAGTGCTAGTTCTAGTAGAAGTCTTACTACTAATGCATGTGAAAGTTTTCACTCTTAATTCAACTTAAATTTTTTATCTCCATCATTCTAATATATTTAAAATAAGAACCAAATACCTACCAAAGGACCTCAACAAATATGCAAAATAAACAATTAATTCCAAAAATTAAGCGTACACAATGTTCTCCTTCACACACTTGTGTGGTAACTGCTACCACACAAGTGTGTGAAGGAATTTCTGTGTGAAGTTTGAACAGAATGTAAACATATAATCACGCACTGTTCAATTTATCGCTGTTGACGGAAGCGTCGGGCTGCGACAGTGCAAGGAGCACGATCAGCGCGAGTGACGTGTTGCGTGTAGACATACTTGCGTTGCCGACTTTTATGCTCTTTTCCCCGTTCAGTTACAAAAGTGAAGAGAATGTAACTGAGATAAAATGCAATCCTTCAGATCGAAATTTTGTACATAGATAAAAGAAAAACCACACACATCATCGTAAGACCCATGCAATCCTCCTATTTTTGCCCAGAATTTAAAATGATATCCAATAACGTTTGATTATAAAATCAAATTAATTTATAGGTAACATTTTAAAATTTTTACTACCTACAATCGAATGTATTTTTTTTAAATAGAAATCAATAACATAATAACATACATTTAATTTCACTATAATAACTTGGAAAGAGAAATAACTTAAAAACCTAATTTAATATATATATTTTTTTTTTTGTTATTAGCCACTTTTGGTTTATTCACTTTAGGAATCATGCATAATAAACATCAATCAAGAAAAACTCACAGTCAGAAAAATTGCAATCGATCATTAGCACTAATAGATGGTATGATCTATGTTAGAGGAAACATGTGCCAAACAATAAATTTTTGGGAACAATTACTAACTGCAAGAATATATTCACTAGGATGGAGTGTAAACATGGGATGGACGGCAGTTTTATTTTGCATTTTAACTAGCTTTTTATGGATAATTTTATCCAAGTTAATGAGACAATCATCAGTATACAATAATTCAAACCATTAAAGTAATTAATTATATTGTATTTAGGTATGTAATATTATGAAATAATTCAAGAGTTATTTAAGATTCTAAAAAACACAAGAAAATTAAAAAAAATTGTATATTACTTTTATTATTTACAGTTTTTTTTTTTTTTTTTTTTTTAATATGAGGTTTTAATTATATCACATTAAAAATAAAGTATAAATTACCTAAATAAATTATAAAATATTGTATAGCAACAAGAAACTTAAATAAATATTCTAGCCTTTGACCTAGGACTTTTAAATGGACTATAAAATCACAAAAATGAAACAATCATGCATAAAATGATGTAAGGTGTTGTCAATCAGATGATGAATATCTGATATTTTTAGTTCTTCAAAAATAATTAATCACTAAAACGTTAGGTTATTATATAATAAGTAGAATTTAATTAAAAAAATCATTTGTTTTTTAGTAGATTTTTAATTAATAAATAATTTAATCAGAATGATTATACATACATATTGTAATAATTCTAATATTATTATAATTAGGGGTATGAATTTGTAGGAAAGTGCATTTTTTTTTTTTTTTGTGATTGTAAAACGTAGCTATATAAATATCTACATAATTTGAATTATGTAACTTTTATTTTGCATTTTTAGGTTATATTTTCCTTTTTTAGTTCATTTTTCAGTATTTTTAATCAAATTTTAAGGAGTAGAGATTAATAAGGTATCGGAAAATAAATATATTTAGGTTTGTTTTATTATTTTAATAAAATAAATTCTATTAGGTATTTATTTTAAATGTTTCAGGTAAATAGCATCAAGTAAAGAAAATATCAATCAATATTTTTACTATTATTATTATTTTTTTTTTAATAAATAAACACTTTTTTATGCATGTAATGTACTAATGTAAAATATCCAGTACCTAATATTAATATAAATATAAAAATTAAATTAAAAACCTTAAATTAATTTTATACTATAATTTTTGGCATTTTAAGTGCATATTTTAGACATTTTTTAAGGTTCTTTGGTGCATTTAAATTCTAAGCTTTAATAATAATGATAATGTTTATTAAGTAAAATGTGTAAATCAAATACAAAAATTTTAAATTAGTTAATAATAAATAATTATTTTGTTATAAGTACAGACAACATTGTAATTCATAATTTTAAAATTGAAACAATAACCAGTAACAATTTTAATATATCACTGCTTATCATGATAATATAATTTTTTATTTTTTGATTTTTGTGTTATTGTTAATAAATTTTATTAAAATTTAAATTATTAACATTTATAAAAACAAATTTGCACTATATTTATACACAATATTCTTGTAAAGTTTTAAATAAATAATTTATTATAGTTAAGATATTATTTGACTTCAAATTATTCTCTAAAATACTATTTTTTCAATAAGTATTATGAATATGTGATATTTCATTAAAAATGTAATATCTGTGAGCTAGAAGTGTTTATGCACTTATTTCTTCGCATTTTACACTAGGATATGAATTTATAGCAACTATCTTGTGTATTTTCTTAAAAACATTTAAATCCATAAATTATTCAATATAATATAGAATATTTTTACCGCAAATAATATAAAACATAAATACTTTGTTTTATAGTAAATAAATAAACATAATTATAACAAAATATCAAAAAATGAAGTTTTACTTTAAATATTAAGTTATGATCCGATATGTGATATATGTATGTATCATCAAATAGATTGTCAAATTTGATATACCCTTACCTATTGTCCAATATATTACCAAATTGTATATTATTTGATATTAATATATTTTATTGTGAAGAAATAAGATAGAGCAACTTTGCTACCAATCTATCAAGTAAATAAATGAAGAATATACACATAATTAATTTACCATGATTGTATACACCAGACTGCTAACTATAAATAAAATTTCATCGATCTAACTACTCTTATGCATATACTTGACATACAAAATAATAATAATAAATAACATTAATTTTTACCCATATAATTTGCAATAAAAAACACAATCCAACGAGCTTATATACATATATATAATTAAAATTGTTGGATTATGTACATATATTGTTATCTTTAATGTTACAATATAAATTACTAGTTTAAGATATTAATTATATTAGAGCAAGACAAAAACTGTTGATTTACTGCCAAATGTAGACTAACTTATTGCACTAGATTATTAGAATAAATTTTTTCTCCGAAATAAAAATTAAATAAAATAAAAAAACCACATGTATGATGTAAAGTAGTAATAATTATCTAAGTCACATAATTTTATATTGATTTATTATGAGTGAGTGTTCTTTGTTTGTAAAATAAATGGGTGACTTACCGATTTATGAAGATTTGTTGGTGGAAATTAAAAATGTATATAATTTATGAAATTAGCAGGCAGCAATAGATCACTACAGAAAATGCAAAAGTTATAAATTAGGCATGTAACAGACCCAACAAGTGGAATTGATTTTAGTTTTTACAGCTGATCAGCAACCGTAATTGTCAGACAAACGAATTTTTGAAGAAGGAAAAACCCGCTATAACACTTGAGCTTAATAGCTGAAGGACTAACCTAACATTTTTAATAACATTTACGGTTAAATAAGATAATATTTTAATTTTAAGGTTATAAACCCTGGTGTAACATTTGCTCTATGGAAGAAAATATATATGGCGTTTATAATCAAGTTATTGTTGTATTGATTTTGTTGATAATACGATCTAGAAATCAGAATTTTGATTATAATTCATAATAATAAGTTATGTATGTAAATAAACCTTTATGACATTAAAGTTAAAGTATTTTTATTTTTATTTTAATTAGTAATTTTTTCCTTTTTTTTTTTTATTGTTAAATGATTATAAATATTTTAATTTTGATCAGTTTTGAAGAGTGAACATATTCAATAAATTACAATAATGGCTGCACCGCCAGCTGCATTAGTGAGTAAAGTAAAAAAACATTTTATTGGAATTCCTGCACCTCTTGGATATGTTGCTGGTGTTGGTCGTGGTGCCACAGGTTTTACTACTAGGTCTGATATTGGTCCTGCTCGAGATGCAAATGATGTTTCTGACGATCGTCATGCACCACCCACTAAAAAAAAAAAAAAAGATGAAGAAGAAGATGATGATGAAGATTTGAATGATTCTAATTATGATGAATTTAGTGGTTATGGTGGTTCATTATTTAGCAAGGATCCATACGATAAAGACGATGAGGAAGCAGATATGATTTACGAAGAAATTGATAAACGTATGGATGAAAAGCGCAAAGAATACAGAGAAAAGCGATTAAAAGAAGAGTTGGAAAAATATCGTCAAGAGCGACCTAAAATTCAACAACAATTCAGTGATTTAAAAAGAGGGTACATTTTTTATTAAATAATATAATAATAATACTGTTTTTATATTATACTACATTTTTAATTTATAATAATATTTTTTAGATTAACAATGGTCAGTGAAGATGAGTGGCGCAATATTCCTGAAGTTGGAGATGCTAGGAATCGTAAACAAAGAAATCCTAGGGCTGAGAAATTTACACCACTACCAGACACTGTACTAACTCGAAGTCTTGGTGGAGAAACCACATCTTCTATTGATTCAGCTAGTGGTATCATGAGTCAATATCCACATGGTACTGTTACACCTGGGATGTTAACTCCATCTGGAGACCTTGATTTAAGAAAAATGGGACAAGCTCGTAATACTTTAATGAATGTAAAACTTAATCAAGTATCAGACTCTGTAGAAGGACAAACTGTTGTTGATCCTAAAGGTTATCTGACTGATTTACATAGTATGATACCAACATATGGTGGTGATATTAATGATATTAAAAAAGCTAGGTTATTGTTGAAATCTGTTCGAGAGACAAATCCTAATCATCCTCCAGCTTGGATTGCATCTGCTCGTCTTGAAGAAGTAACAGGAAAAATTCAAGCTGCTCGTAATGTTATCATGAAAGGTTGTGAAGATAATCCTAAATCTGAAGATCTTTGGCTTGAAGCTGCTCGTTTACAACCACCAGAAACTGCTAAAGCTGTTATTGCTCAAGCTGTTAGACATATTCCAACATCAGTTCGTATTTGGATTAAAGCTGCTGACTTAGAATCTGAAACTAAAGGTAAAAGAAAAGTTTACCGAAAAGCATTAGAACATATACCGAATTCAGTGCGATTATGGAAAGCTGCTATTGAATTAGAAGATCCAGAGGACGCTCGAATCTTATTAAGTCGTGCTGTCGAATGTTGTCCTACTAGTGTTGATCTTTGGTTAGCTTTAGCTCGTTTAGAAACATATGAAAATGCACGTAAAGTATTGAATAAAGCTCGTGAAAATATTCCTACTGATAGACAAATTTGGACTACTGCTGCTAAATTAGAAGAAGCTAATGGTAATATTAACATGGTAGAAAAAATCATTGACCGAGCTATTTCATCTTTAAGTGCAAATGGTGTTGAAATTAATCGAGAACAATGGATTAAAGAAGCAATAGAAGCTGAAAAATGTGGTTCTGTAAAAACATGTCAAGCTCTCATTAAAGCTATAATTGGTTATGGAATAGAAGATGAAGACCGTAAACACACTTGGATGGAAGATGCTGATTCATGTGCTAGTCAGTCGGCTTATGAGTGTGCACGAGCCATTTTCTCTCATTCATTAGCTGCTTTTCCTAGTAAAAAGTCTATTTGGTTAAGAGCTGCTTACTTTGAAAAAAATCATGGTTCGAGAGAATCTTTAGAAACATTATTACAAAAAGCTGTTGCACATTGTCCGAAATCTGAAGTATTGTGGCTAATGGGAGCCAAATCAAAATGGTTAGCTGGTGATGTACCAGCTGCTCGTGGCATTTTATCACTTGCATTTCAAGCAAATCCTAATTCAGAAGAAATTTGGCTTGCTGCTGTTAAATTAGAATCTGAAAATTCAGAGTTTGATCGTGCAAGGCGTCTTTTATCTAAAGCTCGAGCTTCAGCACCAACTCCAAGAGTTATGATGAAATCTGCTAAGCTTGAATGGTGTTTAAATAACTTAGATACAGCTTTACAAATCCTTGAAGAAGCAATAATAAAATTTCCCGATTACGCTAAATTGTGGTTAATGAAAGGACAGATTGAAGAACAACAAGAAGATGTAGATAGAGCACATGAAACTTATAATTCTGCATTAAAAAAATGTCCTACTTCTATTCCTTTGTGGATATGGTTAGCTAGATTAGATGAAAAACGAAAAATGTTAACTAAAGCTAGATCAGTCTTAGAAAAAGGTCGTTTGAAAAATCCACATAATCCAGAACTGTGGTTGGAAGCAATACGTATAGAATTTCGTGCAGGTATGAGAGATATAGCAAATACAATGATGGCTAAAGCTTTACAGGAATGTCCAAATGCTGGAATATTATGGTCAGAAGCTATATTTTTGGAAGCTAGACCTCAACGCAAAACCAAAAGTGTAGATGCCTTAAAAAAATGTGAACATGATGTTAATGTTCTTTTAGCTGTCTCTAAATTGTTTTGGAGTGAACGTAAGTTACAAAAATGTCGTGAGTGGTTTAATAGAACTGTAAAAATTGATCCAGATTTTGGAGATGCTTGGGCATATTTTTATAGGTTTGAAGTATTACATGGCACTGATGAAACACAGCTAGATATTAAAAAAAGATGTATTGCATCAGAACCTCATCACGGCGAAATGTGGTGTATTGTTTCAAAAAATATCAACAATTGGAGACTAACGACTGAAAATATCTTAATGTTAGTTGCTAAAGATTTACCTATTCCTATTTAAATCAAATAATTTTTATAATTTTCTACATATTGTCAATTTAATAAAGTAGTTAATTGAATTAAAATGATTTATATTTAGTATCATTTTTATAGTATACTTACAATATTATTAAAATTTAGATGTATACATGATGTATAATATATTATTTACATTTCTAATCGATTTGATTTGGTTGATTAATTTCTTATTTTAAACTATATTAAACCATGTAAGTCTTAATTTTGTTAAGAAGGGCTTTAACACCTAAGCCTCTTTTATGGGGTTTTAGTACAGTAGGTTGGTGGAACACATGAGCAAGCAAAATTGTTGGTGGCCAGATGTAAATATTCAAACCATGTGTTTAAGCAAAGTTGCTTTATTAATTTGGTTATCCTTGCCCTTATATATTCATTATGTAGGGCAGCGGTTCTTAATCTGGAGGGTATACCCTACAAGTGAGCTGTGAAATTTTTTAAAAAGCAATGAAACATGAAAATGTTATTTCGGATTAGTATATTTCTATTTTACTAGATACCCTTTTTTTAATAAAAGTTTTTTATGCTGAAAACGATGGTGCTAAAAGTAATTTCTGGAAGTTATTAGTTTTGTTGTTATAGTCATTTAAAGTTTTTCAGTTTTGTTTAAATAGCCATGTTGTATAACTTGTTTCCTATTTATACTGTGGAACAATGAGTAATGTGGTACTACCAAGTAAAGCATTTTTTTTTTTTTTGTATGTTAATATCTTTATGATATAATATTAATAATATATTTATAATAAGCCCCTCTCTGATGTGAATTCAGTCCCCAGGATTTATTTTTTTATTTCATAAAAAATTTTTTTTATTTAATTAAGCTTTTATTTTGTGTAATTAAAGCTCTTAGTAATTATAAATAATAATAAATAATTATTATAAAAGTTTAAATTTAATAATAATTTTAATAATAAAAATTAAATAATTATTATTAAAGTTTAAATTTCAAACACTATATACGAAACACAACATACACTGTATACGTTCACCACACAACTGAATATTTGGAGCGCAGATTTATCGCATACAAGCTTTTCGTGCGTGATAACGTCCATACTGAGAAACAACACAACGTGAGCACACATGCTCGGTTTATGCGTGCTCTAGTGGGTACGCGGCTTTACATTATAAATTCTACTAATCATTCTATATTTGTGAATTATAGTTATTATTACTATTTTTTATATATTATTAAAATGTACTGATTGTGTTGTCATATTACACTCAACACTCAATACTCAATGAATATTTTATAAGCTACAAAACAACACGAGAAAGCACAATACTGGTTTTGAAAAATAATTATAATAAGAAATTATCTAAAATTTAAATGTATTGTAAATAATACAATTACTTAGACTTAAAAGTTAAAATGTAGAATAGGTAATACGAAAACTTAAAATACAATAGTAATTAATAATTATGGTTGTTTTAATTTGTAGGTAGGTACAATGTACATGATAAAAAATATTGAGTTCGAGTTCCAAAATATAATTTAAAGTTCGGTTCGATTTAAAAAATCAGGGTTCGACCCATCACTAATATATATTTATATATATATTAATAAATGCTATGGGGTGGGGGTGAATTGGCTTTATTTCCCCCTCCCCCCTTGAACATCATGTACAACCATCACTGGCTTCAACCCTACAATTTTAACCAACAATTGTAAATTGAGGCTTTGTCCCCATACCTTTAAATGATCCAAAATAATTATTATTATTAGTTATAATTACTAAGAGCTCTAATTTTACAAAATAAAAGCTTAATTAATAAAAAAAAATCCTTATGAAATAAAATAATAAATGTATACGATAATAAATCCTGGGGACTGAATTCACATTAGGGAGGGGCTTATTATAAATATATTATTAATATTAGATTATAAAGATATTAACATAAAAAAAAAAAAAATTGCTTTACTTGGTAGTACCACATTACTCATTGTTCCACGGTGTATAAGTAGATTAGGTTGGATTAGGTTAACACTGCGTGCCCAAAATTACCATTTTTTTTTTTTATAGAGCGTGCCATGAAAAAAATATTAAAAATATTATATTTTGTTATATTATAATTTGATTGCATAATTAATGTATTAGTTTAAAAGGTTAGTTTAGGTACATAATAATAATAATAATATTGCTTTGTTAATTATTTATATTATATTATATTATATTATATTATATTATATAATATATTATATATATAATAATATATTATATTATATTATATTTATATTATATTCTAGGTCCTATAATATTATATATTATATAATATCTAATAGTAAATCTTTTCGCGTGCCATGGATTTGCCATCCCTGATATATAGTGTCAAATGATTGAAGTGGAGCGAATTAGTGTTAAATATACTTTAAATGTATAATAAAATAATATATTTTCTATTTTCAAAATCGGCGCTGAAAATTATCTATAACTGTTGCATAACGTCCTTGTGATTCAATATGATTGGTGGAGAATGTCAAACCAAAGCTTCCATATGATTACACTATACATCTAAAAAAAAAAAAAAGAAATAAAAACAACGTTTATCAGTATTTTTCATGAATCATCTATCATTGTACCTATTAAAAATTAAGATTGAAATCACTTTTAGATAAATAATTAGGGATTTCTATATAGATATTTTTGTCGCATGTTTTTAAATACATTTTATATTGATTGATCAGTAACAGTTAAATACTTAGCGTTTTGGCGCGTGTTACTTTTGTCCCTTTCGCTTCTACTAAACATATTTTACACGCAACTAAATAATGGAAAAGGATGATGAAAAGTTTTTTTACGAAGATGTAGTGGCCATGGTGTCTCCAAAATCTGGTCTAGTTAAGTATGGATTGGTTTTAACTACAAATAGAACGCGATCGGAAACGGAGCTAAAAAAAAGCTCGTATAAAAGTCCCAATGAAATTAAAGTAATTTGGCATCCAAATGGAACCGAGGAAATTATCTCTGATGATAAAGTATAACGATCTATAAGTAAAATGCGTTCAAATTAACTTTTAATAATTTTTTTATTGCATAGGTTGTGTTGATCGATCGATCACTGATGCCTGGTGATGTAGTACGTAAGGTCAGTGAAGGTAAACCAAGTCAGTTTGGGTACTGTGAAAATGTTGATATTTATGCCACGGTAAAAATACTTAACACCAACAAGATAATCGAAAACATAAGTTCTCGAAACTTAACTCACACCAAGGTATGTACTTATTTAATATTTTAATTTCCAAGGTCTTACATAAATTCCAAATTTTTTAATTTAATAGTGTTGCTAAATTATTTTACTGTTTTAATTACTATGGTAGTAAATATATTACTATTTATTAACACTATTAATTATTTAATATTATTATTAAATTTATATTATTATTTATTAATTTATATTATTATTAAATTTATTATAATATATATAGATTATTATATGAATAAACATTTATTGATTTGTTATTTTTAATTATTAATAAAGAAATTGAAAAATAGTTAAAAATAAAATGCTATCAGGTTGGTCAGATGAGTTGATCTAAAAAATAAGAAGCCTCTAATATGATTTCTGATTTTGTGACTATTGTTTAATAATATTAATATATACTTTAAGCAGAACAGCTGATATATTCAAGTAAATGAGCTTGAGTATAATCTAGGATAATCAGCAGTGGCGTAGCCAAAAATTTCCCAAGGGAGGTGCCATCAAAAATAACACCAAAATCATACATTAAAATCCATTGGGGTATTAAATTATTGATAAATGGTACATGTATAAAAGATACTTTAAAATATTCTTCTGGACTATGGAAACTAACATTAACACATTTGGTTTGTTTATTACAAATACAAGGCATTTTAATATCAACATTTACAATAGAAGCTAATTTAGAAACATTTTTTATTATTTTTTTGAAAGAGTTATTGGCAGCTTTTCGATTAATTTGTTAGGCCTTTTTTTTATTTTTATTACGTTAGTCAAAACCTTGCATACGTTTTGATGCTTACTTTGTAAAAGCTTACTCAAATTAAAATTATAAGGAAACTTTTTGTTATTTATCGCAAGACAATATATCTACTATTTTTATTTTTATTTGCAAATAACAAATCATTTTTTTTATTTTATATAATATAATTCAAGTATATATATTATTGTATTCAAATATACTACATGGATCAAGGGGGACTGACCCCTGGCCACCCTTAATTTTGTCACTGATGATCGATGGAATCATGGACAAATGTTAGTAATTACCTAGTCGTGCCATAAGTCTTGTCCCTTATACAATTGTGTATATTTTATAAATAAAATAAAACAAGTATAAAAATCTTATGTTATTTATTTTTTATCAACTTAGTAACTAAAAAAAACTAAATACTATTCAAAATGTCCACCATTTGCATTAATATATTTCTTCAAACAATTTGGCCACTCGTCTATCACAACACGCACCATTTTCAACGGTATTGAGGCAACTGATTTCATTAAATCGGCTTTTAAGGACTCGATATTTCTATGGGGCTTAGAACAGGCCTTCTCTTCTAAAATACTCCACAGTCTATAATCCAAAAGATTGAGGTCTGGACTTCCTGAGGGCCAATTTTGAGTGGCAATAAATCCAGGTAAATTGACCTCCAACCAGCGTTGTGTCGTTTTTGCTTTATGTACAGGCGTTGAATCCGGCTGAAAAGTCCAGTTCTTTCCAACAAAGTATCACTTATAGGCTTCACTATCTTTTCAAAATATCACTTTGGTAGTTAAACGCGCGTGTTTTGACTCCCTGCTCACAGAAATGCAGTTGAGTAACACCCTCATATGACGCTCCCCACCAAACCTAACCTAATCTAACCATCACTGAGGCTGGATGATGTCCTCTTTCTACCCTATGAATTTTTTCAGCAGCTTCCCAAGAGCTGTGAGCATAAACTCTATCATTTTGACGGTTAAATTTTTCTTCTATGGTAAAAATTTTTTCATCTGTAAACAGTATCTGTCTGTGACCATTTTTCGCGTACTGTTGAAGTAACTTCTTTGCTCTTATCGCTCTAATTTTACGTAAAGCGTCTGTTAACCGCTGGCCGATGCTTCTTCGATAAGCTCCAAGGCCCAGGTCTTCTTTAATTATGCGTGACATAGTTTTTGGTGGAATTTTCATTTCTCTAGCCATGATTTTTTGTTTACGGAGTGGATTTCTGCGAATCCTCTGTGCGACAGCTTTGACTGCTGCAGTTGTTCTAGTTTCACGTGGACGTCCACTTCTTGGCTTGTCATCTATAGTGTTCAACTCGTTAAACCGTTTAATGGTCCGATAAACAAATTTTTTCGTTATTTTTAACGTTTTTAATAAGTTAAAAATCTCTATTGGTGTTTTATTACACTTAAATAACGCAACGACAGCAATACGATTTTCTTTAATACTCCATTCCATGTTTAATACGTGACGTGAACTATCGTACTAACCAGAAATAGTAGATATGACACTTATTGAAAATTATACCCATAAATAAAGTCATTAGTGCTATCGTACAATATTTATAGAACAACTGATAAGTAGGGACAGAACTTATGGCACGACTAGTTAAAAAAAAGCTTTTTACATTTTCTTACTGATACTTTTCCTACAGAGGTTAAATTTGAAATGTTTACTATAATTTCATCCAAAAACTTTTCCAATAGTCATTTACATAAGTAGTACTTAAAATTGGTCACTTTTTTAATTATACATTTTTTTTCATTCTACTACAATTAATTATAAAAATAATTAAGTATGAAAAAAAATATTTTAATCATTTATAACTAATTTATTTTTAAGAAATGTCAAATGAATATTATACACTGTCATATTAATCCATTGATTGACATTGCATGTTCACTATAATAATCATTTCATTTATTTTATACTAGCTGAAATACCCGTCGTTGCCGGGTTTAAATATATAAATGTATGTAACCAGGCAAGATTAAATTTTGTTAAATCTATTGAAATTTAAATTAATTAAGATTTTTGAAATAATATTTTATACATATTAATTTAGTTTTTAAGATGATTATTATCATAACTTATTCGATAAGTTATAGCTTACAACTACCTGAACCTCTCTACAGTTTGGTATTCTGTTGAATACATATAGCATCTCACTTCTCCGAATATTTTACCTTTTGTCAATAAGTTCATGGTCTTTTTTACTTTTAACCGAAACACTCTTGCAATTATATCATGTCGATCATAAGATCTTTGACCGGGAAGTAAGAGCTCTTTTATCTCGTCCCAGCGAGGATTACATGTAAAAGTAATAAAAAGGTCAGGACGACCGTAATGTCTAACGTAGGTCATAGCATCTTGTGTTCTTTCGTGCATGTACGTTGGCCCACCAGTAAAAGTTGACGGGAGTATAACCATTTGGCCTAACTGATTAGCTTCTATGTCTCGTCGTCCAATCGCATCTTTTAAATGAATATAACTATCTGCACGCAATTTGGCTTGGTTGTTTTTGATGTAATTTAGTTTTTCAGTTTCAATTTTGGCGTATTCATCAACCAAATATTGACTGAAAAGAGAACGATAATTAACTAAATAGTTGTCTTCCCCTTCTCTGACCATTATTCTATATGAGTAAAAACTTGATGCAGAGACAGTTTTTTTTAAGCGGTAACTTGGTTTTTGGATCGCGTTGTGGTATATTGATTGCATACCCATCATCCCCCCAACAAAACATTAAAGGATACTGCAGTGCGTCGTATGCTCGATGTATCTCACTGATACGGTGAAGTGAGTTACTTCGGTTTTCGAGGATGATGTCTTTTCGATCAATCTGCTGATCTACTAACACTAAAGTAACTTCATTTGCCGTTGGTGCATTATACCTGCCTCTATGTTCTTCTGGTGGTTTTTTATCTGCATGTATTACAACTTTAAATGACTCTGAAGGAGGTATTTTATCGATGGTAAATTGTAATGATCAATTGTAAATTATGCGGTGGCATGCCTAGTAAATCCAATGAGTTTAAAAACTCTGTTGAATAATTTACAACTTCAGTAGCATCGCAAACTGTATCTAGATTTGTATGACACCAAGTTTTTTGGTAAAAAATTTTGTATCTTGAGATTTAATTCGTTGACCTCCACATTTTTTGCTACTAAAATTGCTCTTTCTGCCAGCCACTCATGATTTGTGTATTGTCTGTGTACACTGGGACATATCTGGTCAATGAGAGCATCTTGCGAATAAATGATTGTGCAGAAATCGTTCGGTAATTTTATACATCCCGTTTCATCTGTAGTAACTTTCCCATCTTCAATATCTAACAATTGTTTTGAGAATCTTTTGCACGCAGCTTTTTTTGATTGAATCGAAATCGAAGTATCGAAATCGTTCGCTATCTATCTTTATATATATTTCGACCATGAATTGTTGACAAAGCTTATGCATCGTAAAATAACTTAGTCCTGATCGCGTCTAATTATCAACCGATATGCATAATTTTTTGAACTAACATTCTTATTTGTTTTGGCACCTGTTGCGGGATCTTTTTGTTTAATATTTATGCAATACCCGTCATTTACTACCAAAAATAAAATTAATAGTTTTTAAATAGATTCGTCCAATGGTTTGAGCTGTGCGTTGATAGCAGTCAATCAGCTTACTGTTTTATATATACAGATAATTCATTTTCAATAGCGCAGTTATCGACCTGGTCAAAAAATATTAAACCGATTTCAACCCTTTAAATTCAAAATTTCGAAAAATCCTTTCTTAGCGCACGTCTACATCATAATAGCTATCTGAATGCCAAATTTCAGCCAGATCCGTCCAGTGGTTTGAGCTGTGCGTTGATAGCAGTCAATCAACTTACTGTTTTATATATACAGATATATTATTTTGTTAAAATGTAATTCTGGTATCAACTATAAGAACTATTGTAACTGAGTCATTTAGATTAATTTTATTGTATTTACTTATCTTTTGTAATGGTTTTAATAACATATAAAAGAACAATAATACAATTTGATCACATTGGATTTGTATAAAATTTAAATTTCTCATTACTTCAAAGTAGATTACCACAAGATTAACAAGGTAATACACATTGTAGGAATAACAAGATAAACCCCAAATTAATAATATAATGAAAATATTCCATTTATACACTAGTGATGGGGCGATAACAAATAAGTATTTAAATCCAATACATTCAAACGATTTTGTCTAATATTTGAAATTTTTTTTAATAATATGTCATAAGACATTAAACACTAGTTACTTGTTACAATACAAAATTTTTTATAAATTATTTAATTAATAAAGATTATTTAAAATATTAAGATGTTTAATACTTCAAAACAGGTTGCCAACCAGTCAATCTTTTTAGAAATATAGGTCGATTGTTATAAAAATTAACTATTGGTTGATCTTTGGCGTAGGGAAATTGGCGTCCCCACCGCCCAGTGCATTATAGTAAATGCACTGCAATAGCCCTAACCTAACCTTTACTGGTTGGGGTAGTCTGGTCTTCCAGGTTGGGGTAGTCTGGTCTTCCAGGTTGGGGTAGTCTGGTCCTCCAGGTTGGGGGTTGAGCGTAGAGCTAATGACCCTACATCTTTAAAACTAATTGTTATGATTTAACCAAAATCGCCCTGGATGAAAAAATGTTGCGCTAAAGAATTTCTCGATTGGAACATGGAATGTACAATCGCTGTATAGGGCCGAACATCTGATGACAGTAGTATTGAGTCTTGAACGGTATCAACTGAATATAGCTGCGATTCAAGAAACTAGATGGCCAGGGTAAGGAAACCTAAAAACTAATAATTGGACCTACTTCTACAATGGTGGACTGGATCATCAAGTAGGAGTGGGCTTTGTCGTGAATGACAAACTCTTACCTAATGTTAAACGCTTTGAAGCAATTAACGACAGAATATGCTATCTGGAATTAAAATGTAAATGGTACAACTAATAATAATCAATGGTTACGTACCTACTGAGGACATTAAGAATGAATTCCACGAAAAACTGGATACTATAAGTAACCTACTACCAAACAACAAAGTTAAAATAATACTTAGAGATTTTAATGGTAAGATAGGCCAAGAACCCTTCTTCAGTCTAACAATAGGTAAAAATAGCTTACATACAAACTTAAATGACAATGGTTCAAGACTGGTAAATTTTGCTATGGCACGAAATATGGTAATAAGTAGCATTATCTTCCCTTATAAAAACATACATAAGCAAACGTGGGTTTGACCAGATGGACGAACGAGAAACCAGATAGACCACGCAGCAATTGATGATAGAATTAAAAGATGTATAATGGATGTACGCAGCATGAGAGGTAGCAGCGGAATATCAGACCATTACATTGTGAAAACAAAAGTCAAAATTAGATTATCTATAAAATGGAAAGAGCGAAAAGCACTAGTCAAAAAGCTAAACATTGAACAACTTAAGAATCCTCAGACAACAGAACAATGCAAAAATAGGTTAAATTATACATTGCGAACAGTGGAAGAGAAGAGCAGTATAGATGATATGTGGGAAAAAAGAGAGAAGTCAGTGAAGAAAATAGCAGAGGAAGTTCTTGGATTTCAAGGAAAACAATCAATAAATAAATGGTTTAACAAAGAACGGAAAACTGCAATTGTAAAAAATTACACTGTTAGAACAATAATGTTAAGAGATCCAGGTAAAGCCAATAAACAAGAATTAGCCTTAAAACAAAGAGAAGCAAAACAGATAATTAGAAAAAACAAAAGAATGTGGGAGAAAGCCAGAATAGAAACCATCGAAAATAGCTACAAAAATAGTATAAAACTTTTCTTTGGAAGGGCAAACGATATCAAAAATGGATTTAAACCAAGATCAACAATAATGAAAGACGATGAGAGAAATTTAATTACCGTTAGAAAAGAAGTAACAAAAGAATTCAAAAAGGTTTTTGAAAAAATACTGAATGTATCAACTCAAACAGAAACGAACAATGATGATGTTACCACAATAGACCAATACTTAGAAGACCCTCATTGGAAGAGGTTGAAATGGCGGTCAAAATGTTTAAGGGAGGAAAGGCACCTGGAGAAGACTCAATAATGTCGGAACTTTTAAAGCAAGGTGAAAGTACTGTAATGTTATGCCTAAAACAACTGATAAACAAAGTATGGAAAGAAGTAACAATACCAAAACCATGGCAGGTATCAGTACTGCGCCCAATATATAAAAAAGGAGGTATAATGAACTGTAAAAACTATAGGGGTATATCCCTACTTAACATATCGTATAAGGTACTCTCGAACATAATTTTAAATAGACTAAAACCGTATGCTAAAGAGGTAGTAGGAGACTACCAAACAGGTTTCACAGCTGGAAAATCTACCACTGATCAAATACATATTATCAAACAAATAACAAGGAAGAGTCACAAGTTTGATAAAGATGTATACCTGCTATTTGTTGATTAAACAAGCCTACGACTCGATAGTAAGAAGTACCCTGTGGAACGAAATGATCAAACTAGGAATTCCAGCCAAGCTCATCAGAATGGTGAAAATATGTATGCTAGATTCAAGGTGCAAAGTGAAGTTCAACTCAGCAATATCAGAGGAGTTTACAGTAAATACAGGGGTAAGGCAGGGTGATGCTTTGTCTCCGGTCTTATTTAACATTGCCTCGGAATTGGTAATTAGAAGAATAACACAAAACAAACCCCAAGGTTTGAATATAGGACAAGGAAAACAGATAACATAAGCCGTAAATGCAGATGATGTAGTCGTAATAGCAGAGACAGAGGATAGCCTAAAGAGAACAACCGAAATGTTGAGTGAGAAAGCAGGAAAGATTGGGTTTATTATTAATGAAAATAAAATCAAATTCATAATTGTATCTAGGAGAAAACACCTACAAAGTGCTATAACAATAAAAGACATGTCATTCGAAAGAGTTTGGAACTTTAAGTACTTAGGAGTAGATATAAATTCAAAGGCAAATAGGGTAGTTATGAAATAAGATCAAATAAAGAACTGAATGCTTTATTTAACAAATCCAGTATAGTTGCCACACTCAAAAACCAAAGAATAAGATGAGCCGGACACGTATGGAGAACAAAAGACCAATTTCTATAGATCACGAAATGGAAACCGAACAAAAGGTGACTGAGAGGAAGGCCTAGACAACGGTGGGAAGATCGAGTCCAGAAAGATATCAGGACGTTAGGAGTTATGAATGGAGAGAAACTAGCAGTACATAGAGAACATGGAGGGAGATAGTGGAAGCTACAATGGGCCTAAATGGGTTTGAATAAACGTCAAAAAAAAAAAAAAACTATTGGTTGATCTCATAATAATTTAGAGCTTCTCAGACTTTTTTTTTTTTTTGTTTGCTCATCAAACTTCTTCCTTAAGACCTAAATTCTCCTGGATGTCAATCACCAAGAACTTATAATTTCAAATGTAGCTCACTTGTTTGAGGTTGGCGACTCTTGTCTTAAAACATTATACTGGCTTTTGCTTAGGAATGTAATTTAAAGATTCAATGATTTATCATTCATTTTAAATTAGTATAACAAGTATGACTAAACCTATAAAAAAAAAAAAAAATTTTAAAACTTTCATCTTATCAAGTTGTTTTATTTTTATAGCCATTTTCCATAGACTCCTCAGTTTTTTATGAATCATGGGTTGGCGGTGTCTATGATGTTAAATGTAAAGTTACATTTGCTTCTCAAGATGGGTCTATTTTTACATTAGATGATCCATTTAGGCAAGATTTTATAAGTTTATCTACAAGTGATGTAAGTCATGTATTAAATATTTTAAAGAAGGAATAAAATTAAGTCATAGTTTTTAATTGTATTGCATACCTGTATTTGTTTGGTAGTAACAATATAAATATTAATATATAAAAAGATTTTTTCATAATATTAATACTAAAAATGTGTTTGATTTAGAGTTTTTCCATTGATGACAATGTATTCTATCATGGACAAAAGTTGAAAATGTGTCTAGATTCTTTAGAAAATGCCAAATTTATAACTATCAGCAACTTAATGAATTGTTTGTGGCATAATTATAAGAAGAAATGTAATTTAAAACTTGCAGCCAAGGTATTAAATTTTTTATTAAAATACGTTTTTGTATTATAATTAATTATATTTTTTATTTCATTTTTAGTGGATCAAAGTTTATGTACAAGATATTTCTGTGTTATCTGTTGAAGTTGAATGGTATTGCCAAACATCAAGTAGAACGAAACCTCGCGAAGAACATTGGCCAGAAAGAATTATTACTGGAGATAATTTAAAAAAGTTAATACTGAATAAAATTTATATTTATTATTATATTATATTATATTACTTTTATATAATCTTAATATTATTTTAACAACAATGTCATTTTCAGACTGAAAACTATAGATTTATTTGAACCATGTTCAATTCAAGTGGGTGATACACAGTGGTATACTATTAAAGACACTGACAATTTGATAACAATAAAACAATGGCGTACTAAATGTACAGAAACTTTTGATACAGGGTCTGGTGTATCATCTTGTAAAATTAAAAAAGAAAAACATCACAACAAATTTCTAGGTACCAAAAAAGCTCAGAAGAGTATGAATTCTATCGATTTTGAAACTTTAGATGAATTAATATGTATGTAGTATTTTATTAAATAATAATTGTTTAAAACATTGCTTAGTTGTTACATTATCATAACTAATTATTAGATAAATAATAAATGATTTAATAATAGTTAATAATTAACTTTTTCCTCGCATTAAATATTTTATTGTTGTAAATAATAAATTTATATATTATGTTTTTATTTTTAAATATTATACCTAAAAAAATATTAATTATATAATTAATATTTCTTTCTTTGTTTTTCAACTATAAATCTAATTTACAATGATATTTTTTTAGGTGCACAAAGTGTTTCTAATCGGAATGTTTCATCTTTACAAATTCAAAGAACTGAACGAATAGTAAATAGAGAAATTAAATTTACTACACAATCAAAAAAATCTGAACCTAAACCTTCTTCAAGCACAATAGGTAAAATTATATATTTAATAGGTGTATCTATCTACCCTGCATTACTTCAACTATAGCAAACTCACTTTTCTCATTTTTAGTGACTTTTTTTATCAAATTTTGATTTAATGTTAAATATATGTGGAAGTTTATATTTTAAAAAGGTAAAATATGATAATAAAATATCTTATTTTAAGTCATTTTTTTTTTTTTTTACTTTTCCATATTTTACTTTTAGCATCGATAAAATAAAATTAAAAATGTTAAGTGAATTTTAGATAGTCATTTGTCCCATTTTTAATACATTTTTTACGTCATTTATTTAATTTTTCACATTTTTAATACTTTTTTTTATATTATAATTTAATTGTATAGGTCATAATTACATTTTTTCTAAGGTATTTTTTTGAGCATTAAAATCTGTGCCTTAGTTATTACATATAATCATTCTCATAATTTGTAAAAAAAAAAAATATATACTAAGTTTTTTTATTTTGTATTATAATTTAAAAGAATCTCCCTTTTTATAGGTATAATAAGATAATTAGTTATATAGTTTTAATTTTTACAGAACTTTTAACTTGTAGATCAAAAAAAAAAAAATAAAAAAATAGTTTTGTATGTTGTAAAAATATTTGTAATATTATTGAAATGTGCAAAAATCATCTAACTAAAATTTAAATATTTATTCTGTATTATAAATTTTAATAAGCTAATTTACAGTTAAAAAGTTTGTTTATCAAATTGAAGTTTTATAAAATATCAATGACTAATTACTATTTTTATACTTCAAGATAATATGAAGCTTTGAATTTAAAAAATATAAATACATTTGTAACAATATACATGCATAAATAGAGCTTTTTATGTTTCAATTAATTTCTATTAGGTATGAAAAAAAAAAAAATGTTACTCTATATTATACTGTATATGTTAAAATTAGAGATGTAATGTATATTCGAATAATCGAATATTTGAACATTCGAATATCAGTATTTGATGCTACAATACCTTATTTATTTTATCTGTTTTTCCATGACAAGCTTTTTATACTATTTATTATTAATAAGTAATCCATATCTACAAAACTAAAGATAATGTATGTCAATGATTAATCGAACTAAATACAAAAATAGTTCTTGCAGGTCCCTGTTCGTAGTTTGCTTTATTTTACTCGTTGTAGACATATATTTTAACATACAATCAAAAGTGCCGTGCCAGAACCTAATGTTTTGCTTGTTGTAAGCAGTATCTCATTCTAAGTGATGCTCGTTATAGTGATTTATAATTAATACTATATTAATAATAATTTAATTATGATATTTGAGTATTTTGCACAATTTTTATTTTTGTATTTTAATTGCCATGTCAAATATTAAATATCACTAGCTTCGAATCCACTTCTCGCAGACCTTATGCACCATAAGCCATATAATATTATTATTAAACGTTTTGTATTGCGCAAAAACTTAAATGAATAATTTTCATTACGTATTGTATTGTAGCTTCGAATACTGATATTCGAATGGTCGAATATTCAAATATTTGAATTATTTACGCTCAACCTATTCGAATTCAAATACTCGAATAATTCCCATCACTGGTTAAAATATATTAATACTAAATAGCATTTAGTTTACTTAAAAATATTTGATACAATTAATTCACACAAACATTAAATTCCTATATTTTTATAGTACATTTAAAATAAATGTACTCATACAATAAAAAGAAAAAAATTTAAAAAATTTCTTTAAAATTACATTTTTGTAAAACATTGTAAATCTCTGATATTGAGTATAAACTGTATTTGTTAAAATTTTAATTCTTATGTGATATGTAATATTGATCAAAATATTTAACTTGACTAAAATTTATTTGTACAACGATTAAAACTAAAATAATATTAATATAACTTGAATAAAAAATACTGTATATAACATATTGATATCAATATTTAAAATTGTTTTTGCAATTTCCAAAAAAAAAAAATATTTGGTTTATCATCACAAAAAAAAAACAATGTATCCCCCTTATATATATATATATATATATATATATATTATATCATCAGTTTTAATTTTAATTAACTACATTTATTTATTTTATATTTAACCGTGAAATTATTTGTAGGGAATAGTTCCATACATACAACAAAATCAAGTAGACTAAAAAGACATCGGATGTGGAAAACATTGGTAAAAAAGAGTAAACAATTTAATGTTCCAAAAGTTTCTACAAAATCTAAATCAAAAGTTGTTGTTGAGATTTGTCACACTAAATCTATGGTAGATGTTATATGGCAGGTATGTATTTCATTTTTTGCAATATTATGTATTTCTACTATTCTATTACAATCATGAATTTAATAATCATAATATGGTCTACTCTCCTTTATTTTTCTGAAACGCATGTTTTTTTTCATTTTCTGATAAAAAAAAACTATTATTAATATATTAATAATTTTTTACATGAAAATTAGTATTTGAATAATGTTTTCTAAATTCATGTTGATTAATTGATAATAATTTATGTTTGTTTGTTCAGCAATTTAGTCTGTGGTATACAATTGTTTCTAATAGTTAGCTAATACTGCTAATTATAGATATTGGTTAATATTAAGAGTGTCAACAATATATATTGATTAGTTAAAAATATCAATTTATTTTTTTCATTTCATTTTTTTCAAATTTTAGTTAGTTGATGATTAGTAGTACATCAAAATAGACGTGGTTATGCTTTATACAATTTTGGAGTATGAAGCAGATGAAGAACTATTGCTACTTGTGAATAATTTCCGTAATGGAAATCATGAAATGTTTAGTCAACGGAGCAGGGAGGGATGTTTCAGTATTTTAATTAGTAATAAAAATAAATAAAACATATAATAAAATATAAATAATATATTGAAAAATATTTTAATAATGTATAAAATAATTTAATCCCGCACTGCGTTTCACTCAAAAATTGCTTCGTGGCGACTGCAGCGCGATTGACGTGCGTGATTCGACAATCGCGCACGTGAATTATTAATAAACATCAATACTATTTTTCATGGTTTCAACTTTTGCGTGATTACGCATTGTGCATCGCGCACCACACAATCACGGATGCGTGGTTGTAGGAAACCATGGCTTAAGCCAGATTCTGGTCTGACGACAGCTATGTTTGTTCTGTTTTTGACACCAACCTTTGCATATTGTGTCCATTACATCTTACTTTTATTGCTTACATTTTGTTTATTGAATAGTACTCTTGTATAGCCACCATATACTGCCATGAGTTTTATGTTTTTTTTTTTTTTTTATCGATATATGTATTAATATCGACTTTATTGTGATTGATAATAATGGCTTCTTATATTGATATTTTAAATATTGTACCTTCGTTTGATGTTGACATCTCTAGTCATTATCCTGATGGTTTAAATCTTCATTAATTTTTTTTAGGGTAAGGGTTATAATAACATTTTTCCATTTGGTTGGTAATGTACCCATTCTCCAGATTTAATTTAATAAATTTAGTAGAACTTGCCACTTAAGGGATATTTTGTAAAAAAATTAATGGGTTTTAGTATATGTATTTCCAAAGCAATAATGAAGTATGATACTATAGTAGTTTAAACAGTCTAATATCTAAGTATGTGACAAAAACGGAATAATTGTAAAATATGTTAAATTAAATTTAACTTATTTTATTAGAAATCTTATAAAACAAATGTATCACTTATAAATCTAAGCCCTACCATTACTAAAAATTGAATTGTATTAAATTTATATAGTATGTATTAGCACTATATTCAGTACATTTTCTTCAATACACATACAATAATATTTATTAGCATGAGAATTATTTTTTAGAAACAATGTGGTTTAATCATGGGCGCCCGCTGGAAATTTATCAGCAAGGGTATAATAAAATCAAACACCAAAAACGTATGTCAAAAAATGTATTCTTAGCAAACAATAAAATATTTCAGAGTTATTCACACTTGAGTCGTTATTAAATAAAAACCAAAGACTTCACAGTTGTTCAATTGCAAAACTTGTTATTAACTGTTCAATTAACTTTTTGCAGGGTGGAGCAAATGCCCCATTTGCCCCCCCACCTGGGCGCCCATAAGTTTAATGATTGGTTGGTACTACCTAATAGTTTTGTTTTTAAGTGGATGGCAACAATTTGTGTGTCTTATATATAAATATATATTAAATTAATGATCTATGAATGAATAAATAAATATAATATTTTTTTTATCCTTCTTTAAATATCTAACATTAGAAGTGTACTTAAGTTTTTGCCAGGAGTAAGTATTCGTTAGTATGATTTTGTAACCAGCAATTTAATCAACAATACAAAAACTAATATGGGGAATATTTTTAAAACATGGCTTTTTCAAATATTAACATTTATACATTTACATAGAAATAATATTATTAAGTTTATAATTTTCTCATATTTTTTATAATAAAAAAATAAAATGTTTAAAAGAGCAATTAATTAAATAATTTTATATATTTAATATTTATGTAAAAAAAAAAAAACTGTGTTAATATACAAAATACAGTCTATTTATCATCACAATTTCATTTAGAAGAGTTAGATAGATTTGGTTAACATATTTTGTTTAGTGCAGTAAATTTATATTTGGAATAGAATAAATTTTTTATATAGGTTATTAATAATAATTAGAGCGCGGATTTCTATGCAATTGCATATTTTTTCCCTTTCAATATTTTTGGATTTTTGTCAGTTATCTCCACGAATCATAATTTGAAGCTAATGGTGAAATTTTTTTTTGCATATTTCTGCATATTTAGAGGTTATTGCATATTTTTGCATATTTTGGCAAAATTCAAAATGCATATTGAAGTGAAAATTTAAAAAATAAATTTCATAGTCACTAAATAATAATTTATATATATATATTTAGTTATAAAATAAATAATCGATTACGACGTAAACTTAATCGCTCTTGCTGTGTCAGTTGATTATCGACATACCACTTCCTTCAAATATGCCCCAATAACTTCGGTTGACATCGAGGGTTCGTTTTCAGTCTTTAAAAATATGTTAACAGATAAACGACACAGCTTCACAGAAGATAAACTTGAAATGCATATGATTATTTATTTTAATAATAAATAAAATTTTAAAGATAAATTAAGTTCAGAAAATTCCCTAAATTTTTTTGTATTAAGTATTTAAGTAATTAATTTGTATAAGTTGAATTATAAATTTTAAATAAATAAAAAAAATCTTGCATATTTTTTACATATTTTCATGATTTTTACTGCATATTATATGGCATATTTTGATACTTTTAAGGGCATACAAATCCGCACTTTTATAATAATAAATACAAATATAATTATATATATTTTATTTATAGGATGGTACTAGAGAAACAGGAGTGCCTTCCACTGATCTATACCCAATTCAGACCCTTGATGATCTCGAATTCTTTCCGGGTGATTTTGTCACTGAAAAAAGTCCTGCTATTGACGTTTATGGTGTTATAGAATCTGTTGATCACACAGAACGTACTGCTCATGTACAATGGTTTAAAGTTTTTCCTGAAAATCCTTCATTGTACGAAAATATTAAATCAACATTACCAAATACCTGTACTTCAAATTTACATAACTTTTTTTAGGCCAAATCCTATTGAAAAGACTGATTTTAGTGTTTATGATTTACGTGATCATCCTGATTTCCATTTTAAATCTGGTTGTCTCATTATACATATTAGCCCTGAAACAAATCCAGATTTAAATACACTAACTGCTGGACAAGTATTAAGTGCTGGGCCTAATGGCAGAGTAATTATTACTATTCATAACTTTTATTCAAATTTTTATAATATTTAAGAGGTATTTTAATTAGATCTTAGTGATGTGGATAAATGGTGAAAAAACAGAATGTTGGCCTCAAGAATTATTTGTTGTCAAACTACATGATGATGATGGCTTTAGCTATCAAGATGAAGAATATGATGATGATGATGATGATGATGATGCTCCTCTTGCTATTGATGATGACTTATCTGAAGATTGGATGTCTATAACCAGTCCTGGATCATCAAAGTTAGTTAAATAATTAAAGAAACATGTGTATGTATATATGTATATATGTATGTACATACACATGTAATATAGTGTAATGTATTTATTTATTTTTTGTAATGTATGTTTGTAATATATTTAATATTTTGTTCATATATATATGTATAAACAAAATGTTAAAAATAATTTTTTTTTCATCCTAATAATAGTAGTAATATTTTTATTCAACAGTAAAAGTCGTGATCAAGAAAATAATGAACGATTTCCCAAATTATTACTTCAATCGTTAAAACAAGCTACTTCGGGTATGAAATCATTTCTAGATGCTGTTGAACACAATCGAGATATTGATAAAGTTTTGAAACTACAAAAGTCTTTAGAACAAATAAGGTAATGTATTAACTTTATTTAATAATGATTTTGTAAACACAAATTATTTATACTTTTCTGATGTATGTACTATTAGGTTAGGATTTAATGTCAGTTCATTTTTGCTAACTTCTGAAACTAGAGAAATAGAAACATCTTATAAGGAGCTTATGGAAAATGTTTCTAAAATGATTGATAAAATAATCTCAAGAATAAGTAATTCTTATATTTTATTTAAAATAATTAATTACTATTTATGGTTATATTATCTTATAACAGGTAATAACAGAGGAGGAGCTGAAGAAGAATTGTCATATGAGACTTTAATTGGAGTTAGTAACATTTATTATTACATTTGAGTTAATATTATTTTATATTAAATTCTTAAAATAATGAATCTATTTTTAGGATAGTGTGGACAAATTAAAAAAGGTAGTGACAGATTTCACGGACAAAGTTAATCGAGCCTTTAAAGATACATTAGGTTCTACCAATTCTTTAGCTATAGCAAAGTGTTGTAAAAAAGAAGACTGTAGTGAAAAAGAAGATTTAAATGTTGGCAAGTTGGATATTATTGAACCAGTCCTAGCAAATCAAATAATAGAACTAAATTCTTCTAATAGTATTTCTGTGGATACACTTGTAGAGCCAGATAAATGTGAAGTAATAGCCAAACCAGAAGAAGCTGGAGGTACTATATCGATTACTAGTTTAAATGCATGCACTATAACTTTTATCTAAAATTATATTCTATTCTTATTTAAGGAGAGTTCTGGAAAAAATTTCGGGGCACAATTTTGAAAAAAATGTAAAATATTGATAAATTGCATGCTTTATTATTCATTATTTATGTATTATTTGCAAGTCCGGGGTGGGGGTTGAACTTCCCCTCCACCGTGGTTTTCACATCTGATTCTTATATTTTATTTAATTAATAAAATAGTTTGAATTTCTAAATAATGAAGCTTAAATATAAATAAAAATATTGATTACAGTAGAATATTTATAATATTATATGATGCTAATTTTTTTGGTAAAATGTCTAAAATATATACTTAAAATAATAAGTTTTTTTATAAATTATATTATGTTAATAATCTTCTAGATTCTATGATTCTATGTTTGTGTGGTAGTAACTATAAATACAACTATGTACTTACACTTTAGTAATTTAATCTTTTTAATTATATTTATATATAGTTGACTATTTCTTGATTTTTTTTTTTTTATTTTTTACAGTTTTTGATATGGTAGAAACGCTTGTGGAAAATTCACACAAATATGCCAATGATTCTTTTAATGTAAATCCAACAGTATTAAAATGTATTAGCAAAGACATTCAAATACTTCAAAGAAGTTTACCAGCTGGGATTTGGGTGAAAAGTTTTGAAAATCGTATGGTAAATAATAATACTTAACTTATATCAATTAATATGAATTAGTTATATTTATTTTATTAAAAATAAAATATTATTAAGTTACAATAACTTAAACATTAATATCTCAAATTATTTTTTTGCGCTTTCAGAATCAGGTTATTATAGTTTAAGTACATTGAAAAAGTTATTTTAAATAGGTATTAAGTTATTAATTAAATTTATGAAGTATTTTTTTTTCAATTTAGAAATGAGTCAATGAAATAGATTATTTTTGTCTAATAAATTTTAGTTTGAAATGTTTATAAATTACATTTATTTAATTTATTTAATAAAATTTAAAATTTACATGTTACAGGATTTGTTTAGTGTAATGATAAGAGGACCTGATAAAACTCCATATGCTGGTGGCTTATTTTTGTTTGATGTAAAATTACCTATTAGCTATCCACTCCAGCCTCCACTTTGTCATTATTATAGTTTTTGCGATGACCGATTAAATCCAAATTTATATGAAGATGGAAAAGTATGTCTTAGCCTTTTGGGCACTTGGTCTGGTCATGGTGTTGAATTGTGGTCACCTAGGGATTCTAATTTATTACAACTTCTAGTATCCATACAAGGTAGTAAAATTAAGTTTCAATTCTTATTTTTGGTACTATAATTGTATTATTATTTCAGGACTGATATTGGTTAGTGAACCTTACTATAATGAAGCTGGATTTGATTCTCAACGAGGTCAAAAGCTTGCAAGAGAAAATTCTCGTGTTTATAATGAAATGGCTTTGATTAAAGTAGTGCAGTCAATGACAAATATTTTAAATATGAGTTATTTGTAAGTTAAATTGTGTTCCTATATCCTAGTATAATCTAGAATAATTTATAGTAATCATTGATACTGTAATCAAGGCAATATTAAAGTGGGGGTGATGAAGATATTCACCTCAGGTGACCAAATTTTGATCCATTTAGGGCAACAGTTCCCAATTTTTTCAAGATTATTACCTGCAAACCGGCTAAGATATTAGATAATATCCCTACCCACTAAAAGAGCATGTGTGTCAGGCCTAACGTAAAACCCGCAATTTTTGGGTTATCGTTTATCACAACCCAATAAAACACCAATATATGGAATTGCAATGATGGCTATATGTATTACATAAAGAAATATTGATATTTTTAATTTTTTGTTTGTATTTATGTAAAAATGGTTTCACAGAAAATAATCAAAAGTACACTGTATAATTATAATTTGAAGATAATAAAACAATAACAATTATACTAAGTGGTTATACATAATAAGTACATAAAAAACAAAGAAAAAAATTATCCAGTCTTTACCCCTCAAAATATCCTATTTTACCCCTTGTGGGGAGGTAATTATTACCAGGTTGGGAACTGCTGATTTAGGGAAAGGCGGCCAAGTACAGATTGTTTCGTTGCTTAGTGTAATATTGTATTATTAAATATTATAAATAACAATTAAAAATTCTCAATAATATACATGTTATAAATAATTATAACTAAGAATATATTAAAAAATAAATGAACATTTTTTTTTTTATTATTCTTTTGAAGGAAAAGGTGTACAATTATGGTATGGTTAACCCTGAGTGCAAAATTTATTTTAACTACTGATTCATTTAATTAAAAATAAAAGTTAATAAACACAATTATTTTAAATTTTAAGTTATTATTTATTAAGGTTTATTAAGTTATTAAGCATTATTTCTTTTTTATTGGAAATGAATGTCTTATTTAAATTTTAATGTATTTAATATTTTTGTTTATGAATTTTTTTTAGGAATTCTAATAATATAAGATATTTTAAAGATGAAATACTAGAACACGTAAAATCTCATGGTCAAGAGTAAGTCATTGGCATTTTGAAAAAAAATTTAAAAAAATAAATAAAAAATAATATCAATTATTCTAATTATTTTCAGATTAATTAACACAATTGAAAATTGGATTAAAATGTCTGAAAGAGACTTGTCTGAAGGTAATACTTAATTATATTTTTCTTAACCAAATCTAAATTGAATTTATAATGTACTAAATACTTTACAGTTTTTTTTTTTTTAATTTTTACATGAAAATATAAATTCACATATTTATTTTATGTTTAGATGAAAAACTACTTCCTGGTTATCCGTTATTGCCGCTTTCTAAAGGTTTCTGTCTATCTATCAAAAAAGCACTAAAAGATTACAATGAAGTATTAGCTACTGTATATAGTATGTTTAAATAACCAACTAGTTACTCTTAAATTTTATCCCTTTCAAATATATATATATATATATATGTGTGTATGCGTTTATAATATATACCATATATAATACAATATAGATATGTTTCATATTCAACTGATGGTTTCTATATTTTTTTTATTAATTTATTATTTAAGTTCCACTTATTAAATTATATCAAAGTTAAACTTAATTTTATCTTATAATCACCAACTACTTCATACTTAGATAATAAAGCAAATGTGATTATAATGAATGAGAACCTCATAGAAAATGTTTTTTATATTAGTCATCATTGTTATACACAATTTTATTCCATTTTGTTGTATTATTTATATTATTTTTATTTCCGTGTATATTTTTTGTAAAGTTTGTTATTTTGTGTAATTTTGGCTTAAACATAAATTACATTATAGGTTTTTACAACTTTGTAAAATTAAATATTTTTTCTACTTAATTATAGAAACATACATTTTTATTGATTTATTTATTTTGCAATTTCCTAATTTGGTTAACAGTTTTATTAAAATATTATAACTTATAAGTATAACTAAGAAATGAATCGAAAATTAACCAAGCATTGAATGTGTTGGTGCCTGCTAAATCTCTATAATCTCCAATTTTGTATAATCTGGCCAGTGTTATTGTCACAAGTCTTATTTTATTTATGATGCTATCTCAAATGATATATTGCTATTAGTAATAAAATTAGATGAAACTATGTTCTCATCATTGGAACAAAAGTTAAAAATTTTATTTCTCAGTAAAAAAAGGCCACATGAGCATGTCTTATAAAAAATACGAATGAATAATAATATACAATATATATGTTAAGGCCCAAATGAATAAATAAGTCATTGTACTATAGTGCCTCAGACATTGGCTAAGATATTTAGGCAAAAGTTAACTCAAATATGATGCATTTATATTAAATTAAATATAAAAAAAATGAGAAGGAAATGAAAGAAAAAAAAGAGATAAAATGTAAAGCTACTAAAATTCTATGGAACTCTAAATGTCATATTTAATATAAATTAATATGAATAAAATTATATACGCCAATAATATATGTATCTTGCTCACTTGGCACTTTCAGTACTGACCATTTATACAGTGTCTGGTTCATGTGAATAATTATCTTTTTTTTTTTTATCCGACGCCAACAGGGGAACGGGAACCCAGTACTTCCTCATAAGGTCAGGTGTGAATAATTATCTACATGGCTTGAATTATTCGGATATAGTAAACTTTGTCTAGTTAGTGTTTACAATGACCATTAATCCACTTGGACTATAATATATATACTCTAGTGCCAACAGGTTTCTTGAGTGATAAATTGAATGAAGTATTATTATTAGTTTTCCACCTACATGCCTGATCGTATTCTCATTCTGTACTGTTATATTTCTGGTCCTGGTCAATTAACATAAATATTCATATTTTATCAATGCTTGAAAATATTGCATTAATTAAAATACCAAAGATGCACATAAAAGAGAAAAACCGATCAATTATAATATATTTGTTGTATATTTATGGTTATTAAACAATTTGTTTTGATGTATAAGTTTTTAAATTTCCATCTATTGTGTGGTAAAATTACATAAAAAAATATTGTTAGTAAAAGTAATAATTTAAATAGTTTCTACATCTCAATTAGTTAATTGACAAATAATAAATTGTATATTTGTATGATACACAATTTTCATTATCATTTGGGATTCAAACAACTCTGTAATAAATAAAATATTTTAAAGTTACATAATTGATTAAATACAATTGGTAGGCTGTTAATAATTTAAATTTAAATTTTGATGAGATGTAAGGGGTCTACATTTCTTTAGTTGACTTGATTTTTTAATACAAGATTCTTAAATCAGTTTTATTAGTCTAATGGTTTTTTTTTCTCATGTCATTTTTTTATTAAAAATTTAAATAAATCATGTGAACTAAAATGCTTAACATCAAAACACGTTTGAATGGTTCAAAATTTGATCTTGTAATATTTTGTTTGAAATGCAAAGTTGTAATAGGAAAAATTTGTGAAAGGGTAGAGGATGATGGAAAAGATGGATGCATTACTGCAAGACAATTATTTATCAACAACATTAACCTAACATTTTTATTTTTTTTTTTACCAATTTCATTTTAGATTAGTTATAAAGAATCATTAGCATTGATTAATACAAATATAAAACATATTTTTTTTTATAATAAGACTTTTAATACACATCCAAAAATGTGACTAAAATTTCATGTGTAACTCAATCATAATTATCCAAGGATATTATATCTGGATAGTACCAAATAAAACATATACATATGATATAGATTAATCCACAATTAACACTACCCTTATGGACTATTCTGACTTTACTTTCAGGTTTAATTATATAACAGTTGCTTTATGATTAAGTCATAACTAATAAGATCATTGTGTAAATTTTATACTGCCAATATTGGAACAGAATTAAATATTTATTAGTGTAATAATTTTTTTTTTAATAAAAGTGGTCAAATTAATTAATCACACATATATCTTTACTAATTATTTTTAATATAATTTTGTTTATACTAAATTGATTTTACAATTTTAAATTAATTATTTTATTCAATTATCATTCTATGCAAAAAGATTTTTTTTTATGATTAAAAGAATTTAAGTATAATATACTGAATTATTTAATTAGACCAAGTTAATATATCATTCATAGCAAATCTATGTGTCCAATATCGAGCAATAGTATTGTATGTTTGTTGATCATTATTATAAAGTTGTGCAATGTCAGGTTCCATGCACACATCACAAAATGGATCAGTTAACAATGACTGTATGGAAATCAATACTTTAGCAATAGTCAATGCTAAACTCCAATTATAATGTAGTGAATCTAATCCAATATCTCCATGGCGGGATACATTTGGATGAAATATTTTGGTTAAAAACCTGACGACTGGAGGAGTCATTGGATAACTAAAAATATTAAAAACCATTGTAAAAAATGTATACTACAATACAATTAATACATTTTAACCTACCCATAAGGTATTTGAATATATAAAAAAAATTGCCCTCCTTCAAAAGGACTACCAGCAGGTCCCAAAATAGTGGCTTGCCAGTGACACCAATGATTGTCCAGAGGTACTGCTCTTATACCTTCAGGTGGATCACTTTTCAAATCTGAATAATAATATTAATAAATATATTTAAAATATGACTTAAATTTATATTGTAACCATTAACTTTTAACTTCATGTCGTAATCGTCTTCTTCTCCAAGAGTTTTCTTGACATTCTGCATGGGGGCGACTAATCATACGTCGAATACACAATATACATGATGAACTACCAATCCTTAGAAAATAAAAAATAATAATTTAAGTTTGTTATTACATTTCTAAATACAATCAAAGACACTCACAATGCTGAGATAGCAAAATGCCAGTCATCAACAGGTTTTAATGGCTCATACAGAGGCCAACAACTGTCAACCAATCTACGCCAAGTTTGTGGAATATGCGACCGCAACAACTGTTCCCAACGTGTACACACCTTGCTTACACACCAAAGACTGAAGTCATCCAAGTATGAAAATACAGTCAATAACACTATATAAAAAAAAAAAAAAAATAAATTTCTTACATTTTACATTAAATATAAACTTTTACCTTCAGGAGGAAGTTCTTGAAAATAATCGCTATCACCATCTAAAGGTTGAGGTTGTGGCGCAGACATTTCTGATAATAATTGAAGTCGCCTTGCAAGATCTTGTGATGGACCAACCCGAATAATTTGTGCATCAAGTGGAATATCTTGAACTGGTCGTTGAAAGCCATTGTAAAATGTATCTGCTGGTTCATCATTTCCACTATCACCATCTTCAACTCCCTTTAATATTCAATCACAAATGTAATTTAAAGAACCAAAATAAAACTTTAATTAGGGATATATACTGCAAATAATTAAAATAAATAGAGGAACAATATCATTATTTTTTCATAAAATAAGAACATTTAATTTAGCAAAATTAAAACTGGAAAATAATGATTACATTTTAGTACAAGGACAAATATTATGTATGTTTGTCTACATAATTTAGTACATAATATACTTATAAATGGGCTAAGGATATTAAACATGAACATTTTGAACATATATTAAAATCCTATTAAAATATTACATGTAAATTATAAATAAATTACCATTGTGTTGTGAACATTTTCTTGAACAGCTTGAGCTAACTCTTCAGAAAAAAGAAACAAATGACACGTTTGACAAATTTGTTCATCATAACATGACCCATAAAAACCATTGCATACATAACATGATGATCTCTATAACATAAGCGTAAAATATATTTTAACAAAACACGACATTTATCAAGGCAAAGATCAATTTACTTGTAAATGTGCTTGTATAAAATTACCAACATTCTGATTGTCCCTAGAATGCCCGGTCATTTTATTCCAAGTTTTGTCACGAGTTTAAATTATTAAAAATATTCAAGCCTCCGATCAAGTCAAACAATAAAGTACTGTGCAAGATTAAAAACTTAATAATGTAAAATGTAAATACATACAATTCCTATCGAATCAACAATATTAATATAATACTGCAAATTTCTATCATTATTTGTAAACAATTTAGTTGTTTAACAAAGCGATTTAGATAATATGATTGCGTATCGACTATGAGTATATCATGGTTTCGAGCACAGTGACGAGTGAATCTGCAGGACAAATCTCATGTTCCTAATTTTTATCACGCATGCGCTAAGACTAGGGATTAAATACTTAAATAAGATGATATATATAACGAGGGACAGGTACAGTTCTCCCGATTTTTGATAATAATTGATAACAGCTAACGTGATAAGAACAAAAAAAAACCTAATGCCAACCTCCAAAGTGTAAATAAAATCCCAATTCCCGTTTCCTTTTCCAGCATATAAATGAATAAATAAATAATTGATTTCATACCAATAGTAATTTTTCGAAAAATGTGTACTAAGAAATTTTGTCTTCTATAAAATAAAACCCCGTTTAGTTAGTTTTTAATCAGTGAAATTGGATTTTAATCGTTTATTATTTAAATTTAATTAATTGATCATACTTTATCACTTTTTATCATAATTTATCATATATTTAAGACGTACATATTTGATTCTACTAATGTCTTATAGTATTAATAAAATCTTTGATATCCCTATACGAGTACTAAAGGAATGTTTATTAAAAAAAAAAAAAATAACAAATTTTAACTTTTTTGGATTTTAAAAACTATAGTTAAGTCAATGGGATATGTACTGAAGAAAATAATTGATATTGAATGATTAATGTCAAATTTATTGAATTTTAAAATATTTTTTATTTATCATTATTATTTTGTTTGAGTTAATTATATTAGAATCTTCACATTTCTATCATTTATTAATCAAATAGTACAGATTTTAAATTTTTTACCTGCCGGATACATGTGTATTTTTATAATATTATGTGCTCCGTTATATTTCTTAATCTTAATTTTCCTTTTATACCTACCTAAATAATAAATATCTATTGAAGATATATTTTATTCTGTTTTGATAAAAATGTAAAAATTTTAGTCAAATGAATATGATGCACATACTCAATTAGAAATTCAAGCATATGTAGCTTTATATAAAACTCATGATACAATTTGAATTACAAAAAATGAACATTACCCAATAAAATTTTAAAAAAGTACAGTAAGTAATAAATGTTAGTTATAATAATATATATATATTGATTATTAATATAATACTAGTTGTGTAGATACAGATTATTTTTTTTATTTTATTTAATAGGTAAGTATATATATTTTTGACCGGTAAGACTTACAAATATTTTGTTCAGCTGCTTTACAGCTTGTAGATCATGAATGTGATATCACCGGAACACTGACTATTTAATGGACAAAACGAATTAAGTGTGCACACTCAATTCATATTCAATGTGCATGTATTTTTGGTGTTGGTAGGTAATATGTTACATCTTAGTAGTTATGCAACAATCCTTTTATTTTAATAATAATCGTCACTTTTTTTATTTTATTTTTCATATACAATTACAATAATCATTGAATAGTACAGGAATACCTAAACAAAATCATTTTTATTACAGATACAAAACTTTGTATTAATTTTGCAGTAATAATATAAGGACCAGCCTGATAATATTGTTCAGGTATATAATTTTTTTGTATTTATACATCAGTTAAAATTCAAAAATAATTATATATTTATATAAAAAGCTTTATATGTAAACAATAACCATTAATTTAATTGGTATCAAGTTTACTCCATACATAAAAGATACTGTATATTATTAGTTATAAAGGTTATGGATAAAAATACTTTAAATTTGTTTAAAAGTGGTTTTATTTTTGAAAAACCAATTTATAATAATCTTAACATATGATTTACATATTAACATGAATATTTTGTTTTAATATCACAAAGTTATTATCATTTAATATTACACACACACACACACACACACACACACACACACACACACACTCACACAAATAATAATAAAAAAGGAGGGAATTGTAAAAAAATATTTTTACAAGGAAAAAAGGACCACTTACTAAAATAAACAACAATATTTTACATCTGCTTAATTGTACAGAAATACGGCAGAGAAGAAAGAAATGCAAAGAAATTACATATGTCAAAAACAAATTAAAAGGGTTGGGTTAAAAATATATACATTACACATGATAATATATAAGAATTTTACTAAAAATATTTTTATGTATAAAAATAAACTATTTACAATCAATGTTCAGTAATTGAATGCTACTCATAATCTAACATATTTTGGTACAAGATAAAATTAAAAAACTAAAATTTAAACGAACAAAACATTAAAACATTTATCATTACAATGTATTTTTTTGAATTCAGGTCAATAAATATAGTTATAATTATTTTAGTACTATTACTAAGATAAACAAGTGGCTAGGAATTGTTTCGAGGTCTACGTTCATAATCTCTTCTGTATTCTGTTGCAGGAGGATGCCAATCAGTCGAAACACTGTATGGTGGTAAACTCAAGTATGTAGCTGAATTTGAGCGGCTATATAATTCAGGACCATAAAAGCTTGCTGCAGCTGCTTGTCCATAAGCAGCATATGCTTGTTGTTGATACCTGTAAAAAATTTAATTTAATTTAACAATTAAAAAAAATGTTATGCTTGATTTACAAACCTCATTTTTTCATACATTCTCATATCAGAATCAATTTCTCTGTCTCTTTCTCGGAATCCAGGACGACTGCGATAACTACTGTCATATCTTTCTCGTCTGGTATTAGACTCTCGACTAGATGAAAACCTTTAATGTACAGTCAATTATAATGAGTAAAACCATCAACTTAGAAAATTTACGATTAATTCAACTTTAATAACCTTCGATTATCACTTCGACTGTCACTACGACTCTCACTTCGATTATCATTCCTAGAGGTGTAGGGTGTACTTCTATTTCTATGGTGATTGTAATTAGTATCATATCGATTACTGCTTTGATCATATGATCTTGGAGCACTAGAAGAATTACTAGAACTTGGAGGAGTAGATGGAACTATAGTTGGAGTAATTAATGAAGCACCTAAACTATTGTTTGAGTTGAATTTTTGTTTTTTATGTGCTTTTTCTGTATCTTCACCTTCTCGAGATTTTCGTTTTACAGGTGTGAGTATATCTTCAGATTCAATCTGATTAAAATTAAAAATGTTCATTCTAACTTATATATATATATATACACAATTTTTTTATTTTCAATAGAAAAATTACTTTATAACATTGTACAACTTACACTTTTTTGGACTTTTTTATCATCTTTATGTTTATCTTTAGTTTTAATTTTATCTTTAATTTTGGTATCTTTTTCAAATTTTTCATTTGTATGCAGTCCTCGTCGATAAATTTTTAACAATTTCTTAGAATCAAATTCAGTAAACTTTGATACGAAAAACCACAAATTACTATAAAATGAATCAACTTGATAAATATAATATTATTTTAATTAATTAATTATAAATTTTTTAAATATAACAAACCTTCTCCACTCTCGAATTTTATCTTGATCTTTATATTCTTCCAAGCATTTACCAATGTGAGATCCAATTTCAATTAAACATTCTTGCATATGGTTTACATAACGTAATTCATTTTTTTTCTCTTCTGGATCATCTAATGCTTTTAACACTTTCTTTACAGGTCTCATTTTTTCTTTACACTATTAAAAATTATTTAATACTTAATAAACATAAATATTTAATTTCTAATCAACAGTTATTATAATCAATAAAGATAAGATTGGATAAAGATTTAGAAATTATTTATTTTTAATAGGATTTATTAACTGATGGATATGAATGGACATATATGATAAGGGGAAAGAGACCAAGGGAAAGACCGCGGAAAAGATGGAAAGACTGCGTCAAAGAATTATTAGAAGAAATTGGAAAGGACTGGGAACAGGCATACAATAGAGAGCGATGGAAGGAATTAGTTTGGGCGGCCAAGAGTCTAAATTGCTTGTGAAAAACCTAAAAAAAAACTGATATGAATAGTAAAATAATAAAAGCTATATTCTTTAAAAATTGAGAGGTTATATGATATAAGAGTTAGGAAATACAAATTGATATTAGTTAAGTGACTTTTAAAATATATATTAGTCTCATGAAATAAAAATGTTCACGCTATTATTGATTATCAATAGAAAAATGCTTACCTCTAAAAATGTATCTTTTGGCAATTCAACAATATCATCTACATTAACAGCCTTAGGTTCACTATTAGCAGTAAAATGCATGGGACCTGTTTTAGTGGTAATTTTACGTTTTTTTTCTTTCTTTGGTGATCCAGTTAAAGTAGATTTTGTTGTATTAACATCTTTTTTTAACTTCAACTTTTCATCTTGATTAGGATTACTATCAATTGTTTTTTTCTTGTTTCCATTTTCATTATCAGTACTATCATCGTCAATTACTTCTCTTGATTTTCCTTCTTTAACTTTACGAGCTTTCTTAGGTCTTGGATCTCCTTTAACTAAAACTTGATTTTTTTTCAACAATTTCAGTAAATATTCAGAACGGGCTAGTAAATGTTTAGCTTGAGGTTTTTTATCTTCATTAGATAATATTTTGTCACTAAGACCCAGAGCAGTATCAATTTTTATTGCTTCCCATGAACCCAGTCCATAGAGATAAATTCCAATTAATAATTTAGAATCATCAGTTATATCCCAGTTAAAATCAAAATTAGCAGATTTGACACGCTTTAAATCTAAAGTCCATTTAAATCTCTCTTCTTCATCTGATGGTATAATATCATCTAAAACATCTAATTCTTCACTACAAGCCAATACACTTTTAGCGTTGACTGCGACACCACCAAGTTTAATTGAAGGCCCTCTATTTCTTTTTTTGACACCTTCTTCATTAATAATATCAGATTCTTTTTCGGTGTTTTCACTATTGCAAGCTTCATGGCAGCGGTCATATAACATTTGAACTAATTTTTTTAATTCTGATTTAGGCTTTTCTTGTAGATCAGCATCGCCAGCTACTGCATCAATACGTTTCATTGGATTAGGGAAACGTTTACAACTTTTAATAAATTTTCGAATCTGAAAAAAAATAATCAAATAAAAATTAAAAACATTTTTTCTAATTATTATAAGACTACAATAAACTATTATAATACTATTATAATACCTCTGCATCAGTGAAACCTTTAACTACTTCTTTGGTTCCAACACGAGGTCTACCACGTTTCCTTGGTTGATCTTCATCACTACCATCATAACTAGAATCATCAGATTCATTTGTTTTAGATTTTTCACCTTTTTCTTCTTGGTTAACTTTTTGTAATGTTTTTCGACTTCTAGGAGGTAAATAAAGGTCCTCCATTTCTTTTGCTTTTTCTTCTTCTTCAACTTTTTTTCTTATTGTTTCAGGAATAATTTCTTCCTAATTTAATTTTAATTTAAAAAAATAGAAATTTAACTTTTATAATTAAAAATAAATATTCAAAAATATTTAAAATACCCATTCTTTATTTTCTGAATCATTTTGAGCACTAGGTGATTTATCAGCTATTTCTTTTTCTTCATCAAATGTAAAACTAGCAACCTTAAAAGCTGATAATAGTTCATCACCAACGGTTGTTGGAGCTTCATCTCGTGTTTCAGCGCGTCGTAAAATGTCATCAATATCACACTAGAAAATTAAAATGAATACTTTTATTTGAGTACATATTGATATTAATAATTTAATCATATCTTACTATAGGATCTTCATCTGCTCCAGGTTCATCTTTAAATAATTCCTCAGCTCCAAATTTTAATATTGCCGTTAACTCATCTTTATTAAAAGGAATTGATGCATTTTTTGCTTTCTTGTCTAAAACTGTACGACCAGTAGTATCCATTCGTTGAATTACTAAGTGGTCTAAAACCATTTTCTGCTTGGCTCTTTCCACAATGTTTTCTTCAACGGATCCTTTGGTAACTAATCTATAAATGTTAACTTGATTCTTCTGTCCAATTCTATGAGCTCGTGCTTGAGCTTGTAAATCATTTTGAGGATTCCAATCAGAGTCAAATATGATGACTGTATCAGCTGTAGCTAGATTAATACCAAGACCACCAGCTCGAGTGGATAATAGGAAACAAAAATCTTGAGATCCCTCAGCATTGAAATGTTCCAAAGCTTGTCTTCTTATATCTCCTTTTATACTACCATCAAGTCTTTGAAATGGTAAATGTCGATAACTTAGATACTCAGCAAGAATATCCAACATTCGAACCATCTGAGAAAAGATTAATACTCGATGGCCAGTTTCTTTCAGACGTACTAATAATTTATCAAGAAGCATTAGTTTGCCAGACCCACGTAATAAACTCTGAAATTATAATAATAATAAAATTAAATGTATTATGAATTTGCAATTGATTAACTATAGTACGGCTACTTAGAGAGCGCTACTCCTTCGTGCATACAAATGATTGAGCTCCATGGTTTTGCCGCCATAAATTCCCTTTCTTAATACGCAACGACCGGTGGCTTATACTGTGCTGGCAGCATGACGGTGTCAGCGGCACACATTAACGGTGGCCAGCGTTTTAGCAGATTTAGTGGTGGGAATGCGCAATAACAGACGAGTTTTGGTCATCTCTCAGTGGCCGTACGATAATAAATTAAATTTTAATAAAAATCACCTGGAGATTGTCATCAGCTGTGTTTTCATTTTCTTGAGGTTTTGTTAAAAGAGCATGATTACAACATTTTTTCAATTCTATCATAATATTTAAAAATGTTGTAGATGATCCTTTAGATCCTTTTCTTAAAGCATTATAGTTTTTTGTTAGAATCCATTTGTAATATTTTCTTTGAACAGGAGTCATTTCAACCCTTAATATTTGTTCTACCTATCAAAATAATTACAGTAACAATAAATTAATAATTTAGCTTTACATTGGGATTCAAGATTGTTTTTATATATTTATATTTGTTGTCAATATGTAAGAATAATGGAAATATTAGAAATAACTATAAGAAAAAAAAAATTATAAGTTATTGTAATAAAATTGGTATATAAATAAACCTTTATATAGTAGGTATATGGTATATATATTAAAAATAATATATTTGCGAATTCTCATTAATCATAACTATCAATAATAAAAATTTTAGTATTATAATCAATAATATTGTGGACCAGTGTTAATTTAGAGTAATAAGTAAGGTACACTTAAGTAACAGACAAAAATTTTTAGTTAACCTTATATAATTATTTTATTAAATGACTATTAATGATTAATATTTCATGTTATTGTGGTTTAAGACAAACAACTCTCCAAAAGACTGAATGACATATTTTTTTTTTTTTTTTTTAGCAGTTAAGAGTAATAAATGTTTTAATCATTTTTATTATACCAAGTAAAAAATAAATTACAACTTGGATTGTAATAACTTATAAATAATTAAAACTTGCATAACAAATTTTAGATTTTAAAGTGCAACAATAATAATAGACATGAATGTATAAATACATATATGACAAATTAAAGTTTGTGAAAGGCACTATAATTATGTATTTAGTATTTAATTTCCAATATTACCAAAATTAATAAATATATGAATTCTAAATACTAAAAAAAAAATAAATGATTTTACTATTTATCATGTTGTTATATTCAGAATAACAATTTGGAATGTTAAAAGATTATTAAATATAAAAAAATAAGGATTTCTATGATAATATTAATACATTCATGATTACATGAACAAATCAAACTTCAAAATTATTTATAAAAAAAATTATTAACAGGAATAAAAATATATTTATATTCTTACTTTAGCTGGTAATGATTTTTCTACATCCTTTTTAACACGACGTAAAATATAAGGTTCTAGTTGTCTATGAAGTTTTGTATATCCTTTACTGGCTGCATTGTCATGCATGTGCTCAAATTCTTCCCAGTTATCAAATCTAAATGATAAAATAAATAATTTCGATAAAAAAAAAAAAAAAAAAAACCACATACTTTTCAGGCATAATGAAATGCAATAAGGCCCACAATTCTTTTAAACTATTTTGTAAAGGGGTTCCTGTTATAAGTAATCTATGATTAGTCTCAAAACCTTGAAGTGCTTTGTATAAAAGTGAATCATCATTTTTTAAACGATGTGCCTCATCAACCATCAAAACAGCCCAACTAAGACTGTTTAAAAGTAAACTATCTTTGAGCACAATTTCATATGTAGTAAGAATAGCATTAAATTTCAGTCTTTTAGAACTCTCAAAACACCATTCGGTTTCACGTATCTGTAATAAATAAAAATTAAATCACCATAGTTTATGTGTAACATTTTAAAATTACTTACAATGTTTCGAGATTCAACATCTCCAATGTATGTAACAATATTAATATCTGGAGCCCATAAGCTGAACTCTCGTTGCCAAGAAGGCATAGTTGATAAAGGAACAACTACTAGGAATGGACCATGAACTTGATAGTTGTGAAATAAATAATAAAGAAAACAAATAGTTTGAATGGTTTTACCAAGACCCATTTCATCAGCAAGAATTACAGAATTATCTTTACACCATGAATGAATAAGCCAATTCACACCATGTAATTGATAATCCCGCAGAATCAATTTCTAAATAATAATTAATCAAAAATAAAAAATATATAATATTAATATTTATTTATTTAAAAACAAACCTCATCATAACCACCAAAATATTCTGGTTCTTCGGTTAGCTGAACAAATTTTGGACGATATTTTAAGGCTCTGCACGCTTTAGATGGCGTTCTTTTAGAGCTTTCACGATCTCTGAATTCCTTAATTTGCTTGGGCCATTTGCGTTCTATTAATGAAGCAACTTCCCATGTTGCATCACTATAAGGTAATGATTGCCATTTCACATAATATTCTTTTTGTATTGCATTATTTTTTGATTCCCCTATAAAATAAAATTAAAAAAAAATTGATTTAAAATAAATTATAGAAACTACAATGATATATTAATAATATTAATAAAACTACATTTTTATGCAACTTATATGAGTTTCTCAGTATTTAAGTAATTTTATAAATACATTTTAATTCTTTGAAAATATATGCTATTTAACAATTCAAGAGTATATTTTTTAAAATTACTAATTCACTTAATTTTAGTTTATATTAATCAAAAAAATGATATTACATGAATAATTTAATAAATGTTTTTTATAACACCAATATAAATAAGTATAAATTATAAAAACAAATTTTTTAACAATACAATTATTGTCTATGTCAAAATATTTATAATCAGTTAAAATATTTATTTTTTTAATTATAGTCAGCAACCAAGGAACTTCTAATAAAATCTTAGTTCTATGTCATTAATTTAAATTTTTTGGAATTCTTACTAAACTAAATTTTTTCTGTGAAAAAAATGTTAATAATTTACACTTTATTTAAAATTGAGTTCATTTTATATGACCGATGATTATTTTATTAAGTTTAAACCAGTTATTAATATTTGCATATATTATACAAGACTACAGCAGGCAAGAACTATTAATTTTTATTTATATTCATTTGATTAAAAATATTTAATAATTATGTATATATTTAAAAAACTATTATTATTTTAAGAGTATAATTCAGAAAATAATTTTATTTTTATTTTTAAATTGTTTCAATTAAATACATAAAAAATTAACTTTAATTTTTTTCAAAGATTTTGTCATTAATATAATATAAATAATTAAGCCTAGAACATAAAATAACTTTTGTCTTTAATAAATGTACCTATTATTCTTTCAACAGTATTGTAGCTTTTTAATAAATCTTGTTGAAGTTCAAGTTGGCATTCATAATATTCAGAATCTTCAGGTGTCATTAGATTACGCCAAGCATTGATAGAATCTTCACGTTTCACAAAGTTGTCAATTTTTTTAAGCCCTTTAACTTTTTGGACTTGAAGTGAATTTATTGATTCCCAAGTGTTATGAATGTGTGACCAGCCTTTCCATTTAATCAAATACTGAGTTTCTTTTTCACTGGGTTCACACTCAATATTAGGATCTCCATTATCCTCAACTGCATAAAAAGTTGTTATAGCTCCAACAACACCTCTTTTACCTTGTCTTCGTGCTAACACTTTTTCTATTGTCTCAGATGTATCAGGAGGTTCTTCTTCTTTTTCTTCAACTTCCTCTCTTTCCAGGTAATCATCACTATCACTTTTTTCGCTTTCTTCTTTGTAACTGACTGTCGCAGGTCTCCGTCGGGCATTTCTTTAAATTAAAACAGTATTTTTATTAAAAAAAAAAAAAAAAAAAGTACAACTTAATATTTCATTGCTATAGTAATGTTCAACATTACTTACCTAGATTTACTATAATCATCATCACTATTGGCACTAAAACTATTATCTTTCCGCTTATATCGTGGATTTACTTTGGTTATAGGTCGTCTAGTTGGCTGTTTTTGACGTCGCAATGAAGCTAATGATTTACTACGAGGTACTTCTTCTTTATCAGTTTCAGAATCATAGTCTGAACTATCACTTTTTGACTTCCTAATCATAAAATATAATGCGTAAAAAAATATTATTATCAAAGAATGAAACTATTTTATTATTTTCAATAATATTAAAATCTATGGCTGTCTTACGTGGTTTTGGTTACTTGAGAACTGTAGTCACTTGAATCATCACTTTCACTAAGTTTTAATGAAGTTTTAGTCAAACGTTTAGGACGTTCTGAAGGACTACATTCTTCTGTTGATTGTTCAGAACTATTAGCTTCTTGAGAAGCTGGTTCACTGTGTTGAGATTGACTATTAAAATATATTTTCTTATATTAATGATAATAAATTTATAAAAAAAAAACAATGAAGATATCATATAAATATCAGTATAAGTACATAAATATTAAAAACAAAATGAATTGAGATTATTTAGTATTTAATAGAATATATTCTATTTTTTACAGACCAATAAATACACAAAAATTCAGGTTTTTTAAGATAACTTTTTATTTTTATTTATCAATCATAATCTAATTTATTTAGAGCTACATTGTACATCCACCATCAGAGTTGTTTATAAAATATTTATTATATATATGTTATGTATGTTTATTTTTAAACATGTATAATTAATTATCAGTGACATAGAAATTAAATGATATAAGTGATATCAAGGGAAGCTGCAAAAAGCTGTGGAATGGGTATGTTTAGAGGAAAAATAATTAAATTATAGAAACAGTAATTAAAGGGGATCAGATAAAAAAAAAAGATCAACGGGCAGAATTCTCCTGAGATGGAAAGATTGTGTGGAGATATACAAGTGCTAGGTAGAAGAGATAGCTGAAAACAGAAAGAGACAGAGAGAAGAAAATTTGTTGTATAAATCTCTGTTTATTAAAAAAAAAATATTAATAGATTGTTAAACTTTTATAATTTAATTAATTAGTTTACCACCATAAAAATGAAATAAAATGATCATTTGGAAAATAACGGAAAATAACATATTATCTAATATTATATTTTTAATTAATAATTTAAATATTGTAATTTCATATAATATACAAGTTAATTTGATTATATTTTTACCAGTTAAGTTGATTTTTCATTGTAGAAAACAAGGATTGACACTCTTACCAATTTAGTGAAAATTTGTTACAATGATTCAGAACAATCAGTGATGAGCATATAGTACTCTGAAAAAAGACCATGGATTTATTCACCATACTGTGAATCATAGTAAAATTGTTGTGAACCCAAATAAAATTATTTTTGTAGTTAGTTAAGACCAAGTACATTATTTAAGTCAATTTAAGTTTTTAAACTTCCCCAATATGAAACTGCCATCTAAAAGAATGGTGGAAATCATGTCACTTAATAAAAATTCAAACGTTTGATGATTTTAAGATTTAAAGTAATATTAATATAACATTTATAACATTAATAACAGTATTAACTAAATAAGCAATATTTTAGCGAGCATTATTCTATTAAGTAGTATGTGTAAATAAGGTAATCGGTATGAGATCATACATTAGAATGCTTTCTGAATTCAATTTAAATATATGATGACCATAAGGAATCTCATAATATTTTTAGAGCACTTTTAGTAAATTTTATTACAATGATAATTAAATTATCAAATATTTGAATTTTCTTGAGCTTATGTATATTTATAATTTCAAATCAATTTTTTCTTAATATATCAAAAATTTAACTAATGCACTCAAAAATTAAAATAATGAAAAGTTAAAAAAAAGTAAATAATTACTCAAGAATAATAATATTCTTGTATTATATTATTGAGCGACCCTTTTATTATGATAACATTAAAAAGTAGTGATAAATTAATATTATATGATTTATACGTTTTATTGAAAATCCTAAAATTGTATCAGTTGTAACTCTCAACAATCATTATCATGATGATATTTACAAAAACACCTCACTAGTTATTTTATATATTGGCGACCCTAAAGATTGCTGACGACCCCTAAGGAGGTCGCGATTCCCAGTTTGAGAATCGCTGTCTTATATTAATGGTTGGCAACTAGTGGCCCGTGGAAGAGAGGCTACTAAACCATTAACATATATTATTTTATTACATTAATTTAAGATTTAAATCATTTTTAAGAAAAGTAAAAAATAATAATAATATTTTATTGATTTTCAAATATTGATTATGATTAGATTAATAATGGAATTTTTAAAATATTTTATTATAAACTAGTAAATAGCACAATAAATCCTTTTCTTTTCTGTACCTCTATTATTAAAATAGATAAAATAATTTTTTTGTTTTATCTAATGATAAAATTATTTTAAATTTTAAATTGTATTTGTATGTTTCTATTCGTATATAATTTTAAATATTAAATTTAAAACTTTAATACTGAAAAAAAAAACATGCAACCCATTAAATTATCTGTAGCAAGTCGACTGTACATGCCACTATCTGTCAACTACCACATCTTTTACTGCTTTAAAATAAAGAAGATTTGTCTATATATACTCGGGCTATGCAAATTTCTTGCTTTACAGAAGCGAAATTATAATTCAAAATTAAATTAAAATATGATTTTTTTCAAGTGCTGAAGAGTGTGTAGTACCAGTAAATCAAATCCTGCGATTGTTTCGCTAAAAACTTTATAACTTTCTAGATACCCAGTTGCTCTGATTTGTCTTAAGCTCTTGCAACCCAAAATTACCTAATATATATATCGTACATTTGTTGTTAAAAATAGTATGCAGCAGATAGTACAAAAGCGATATCCGTAAATTTATGTTTTTAAACTTGACAATACACAGTGAAACCCCCATTAACGGACACCTCCCATTAGCGAACGAATTTTTGGGAGCAAGGACATTTTCACTACTTTTCAAAGGGAAAACCTCCGAATATTATTTTAACCTTTATTTGAAAATAATACATATTCACATTCATATGTACTTTCGTAATAATTTAATTATGATAACACTCGTTATGGAACGATAAGATACAATATGTAATATGAACGATTATGAGTGTTATGACAAAAATATGTTAGTTAAGACCAGAGATGGAACTAGGAATTTTTACGCCCGGGTAAAATGTTAAAATTACGCCCTATCCATAAACTAATAAACAAATACTCAAATAAATTGTGTTCTTATAATCAATATACAATCGTACTTATTGAGTTTTAACCTAATATCAGTATTTAACGAAGTTAAAAATATCAAATTAGTTTTTAATAATTACGAAAATTACACCCTCTAAAATGTTACGCCCGCGGATAAATCCCCGACTTCCCCCCCCCTAGATCCGGCCTTGGTTAAGACACACAGAACACGGTCACCAATATTTTCCCGCAGCGGTAAAAATGTAATTCGTAATATTAAATTACCCCTGTCACACAAAGAGCGTTATGTTACAGTGGTACAATTTTGATCGCAATGCCGACGAGACTCAGTGACGGCGCGAGGGGATGGGCAATAGGGGCAGTTGCCCAAGGTCCCGCACCTTAAATTATAATTAAAGCCCCGCGGTTCTATTTTAACTGAATTTAAAAATTGTATTAATATAAATTATAAGACCCAACGTTTATTTTGCCCAGGGCCTCGCAAACTCTAGCACCGTCAATGACGGGACTGGGCTACTTTTCGAGTTCTACCCAATAAAAATATGACATTTAAAAACGAAACGTGCAGCGGTGGAAAAGGTTAAAAATAACGATAAACTGTACTATTGTGCTGCAATATGATAGGTAAGAGAGTTTGAACGTCCTCTCGTCATAGGCAAGGCAAGCGACCGCGTGATTTCAAAAATTAGATGTAAATAAATTCCCCATTGACTGATGTTGGAATAAAAAGGGTTGGATGCAGTGGCGCAACCAGGGGGGTGGACTCCGGGTCTGGACCCCCCTCTTGGTATGTATAATAGTATATTAATATCATATTCTAGATATATATATATTATAATTTTTTATTATTTGTATATTAGTTTATTTTGTCAGACCCCCCCCCATGAAAAATTCCTGATTGCGCTACTGGTTGGATGACAACACAAATTGTGACAGACTGGCTTATGAGGTTTGATAAACAAACAAATGATAAAAAAATCAAAGAAAAGTAATACTTTTTTATCCACAATGCAGCTCTCCCAGCTTAAATTACAAAATGTCGAGCTATTTTTTCTTCCCCCAAATATGACGTTTCACTGACAACCTATGGACCACGGCATAACCCAACAATTTAAAAAGCTCTATTGAAAACAACTGTTACAAAACGCAGTTGCTGATTTAGATGCTAGGGACTCTTGTGCTATAAATGATTCTTGCAATGTAGTTTCTGTTGCTGAGATAGTCAATACGATTAACAATCAGGGCAAACAATTGATAGCGGAGAACAATCAACAATAGATAGAGAACTTATAACTCTCATCACACTGATTGACAGCAGTGTTGAGGTAGACACCTATTTTGAATTAGACGAAATCATTTCTACTCATGATACCAATCTAACGAGGACCAATGATCCAGATGAGGAAGATGAATCTGAAGAAGCAGAAACTTCAAAATATCAAATATGTATTATGTTTACAGGAAACTTTGTCTGCTATATAGAATGCAAGTGATATTATTTCATCAATAGGTTAAGACCAGTACTATTTTCACTTCTGTTGGAACATTAGCAAGTATTACTAATAAGATTGCACAGAGACAGTGTAATTATAAACAGACAATGTTCACCGATTTTTTTTTTCTTACAAAAATAATTTAAAAATACATGTAATTTAAATAATAATAATTTGTTAAAATGTAATAATTTACAATAAATAATAACCTATGAATAATATTATTCATTATGTTAAATATATATAATATACATACATCCATACATAGTACATTATTTAATTTATACATTTAACTTTTTCTACAGATGTATGCTTTCTGAATTTCAAAATTGTATCCCCTCTTAATAACTGACACCTCCAAATTACGGACAACATTTTGGTGACCAAGCAAAATAATCCAATTTTAGATTTAATTAGTTACTATTAATTTAACCTATCATATAATATTAATTTATATTTTTAAAGAAAATAATTTAATATATAATTAATTTTACTTACCTTTCAGAACTAGATGATGATAATGAACCAGAGTTCTCATTATTTTGATCAGAATCTGAAGAGTCATCTTCTGAAGCATTCTGCAATTTAAATCCCATACTTAAGAGAGATAACATTTTTGTACCATGTTTTATATAAAATTATTCATTTATGTTCATTGTTAAAATAATTTCTTATTTCAGGATGCTTATGTTCATTTTAATCAATTAATCATTATTATATAAAATTTAAATATATCTACAAGTACAAAAACAAATATTTGTTGAAAAATTAGCCTAAAACTCGGAAGTTATTGAACAAAAAAAATATAGTCAATTAAGTACCTAATAGTTTAAAAAAAACGTTCCAAATTGTGCTTATAAATTTAAATTAATTTTTTTTACTAAAATTATATTTAAAAAGACTTTTTAATAGGTTTTATTATTTTGTTTAATTGGTTTAAAGTATTATTAATGTTGTAATGATTAAGTCTTATTAATATTTATTTAAGAACAACATTAAAAAAATTCAAATTAACTGGAAAACCAATTTTTGTTTGTCTTTCAGGAACACCTACCTACCATATACAATTTATCAAAATTTAAAAACTTTAATTTTACCATGACATTTTTTTTCGTATTTTAACATAATTTAAATTAAAGCAGTTACTCCGATCATTGTAATTACAGGAAATATAGTCTAAATAGTTGATACTCTAAGTGGATGATTTTACAACACCCCTAATAATGTTCTTAGTAACAAATAAAAAGAAAAAAAATAATTTAAATTACATTGGTTATCAAAAAAAGTAAATACAACATGGAATCTCATAATTTATAATAATGATACAGATTTAAATTTTCATTGGATTCTTATATCACTTACAGTTTGCTTGGTTTTCTGAGCCATTTTCTTTTTTTTATTTGACTTGCATGAAACAAATAGAGAACCTCCTTAGCAAAAAATCCGTTCCGAGTTAATTTTTTGAGTCAAAAATTACAATTAATATTTATTTTTCAAAAATGCAATCTATTAAGGTTAGAATACATATTCCTTTAGAACAAAATATTAAATAATCATATAAAAAAGTAAGGTAATTAATATAATAAATCAAATAATGAATATAATCAATTAGCATAAATGTTGTACATTAATTCATAAATAAAGAATTTACTTCCAAGACCAGTTAATGTTAAATAATATTTATCATATAAAATTTCATAATAATTTTTAAAGATAAATCATTCATTTCTGTGTTATAAGTAATAAGTATACAAATAATAGTTTATTTAGTGTAACTATGAACAAAAAAATAATAGTTACATACAACAATAATAATAAAGAGCATAGTAACATGGTTAATCCAATTGGGTTCCGTGTAAATAAGAACATTAGTTAAATATATAAAACAAATACCTGGAACTGTAAGTAGAACATATATTTAGTAAACTTTAGTAGGATATGTATTCTAAAGAGGACCCGTATCAACATGTATAAAAATGAAATAACACATTTTTAGTTTATAACTTTAATATAAGAGTTAATTATTCATTTTTACATTAAGAAAAAAATATGTTTGAATTTTATTTTAAAAATATTTAAATTTCTTAAGTGAGTAATGAATCTATAAAATATTCTAAGTTTTTTATTTTCAAATATATATATTTTTTATCATTTCTATTTTTATTATAATTATATCATAATGTTAAACAAATTAAAGAAATTAAAAACCTATAAAATAAATTGTTTTTAATTTTCATTAAAATTGGAAAATAATCAAATACAGTAATCTAAAAATCATAATAAATAACATTTGATAATCAAATACAATTCAAAAATAAAATAAAAATGTACATTATAAAAACAAACACTATGATAAGTCACTTATAATAACAATAAGTAGGTAGGTATTATTAATAGGAATTGGTGAAAACCAAATAGTTGTATTTAAGAGGTTAAAAAACTATAACTTTTAATTATCAATTACAATTAATAAACAAAAAAGTAATGTTTGATTTTTAAGTTAATAATATTGTTTATTTAAAAGATTTTATTTATTAAAATAAAATGTTTAAAAATAGATTTACTATTCTATCAATACCTTGAAAATATAAAAATCAACTAAATTAATATCAAAAAGAAAAACGTTTTGATACTAAAACTATATCAAATTAATTAGTAGGATATAATGCCAGCATTATTAAACTATATACTCAAAAAATGAATGGTAAGTATTCAAACTATATCACTTCAAACACTACTTAAATATAGCTGAAATATAGTAAAAATAGAATTGATTCATGTATTTCAAATTCAAACTCAAAATGAGGTCCGTGATAAAAAATAAATTGGTTTGTTGAAAAAAGAGAAATTTGCCTACTAATTAATACTTTAATATTAATTACTTACATATGAATGAATATTTAATGAATAAAGTATTAGTAATATATATTATTTAAAAGTTTCTAAGTAGAAACTCAATTTTATTAACTAAAAATATTGAGGATCAATAATTAATAACCACATGCTTCTCATCCTAATAAAAGTTAAAAACTTACTTCATAATCAAGGACGAGTAAAATTCAAGTTATATAGTATTATTTAGTTGTGTTGACCATTTATTATCTATGTGCACATTAACTTTAACTTAAAATTTAAAAAATGGGTCCGATTCAAATTTTCAGTTTTCATACATCAATGGCTCAGTCAACTAATGTACAATTTATAACTAAACAGAAATAAGCTGTCCAACCATTTTTACTACCACTATGAGACATTAAAACAATCGAAGAATCAACTCAATAAAATCAAGAATATATTAAGTTTTCAAAAAGTAAGCTTAATAATGCCTACTAATTTAGCACATATCATCACAATTTAATAAATTTATTCAAGCCACAAAATATCATTGTAGAATATATTCACTGTATTACAGAAAATACACATGGGTAGTCATGTAAGGGTTTAAGTCTCATTAAAAAATCACCTTAAGTATTTAAATTGTGAAATGACGATTTAGCCTTAAGATTTGAACAGAGATGAACTTGGTTGGTAAAGACCTAATAGACTCGACTGAAGAATACTCTTAAATATTTAGATTATTCAAATAAATCAAAATTAATATTGAAAATAATTAGGAACTGTTTCTTACCTGATGCATTTTAGGTAGTTTTAACAGTCTTGTTTATTAAAAGGCAGCACTGGAGTATGAATAAAAGAACCAATTTTTAAGTGTTAAGGATATTACATTTTTTAACGGATTGTTTAAAAGTTAAAATTATTAAAAACCGTCGTTTCACCTAAATGAGACCAATGTTGGACAGTCAAGGTGAGGAGGTGAAGTGGAACAGCTAGCTCGCATGCGTTTCGCGGATGGGCACAATTATTGCGAGTTTAACACACAAAAATCTACTACATTCAACAAGGCATTGGATATCAAAATTCAATTTCAGAAAATTAAATAAAACGGAGACCGATCAACTTTTAGTTACAAACGTGTACGAGAGTGCGGAAAACGGTACGAGACAAACAATGAGCGGCCATTTTGTGCGAAGAGATTACACAGAGAGGTGGTGGTACCCCCGCACCACCACATCAATCCCTACTACGCTACACTATATTATCCAATGAACGTATGACGTTGACAAGTAATGCTTGGAAACAAAAATTTAATTAACAAAAAAAATATAAATTTTTAGACCAATTATGGAAACTGAGACTTCTACAATTAATGTCAATTGATTGATAATTATATAATTAAATACTGGAAAGAATATTAAAAAATCAAAATGCATCTACGAAACTTAAGAAAATTTGTTTTTTCTTCCATGATATTCAATATATAGGGAATATTTAGTAGTATGGTTCAATTTACATTTTTGCGCAGTATACTATTTGTTAGCTGTCTTTTTCTTCGTGAATAGTCATAGTAATTTGAAACTAATGGAAGTGATTGATCATCCTTATAATATACTATAATCTTAAATATAAATAAAGAAATATGTAGATAACTTAAGTAACATAAACCTATAACTTATATTTTAACTGTATAAATAAATAAAAATAATAATATTTTGATTTAATTAAATCATTGAAAAATAATAATAACTTATAGAGAAATTGGTAAGATACTAAAAATTTTGTTTGAGTATACAAATCAGAAACTTTAGAATCCAAATTTTAATCTAAAAAATTAGTAACTGAACTTCAGTAAAACAATTTCTAACTTTAAAATTATTCGTCAATAAATTAAAAATGAATAAAATAAAAAATATTATGAATACAAAATAATACTTCAATATTTTAAATATGAATTTAGGATTTTAAAATAATAAAATGATTTCATCAAATAAAACAAATACTAATATAAAAATTCGGAAATTAACATTTATTTAACGTTAATAAATTTTATTTTTACATAATTTCTATTATAACACATTATTAATAACTAATTGCAGTCTTACTTACAACATAATTACAACTTTCGCTGTTTTCTTGATCTTAGTGGATTCCATGAAACTGGAGTATTGTCTGTTACAGATATAATTTTAAGTCCGCCCATTGTTAAACCTTTAATAGATGACTGAAACAATAAATATCAATTAGAAAAATATTTTATCTAAAGCAGAAAAAAAATATGTAATTTTAACTATAACAAATAGTAAAAAAAAAAAATTAAATAAATAAAAATAAAAATAGATTTCTAGTTAAGAACATCTTGCCATAATTACCAGTAAGTACTAAGTATGTTGATCTATTATTTTTTCTAAATTGAAAAATAATTTAACTAAAATGTTTTTGGTTGGTTCAGAAATTACAACAGGTATTAATTTTAAATTTTTTGGAAAAAATTTTTTTAAAACATTAATAATGATTTAGTATTTAGAGTAACAAATAGAATAACGTTGAGATAATAATGTATGAAAAATTTTCAATTAAATTAAATTAATTGGTAATAAATCTATTTATCTAAGTTCCACTGCAATATTATAAAAAACAATTGTTATGAAACAAAACTAAACATTTATAAATATTACATATATTTCACCTTTCTCCCAACTATTTAGGGTTGGCCACCCTTATCCTGACCCTTCACTCATCTCGACTTTCTACATCCTCTATGCACACACCAAGTGCCCTTATATCATTCTCAATCTTATTCAACCATCTCTTACTATATTTGTTTCCTCTTATCTCATCACATGTCCAAACCATCTCAGTCTATTTTATCTCATCTTGTCTATTATAGACGCTAGCTACACCAATATATATATATATATATATATATTTATATATATAAAAAAAAAACATCAACCAGGTCTAAATATTTTCAAATTTTAAATTAGATCTATATTCATCCAATCTAATGCTACATACATTTGTATTATGATAAAAAAAAAAAACCTCTATGGTTGGAACTCAAAGACAAATTACTTTCAAACAGGTGAACATTCGTAACTGTAATTTTGTAAAATATAAAATTGCAGTTATATATATACATAACAAGTGTATGAAAACCGTCATTTTCTTATTTATATAAACAAAATTAAAAAAATCACGTTAGTGTCACTTTCATCTATAAATTTCAAATCTATCAAATTTAAAAAATAGTTCAATTTATTATGGCCCCAACCATAAATATATGTTAGACAATAACTTCTTGCATCCACCAAACCAATAAACAATATATGGTGTATACATAAACTTCTTTTATCTTCTAACAAACACTAAAATCTTACCATTAGCAAAATTGAAAAATATGCTTTCATAACTAGAATAAACCAATAAAACACAATAATTAATTACAAACCATTAAGTAATAAATTTGTAATATTCAGTGTTAATATGATTTTTATCTTATTAATGTTAGCATATTATGACATAAATTAAACCAATCAGTACTCAACAATATGATAACTTTACTAAAGTTCCAACCAATAAGGTTTTTACTCACTCTACACTTCAATAGTTTTGGTATCATATTTAAATTTTTTTACAACTTTTCTCATAAACATTTTAGGCGCATAATAATTTGATAAAGGCTCGACTAGAGGTGAATATTTTTCTCTTAAGTTAAAAAAATTTTATGTGAAATTTGCATGCTTTGAAAGTTATTCAATTAATATTTTTAATTTTAAATATATATGGAAATTACACTAATAACTCTGGTAATTTTATAACAAAATATTTCAAAAATAATAGAATATATTTTATTTTATAAAATATATTTACCCTGAAAAATCAAAATTATTATTATATTCTTACCATTCTTCCGGGTCCTAATCCTTGAATTTTTACCCGAACTGTATGAATTCCTAATTCTAACACTCTCTAAAAGAACAAATATAATTGTATATATTATAATAATAATATAATATAAATTGTAATTTATAATATTATTATAAATAACATATTAGATTAAATTATATACAGTCAATTTAAACAAATGCAATTATTTAAAAACATCTTATTTTTAATTAAGTAATAACTAATAATTACTAATAACCAACTACATAAGAAGTAAATAGTTTTTTTTTTTTTTGATAAACATACTGGAATTATAAAATTCATAGGAACAGGTTGATTTTTACTAACTTAATAATCTTTCATTGCATATTACATTTGAAAAACTGCTTTAAATTTGATAAGAAATTTAAAAATCTTGTACAAAAAAAAAATAAAAATTAAAATACTTACTGCAGCAAGACTTATTGCTGTAGCTTGAGCAGCAATATTAGTTCCTTTTCTTGTATTTTTGAAACCTTCCATACCACAGGATCTGATCATTATTCTTTCTCCTAAATAATAATTAAGATAAAAATAATTAAATAAATGACATGTATATAAATCCACAATTAGGAAAAAATGTGGTACATATACACTAATATCACATTAGGATGACATATTATTCTGGTTAATTTCTTAGAACTCAAATTTGAAAATACAATGACAGTTATTATTTATAAAATAAATTATAGACTATAGTAGAGATAAAATAGCAAATGGTAATAATTAAAAAAAATATAAAACTTATTTTTTGGTAGTACTATTAAAGTAATATCATTATCGTAAAAATAAATAAAATTTAACTTTATAAATCATTAAATATGCATTATAATTATTAATAATATAGCTGATACTATATTCAAGTAAATCCAACAATAACAAAGTTAGATCATAGTTTTAAATGCTGCTGTAAATCTAAAACAACTTAAATGATTTAAAGTCTTATACAAACATTTAAATAAAAATTATATTTTAATATTATTTTACAAATTTCAATAGTTGTTTGCATTACAAATACAACATACCTATACATAAGCATAAACTGGAATGAGCAAGGGGGGAGATTGCCCCTTAGAATAAATTAGGAGAGGCAGTGTCCACTCTGATATTTAATATACCTTGTTTTAAAATAAGTGCATAAAAGCTGTTTATAGCTATTACTTATATCTTAATTTTCAATTTCCGCTTATCCAATATAAATGAATAATTGTATGATACAAAATGAATAATTTTATAAAATAATATGTAAGTAGTAAAGCGGCGTTTGGCTGCAGATACCCTTTTTGTTAGATATATAATTATATATTTGCCCCCTAATAAATTTCCAAGTTACTCCTATAAATCTAAGAACATACTAGTATAATAATTAGAATAATTATATTTAATTTCTTTATATTTTTGCTTAAATTTTCAATACTGTAATACCTAGTATTAAAAGCTAGTATGAAATCAAAAATCAAAATCAATTAAATTATTGATAATTAAATACAGAATCCATCTAATTTTTTTCGTGCCTAAATTAAGTCATTGTCAAACAAATTATTTATTTTACTTATTAAATTTAAGGAAAACCCCCACCTACTTTTTAATATTTAATTTAACAGAATACGAGGATAATACATTTTCAATATTCACTAAGTGGTAGACCAAATATTAGTTCCGCAAGTATTAAAGTATAGAAATAATTAAAATATACCTAAAGAATTTTATTTGAATATAATTTTCTAATGATATTAAAATGTGAATCAATTTTATATTAATATATAAGTGCATTCAAAAGTAATTAAAAAACTTAAAACTTACCATTAGCTTTAGTGACATGAAGAATTGTATTATTACTGGACGATTTAATGTGACAAATAGGTACTTCTGAAAATTTTACTGCTCCAAAAAGCATATTCGGCGTGTTCACATCGGGAAACATGTCTTCTTTCCTCGAAAAAAAAAATAAAACATTCTATTTAATATAGAAATACGCATGAGTAATAATCAAAAATATATAAGTGCGTTGTCATTAGAACACGTTACACGAATAAAAATGGCGTCCACACACGACAAAATAAAAATGATCAACACTAATGCAGTATAAAAATGTAATTCGATTGAAAAAAAACTCACTTCGTTATTGCGGAGTCAATGTAAACGAATTTCTCGCCTTCGGTACCTTCGTCTTTCGAAGGAACCGAAGCAAGATAACTACGACGGTCTCTATTTTTCTCCGATGGCAATGTGACATGTAAGTAACGGCTGACATTTTGCCCGTCCAAAAGGGCTGGTCGTCGACAAAAATCACGCAAGATACGTCCGAACATTGTTTTTTGAGAATACAATAACACAAGACAAATTAAACGTTAGAAAATAATGGTTATTTAAAAAAAAAATTATCATGTACAAAGTATTGACTACACGCTGTTAATGCAATAAGACACCGAACAATCATCAAAATGGCGAATGCGGTAGAACCTTAAACATACAAGCCGTTTGGAATGGTCGTGACAGAAAAAAACCCAAGTAACACGTACTGAGCCTAAATAATGACTGAACAGAGATTATATAAGTGTGCACACTACACTATAGAGTACGCGACGGTCGTGGTAGTTTGATCTTCAAATGATTTTCACCATTCAAGCCAGAATAAAACGCCAGCTTACAACGCAACTGATGCTATATCACGAAATATGACGTTTTTTTATAGTGTTGCCAGTATTACAAAACCTAAATATCCTACCGGAATCCTAATTGTAAATTACGTTTAGTATTTTTGCATGAAAACATAATTACATACACAGTTTTGTTCGTATTAAAAACTTATAAAAAAAAACTACTATTAATATTTTTATAGTGCCGGGTATGCTGTGTGGTGTATCATTTTAAAACAAATATTTCTGGTGTAGAATCCAGCTGTTGATTATATTCTGCGAGTAAACGAATTATGAGTATTTTTTTTTATTTTACTTTTCTGTATATGAAACACAATTTTTTACACAACACTTGTTAATAATTTTAATTTAATAATTTTTAATGTATATCAACTGTACATTATATTTTGTAATAAATAAATAGTTTATATACCTAATAAATTAATTGATAAACTATGATAACCATTGGTCTTCAACTACGATTAAAATTTAGTGATGAATCATTTATAATCAGTACAATATTGTACTATAAGTAAATATTAATTGTATACAACAAAAAGCGGGAAAATTTAAAAGTTATTTCTTTATGATAAACCAGGTAGTGTTAGTTTTGCCAATAGGAATCCCCCCCTTACATAGCTCATTCTATATACTTTCGTGGTAATTTCCCTCATACCCTCCAACATGTTCGTTTCTAGTTCTCTATATATCATAGGCGTACGCAGACCTCTTTTTCAGGGTATGCAAATGGCTGGCACTACCTACCCCTCCACCCTAAAACTGAAAGTTAATTTAAGCGTTCGAAATTCTGTCCTTAATAACTATTTAATTTAAAATTTTAATTTTTTTTCCTAAATTATGTGACTGAATAGCCATTTCTTATTCGTTTTAACTGTCTTCATAATTAAAATTTAAAATAAATTACGAAAAAAAAAAAATTAAATACATAACACTTGAAATAGTTTGAGTAATACGTTTAAATAAAATAAATAAATAAAAAAGTAATTAAATATTTGAATGAAAAACAAAATAAATTTGATAAATAATCAAAATTAATCATAAAACAAATTTGCGTTCAGTTGAGTTATTAAATCATCAATATTGTTTTCGGGATTTTAATTTATAGCCATTTCTTGTTCTGTAGTTGATAGCTATTTAATCTCTCTTAAATTACTGTACTTCTTAATTTAATTAACACATTATATCGTTATTATAACATATGATTTGGGTTTCAAAAATAAATTAAATTGTTTGGAACTGAATATAAAAATATAATAAAAATCATAATGTAATACAAAATCACACAATATACATATGACCAGATATATCATAATTTTTATTTATTTTTTGTTATTTTAGAAAGAAGACTCTATGTTTAGGGTATGCAGTTGCATACCATGCATACCCTCTGCACATGCCTATGCTTATGTATAATATGTACACAGAATTAGGGATGGGAATTCCAACTCAGTTCAATGTAATGAGTTGAATCAAAGAGTCAACTCGCAACTCTTCAATTGTTTATTTGAATCAGATTACCACTACTCTAATCAACTCTTCAAGTCTCGAGTCTTGATTTGACTCACAAGTTCATAGTCCATATTCGTGAATTGCTTATCGTATATGAACAGTGGTCGAAATGGCTCAAGATAAGTGGGGGGGATACCTTATAATCAGATTTCCTGATATCATCATTCTTCACACCTTGTGTACCTAAAATATTTTTTTTTTTTTTATAGTTCGCATAAAGTATATTATCTTAGTCCGTGGTTCTAAATACGGGTATAATACGAGTTGCGAAACGGCTTATACAAAACAATACGATAAGCCGGGCGCCCGGGCCTGAATGTTGAAAACAATTATTTTTACTAAAAATAAAAAATGTCTTATAAATAAATATAAAAATGATAAGTATATCATTTTAAAATACAAGTCTTAGGAGGAATGCGTTATTCTAGACCAGGGGTCTCCAACCTACGACCCGCGGGCCGAATCCGGCCCGCCAAGGTTTTTACACCGGCCCGCCTAGCTAATTAATGTTTTAAAAATAATATATAAAAAAACATTAATATAAATATTAATTTTCATTAGTTTAATTTATTTTTTATTGAATTAATTAATAAAATAAAATAAATTTATTATTTTTTTTCTTTTGGTATTATTCATAACAATTTATGTTTGTAAATATATACTAACACGAATAATAGAAAAACTCGTCAATCACACTTATCTGCCTAATATTGTACTCAAAACTTACGCGATTGTCAGATAAGATATGATCGACTTTTTCCGTTGTAATAATAATGCTATCGAACGTGTGATCGACGGGTTTTTCTAACTGCGTGAGTCCACTGTAGTATATCGGGTATAATTTATAAATTATGTAGAATCAGTTTTTATGATTATTGTAGTTAAGTGTCATTTATTATCGAGTGTAGTGCTCTGTGCTGTATTAAAATAAATATGAGTTTAAGTAAAAAACGGAAAGTCGATACAGAGTGCCGTGTTTTTAACAAAAAGTGGAATAATGACTATTTCTTCATTGAACAAAATAATGTTGCTTTATGCGTTATTTGCAAGGAAAAGGTTGCTGTTTTGAAAGAATATAATATTGGTAGACATTATAAAAGCAAGCACGCATCTACATATAACGACCTATCTGGTTAACTACGATCGGACAAATTTGAAATCTTAAAACAGAATTTACTAGCTCAACAGTCAATTTTTATTAAACGGTCATGTCAAAATGAATCTCTCGTAAAAGCAAGTTTTTAAGTAGCCCGTACTCTGGCGATAGCCGGAAAACCGTTTACTGATGGCCAAATTGTAAAGGAGTGCATTTTGAAAACAGTTGAAGAGATTTGTCCCGATAAAATCAATTTATTCACCGGTATTAGCTTGTCAGCGAATACAATTGCGCGACGTACCACAGATCTCGGAAATTATATTATTCGTCAATTAAAAGATATTGCTAAAAGCTTTAAATATTTTTCAATTGCTTTGGATGAATCTACCGACACTTCAGACTCAGCGCAGGTGCTTTTATTCGTTCGCGAAGTCAATGAATCTTTTGAAATAACCGAAGAATTGGCCGCCGTCCACTCAATGAAAGACTCATGTACTGGTAATGAAATTTTTTTGAAGGTAAAAGAATCTATTTTTACTTTGGGTCTTGAATTTAGCATTTTAAAAGGCGTAACTACTGATGGTGAACGCAACATGTGTGGAGCACATACAGGTTTGGTTGGAAATATTTGTAAAGCTGTATTGGAGACTGGTGCAGCAGCACCAATGGCTATTCACTGCATAATACACCAGCAAGCTTTGTGTGGGAAAAATGCACCAATATATGAAGTTATGAATATTGTTGTGCAGAATGTAAATTATATTCGAAAAAGTGCTCTCAGTCACCGTCAGTTTAAGAACTTTCTTGCTGAAATTGAAAGCGAGTACCCAGTATTCCCTATCATTGCGAAGTTCGTTGGCTCAGCCGAGGTCACGTCTTGAAAACATTTTTTTATCTTCGTTCAGAAATCGACATATTTATGACAGAAAAAAACCGTGTTATAACTGAGTTAACTGATTTAACATGGCTATGGAAATTAGCTTTTCTCGTCGATATAACTCAGCTCCTTAATGAGTTTAAAGTTGCATTTAAAGTTGCAAGGAGCTAACTCGTTGATTTCAGATACATATTCCTACATTAGAGCTTTCAAATTAAAACTAAATCTATTCACAAATCAATTAATAGAAAAAAATCTTGCCTATTTTCCAACATACAACAAATTCAAACTTGAAAATTATAAAGAATTCCCTACCGATTTTGCTGTTGGAGTTCTCACCTATTTAAAAGAGCAGTTCCAGACCCGATTTAGAGATTTCAAAAGTGCAGAAGACCGTATTCGAATTTTTGAAAATCCATTTGCATTAAAAATAGAAACTTTACCGACAGAGTTTCAGCTTGAAGTTATCGAGCTCATATCAAACAACAATTTCAAAGACTATTTCAAGGAAGGTAGTCTCCAACAATTGTACGCCATGTTGCCAGAGGAATCATTTCCAAATCTCAAAAAACATGCGCGTGAAATGATATCAATATTTAGCTCAACATACTTATGTGAGCAGACATTTTCAAAAATGAAATATGTCAAATCTAAGTACAGAACTAACTTAAGTGACGAACATTTACAAGCGACGCTGCTAATTGGAACCACAAAGTTTGATGCAAACTTTCAAGACATTTTAAAAGACAATCAATTCCAAACGTCTCACTAAATAACTTACTCTTATCATAATAAAACGAAATTTTGAATTATAAAATAAAAAAATTATATAAATAAACATACATTTTTTAAATAAATCTTATTTATTATTATTTATTGCTCAATTTTATAACCTATCTATTTTTCTAAAAAATGTTGGCCCGCGATGCCAAAGCGTATATCAAATTTGGCCCGCGGTAAAAAAAGGTTGGAGACCCCTGTTCTAGACAAAACAAAAAGAGGGATGAAAACTGTAAATACAAAAAAGTAGATGGATGCCATCCCTCCGTATCTCCCCCAATTCGAGCATTGCATATGAAACTAATTATGATTGTAAACGTACAAAGTTACAAATTTTTTTTTGGAGAATCGGAAATCATGTTTTAAGAAACAATGAAAATATTAATACGATGATTTGTGATAATAGTCCACATTTTTTCTTATTTGTGCTGTCATGGGCCATGGACACAGTGGCGCTCGCAGGGGGAGTAAGGGGTTGTTACCTCCCCGCCCCCGAAATTTTCTCCGATGTCTATGTTAAAATTTACAAATTTTACAAGTTTAAAATATGAAGAGCTAGTATTAAATACCTAGTATCATTGATTATAGAATAATTTATTCTATTATCAATGCTATTATTTAAGTCAAAATATATTAAGGATTTGTATAATTTTGTTAATTGTAAAATGTGTTATATTTTTACCTTGACCTCCCCCCCCTCGAAAAAAAAATCCTCTGTGCACCACTGCATGGACATCACATTGATGTAGGATTTACCGAGCTATTTACGATATATTAATTAAGATTAATAGATCATTGTGAACTATTGTTTAAGTTGGTTTTACATTTTCCGTTTGGATTTGCAAACCGTTAACCGAGAGTCGTGTATCTACAGTAGTACAGTTGTGTGTTCTGAATTGATAGTTTAACTGAGTCAGTGAATCACTGAATCGCCAAATCTTGTAACACTGATTCGATTCGTCCAGTTTGTTTTTAAGAGTCGACTATATAGCTCATGAAATACTCATGAACATCCTTACACAGAATAGATTTAATCTATTCTGTGATAATACTATTTATAATTTAATCATAGACCTTATACTTATACCTACTTATACCTTAGTATAAGGTCTATGAATTTAATACTCTATTTATCATATCATTACCACAGTTTATAGAAATTTTATATAATCTGTGATATTACCTTTGAATTGTATATGATAACTGGAATGCTCACCAGCAGTGGCGTATCCAGAATTCAGTTAACGGGGGTGTTTTAAAATTTAATAGACTTATAGTAAGTGGGGGTTCTGCCCCCCCCTCCCTACTCCTTACATTTATAAATACCATGTATTTATATAAATTATTATTTTAATGAAAATGATTATATTTACATATTCCTATGTTTAGTTAAATTATACTATAATTAAGTTTGCGATTTGGTGAAATACGATAAAATACGGTCGTTGGGGGGTGTTCCAACACCCATATCACCCCCTCCCCCTAAATACGCCCCTGCTCACCAGTCATAAGACCAATGCAAACATAACCGAGAGAGCGTGTTAGAAAAATATAGCAGATAAGAATGGTGATGCTATCTTTTTTATCACACATAATTATATGTATTGATTACCAATACATTTTAAATTCGTTGTTCGTTTAACCTTTTGTTATGCGTTTACAAAGTTTTCAAAAAATTAAAATAGTGTGCACTGTGCAGTTATGACTTAAGATGGTGAATTTGTGTAGTTATTTGTTACATATATTTACAAAGTTATTTTGTGTGTTATAATCAGGGCTCGGAAGTTGTAGCACTAAAAATGTTACTTTTAAGCTCTTAAATATGCACTTTAAAATATGCCCTATAAATAGCACAAAAAATAAAAAAATTATCAGAAAAATAAATGTAATTTTACAAATTTTTGGGCTCATAAACACAGTCTGGACTGTTTGAATAATAAACTGTTAACAAAAATGTTAAATTACTTAAATATATTTGTAAAAATGTTCTTATTATCAGTGGCACTTACTTGTATTTTATTTGGCGGGGCAAAGTATTTGTTAATACCACCGCCCAAAAAGTTAGAGCAAAATAATAATAGGTTATATGATTGAATGATTATATTGTAAATTTAACCATCATAAAGTCACTCGCAATTTATTACTCCAATTTCATCTATTAGGTAGTTGCTATTCAGCAGTGGCGTATCCAGTGGGGAGGGGGTAAGGGGGTTATAACCGACAGCCCGCACTATTAAGTCTATTTTAGAATACGATTGTATTTATTGTTTAATGTGCACATAATAATAATAATATAAATTATGATCGAGTAAAATACCTTATATTTTATTATAAATTAGGTAATAATCATACTGACTGAAAATGATAATTATAAATTAGGTATTAATTATTACCTATTTACCTTACTCAGGGACTACGCGGGGGGGGGGGGGGGGGGGCAATAGGAGCAGTTGCCCAGGGCTCCGCGCCTTAAATTATAATTAAGGCCCCGTGGTTTGATTTAACTGAACTTAAAATATTTTATTAATATAAATTATAAGACCCAATATTTATTTTGCCCAGGGCCGTTTATTTCATTTTTTAAACAACTGTAATTTAAAAAAAAGATGTTTTAAAAATGTTTCACGGAGCTATTGATAATTTAAGTAACTAGGTAGGTATCTTAAAATTTTTAAAATATGTATTTGCATGCTATATCCATGCTATATATTCACTTTTAAACACTGATAACCAAGAGTGGTTTAGCTTCATCATGTGTGCGAAATAGATATAAATGTCTAAGTACGTCTTTATACCTGATATGGTATAAGGACATGCATTGATAGGCGAATTGCTCTATCGCATCATAGTATCCTATCATCTACAAATCTACTGTCACTTAATTTGTACATTACTAAGATTTACTAACTAGAGTGTAAATTTATCCACCTAACCAGTACTGGATTAAACATTTGTGGGTCCTTAGGCAATTAAAATTTTGGGTTCCACAAAATTATTTTTTACGTATTTCTTCAACATTACTATCTAATAATTGAAATAAACAGCTTTAATAATAACCGACTATTATTAACAAATAAAATCGTGTTTATTAAATTTTTTTATTCGTGAGAAAAATTAATTAATTAGTATATTATTTCTATTTTTTTAAAAATTATTTTATTATTAATACTGCATATACCATCTACAACTTAATATATATTATATTTCATAATGACTTTTGTCCCGTAAATTCGTAAATAAAAATACGGGTATTATTAAATAAAAAAAATATAGTTTTCCGTTTTTACAGGGCCCCTTAAATGAGTGAAGCCCTAAGGTGGGCGCCTACTCTGCCTAATGAGTAATCCGGCACTGCACCGAACCTACAATGTGTGAAATAGTTAAAAAAAATAAATCGGTCTGCGAGCGTAGCAAGCGGCTTTGTAAAGCATGTTTTGTCAAAAGGGCTCATATAAAATTTCAACACCGGGGCCCAATAGGTGCTTAATCCGACGTTGGTTATGAATATAGTTAGAGTATCTACAATGTCTCATAGTATCGTTAAAAAATTATTTATTTTACGAAATTTTGGCCATGAAGTATAACAAAAATGTATTGAAGATTTTGTTTACGGTATTAATATTTCCTAAATTATAAATCTACAATATTAAGTTAAGTTAGGAAAGTAGTAATTACAATCTAAAGTAAATAGTAGAAACAGCTTCAGGTAAGTAGCATCAGTACACTTTTATTTTAATTATGAATAATATTATAAACATTATGATTTTATTTTAATAAATATTATTTTACTGTAAATGAAGTTGTTATTTCATATGCTTGAATTATGAATTAAAATTCTAACTTTAAGAACAAAACTTAAATAATATCGTGGTAAAATATGTTATTAAGATATTAGTGCCATGTGCAAGATAAATATAACACTATTTGTATGTGTCTTCTCGTTCTAACATCCTCTCTCAGGCAACACTGCTTGGTGAGCATTCCATTTATTATATAGAGTTAGATATACACTGCATTAGTCAACTGTTGGCAAATACGGTGATACGTAAAAACGTTTATTAGTTTGTAAATATTTGCTAAGAACATTTAAAATATGAACTTGATATATCTAATAATTTAAGAATGAGAAATATTTATAGTTATATTTATAAATTATAAATTATAATACTAATATATGTTATTACGAGTAATAGTTAAAATAATAATTTTTGCCTATTATGTTTAAATATAAATTTACTATTTTGTAATCGGAAAATGTAAAATACCTAACTAACATTAATTATAATTTAAATATAAATATTTTAAAATTTTATTTAGATAAAATACAACACTGGTTATAATCTCTGTCTCGCTTTTATTACTATTACTATTGATTATAGAATAAACTATAATGATTCTATAATCAATGATATTACCTTCACCTACTTCTCTAAATTAATGTAACTTAAATAGATGTACTATATTTTTAACAGTAATTATATTAGTATTCAATTCAAGAGATTTTTTTAATTAACAAAAATAGTTTTCTTTAAACGTTTTTTTTTTTTTTTAAAATATATTTGACTTTATTATGATGGATCACAATCTATAAATTGAGTACAATAAGTAATATAAATATTTTAAGATAATTCACAGGTTATATTATACACATGAGGAGGAAATCACACATTTGTGAAACTCCTGAATATTATTAAGTACTAAATCTTTTAGTAAATCATGGCACCAATTCCTTTTTGAGGTGTCCTGTTGGGTTTCTAGGGAGTGTAAGTGAAGCTAATTTGTTGATCAGTTGATTTGAATTATCTCGCAGCTTGGTGTCGAAGCGCTTGTAGAAGATAGCAGCAGTTTCACTGATGGATGGTAATTTGAGGTCGGTATTTAGTGACTCGTTTGAGATGAACCAGGGTGCACCAGTGTTTACACTTTGAAAGATGTTTTGGAAAGCTTGAATAGTTCTTTTATTTGAGTTCTTTGCAGAACTCCAAATTGCGATGCCATAAGTTCAGATTGGTTGAAGGAGAATTTTATATAGGATGATTTTGATAGATATAGTTAAGTTAGAACGAAGGAGTGGCCTTAAAAGTTAGAGCCTGGAATTAAGATTTTTACACTTATTCTTTAGAGGAAGAGACCAAGTCAAGCGCCTGTCAAGTATAAGGCCAATGTATTAAACTTCGGTCGAGTGGGGAATGTTAATGTTGTTTATTGATACATTAGGGCAGCCATGAGGTCAAAATGCAAAAGTGACAAAGGAAGACTTGGCTTCATTAATTTTTATCTTCCAATTGGTGAACCATTATGAAAAAGTATTTAGGTGAGTTTGTAGTTGTTGAGATGCAATGATATGGTCTGGAGAAACTGATAATAAGGCGGTATCATCAGCATATGTTCCAACTATAGTATCTTCAGATGTGGGCAGGTCTGATATGTAAATGGTATTTAAGAATTTAAAATGTCTTTAAATGTTATAATTTTTATACTGAAATTATTAATAAAGTAATTGATTTATTCTATTTCCATTTGTATTAATAATTCATAAGATATTAGTATATTAGTATCCTGATGGTTTATTTTAATTAAAGAAAATGTTAATTTTAGTATAATATATACTGTATTATCATTAAAAAAAAAAAAAAAAATGCATAAACCTTAGTAATTCATGGGTTATTTTTTTTTATACATTCTGTTTAAACAGTTCAAGCTAATACTTAATAGTTATAATATTGTGTATCAAAGGAATTACATTATTAGTATTAATATGCCTTTAAAAGGATTAAATGTACTTGAATTTTCTGGTCTGGCCCCGTTACCTTTTGTTGGTAGTGTACTGGCAGATTTTGGAGCAAATGTGACTATGGTCCAAAAGGTAAGTATTTATGTATAATATTTTATTAATTTCAATGAATATTTTTGTTCAGATTCTATACTGAAAGAACATTATAGATCGTTATAATTAAATTAGATTTTTTTTTTTCATTTATATTCCAGAAAGAAATATTCGGAGTATCAGAGTTATTAAATTGTGGCAAAAAATCTATATGCTTAAATTTAAAACGACCAGAAGGTATTCAAATTGTTGAGAAATTATGTATGGATTCTGATATTTTGCTTGAACCATATAGACCAAGTAAATACAATTAATTTGTTTTATAGTTAAAATATAACATAAAAATTCATACATTATTAGTTATATTTTAACCAAAATAATGATTTGAATAGATGTAATGGAGAAATTAAAATTGGGTCCTGATGTGTTGATGGCAAAAAATCCACGTTTAATTTATGCTCGATTAAATGGATATGGATCATATGGAAAATATTCACAGAAAGCTGGACATGATATAAACTATGTAGCATTATCTGGTAATTTGATATTTATAACAATTAATATTTTTATTTATACATGATGAAATTTTAAGGTCTTTTATCGTTATATGGTTCCAAGGACAAAAAACCTATTCCCCCTGTAAATTTTTCTGAATTTGCGGGTGGCAGTTTAGTATGTATTATGGGAATTTTAATGGCAGTCATAGAAAGGTTCAAAAGTGGAAAAGGGCAAGTAGTTGATGCTAACATAACTGAAGGGATTGCATACACTGGAAGTTGGTTAATGGCTTCTCAAAATTCATTTATTTGGGGACAACCAAAAGGTCAAAATTTGTAAGTTTTGGTTACTATAAAATTATAACCAGTATATAGTATTACATTTTCATTAGATTGGATGGAGGGATGCATTTTTATAACACGTATGAAACTAAAGATGGTAAATGGATGGCTGTTGGTGCATTAGAACCTGCATTTTACAAGGAGTTTATTGAAGGTCTAGGATTGAATATAGATGATATGCCACAAATTAGTGATTTTGAAAGTAAGAAAGAAATTATTGCTAAATTATTCAAAGAGAAAACTAGAGAAGAATGGTGCAAAGTAATATTTTCATGTATAATAGTTTTTATTTTAAATCTATAAATTAAATTATGTTGTTTATTTTAGATTTTTGATTCAAAAGATGCTTGTGTTACTCCTGTATTAGAGTTAGATGAAGTCGACCAATACTCTCATAGTCTTGGTAGAAATTCCTTCATAAGGAAAGATAATATTGTGTTACCGGTACCAGCGCCAAAATTAAGTGTTACTCCTGGTATTTTGAGAAAAAATCAACCCATTCCTACCTATGGGCAGCATACTAGTGAAATACTTGAGAGCATTGGTTATTCACATGCAGAAATCATAGAACTTTTGAAAAATGAAACTGTATTTGAAGAACCAAAATCTAAGATATAATTAAGTAGTTATTTAATTAATATAGTGCAGTGAGATATTATAAAAATGTTATTTTTATATATTAATTTTTTTTATTTTGTGATAAATAATTATATATTATACTGTTGATTCAATACAAAAATATATATTTTTAATACAGACATTTTTGATTATACAACCATCGAATATATTTATATTCATTAATAAAGGAATCATTATTATTTGGAATAAATTTTTGATCACTTTTACTTCTGAAATTTTCCAACTCATTTTTATTTTTCCATACCCCTATAAATAAAATAAAAATCTTTATTGAAGTATAATGAAATTATGTTTTAATTCTAACCAATTTTGTATGTATGTTAAATTAATTAAATTAATTTATAAACAGTGTATTATTTTAGAAAGATGCAACAACAAACTGTATACCTGATGACAAACCAGCCATAAAAGCTGCACCTAAACAAGATACTTCTGTTCGATTATTGTTCTTCATTCTGATAACTGTAGTTGAAGTAACATTGGCAATTGTTTGACAAATATAATCATTTCGAGATACACCACCATCAACCCTATTAACAACAATGTATACAAATTATCTACCACTTGAAGTAATATTAAACATAATTAGAAAAATTCAATTAACTTTTTTTTTAAAGATTACCATAATGTATTTAATACCATTTGTGGCATTTCATTGTGATAATTATCTAGTATTTTTTTAATTCTAAATGCAAAAGATTCTAATATAGACATAGTCAAATCTGATTTGGTAGTAGATGATGTAACACCAATAAAACTATAATCTTTCCTCATTGATTTAGAAGGCTGAAAACAATAATTTATTTATAGTAATTAAAATATTTTTATGTTCTATACTAATGTTGAATAACTAACTTCAAACTCAGGTAATACAAACAATACATTGTTTGTTAAACATGCATTTCCTTGTTTTAACATATTTAATTCTTTTGAATTATTAAAACCACCTGTTAAAAAGAAAATATTATTTGTATATTTATATTTTACATAAATATTAAATACATATCTTACCAATCGATTTTCCAAGTTGAATTAATGATCCACTGTTATAATCAACAGCTTCTAATGAGAAACAAATATCTTCATTAAATGCCCAACCCACCAATGGAAAATAGCCTAGTTTAAAAGATTAATTTTATTAACAAATATTTTAGTTTACTAATTTATTCAAAAAACATGTAAATATCAAGTTTTTATTGATTATTATAATTTTTATTTATTTATTTTTTAGTTTGTAAAACAACAAATTTTATAAATATTAATGTTTAATAATAATAATATTATATATTGTATCTGACCTAAACATACTTCCGGTGACGCACCACAATTAATATCAAGAAACATTCCTGTTCCCATAGTTACTTTGGCTGTGTATTTCGAAAAAGAACCAGTTCCATATAGAGAAGCTGATTGGTCAGCAACCTAAACAATAACAAAATATAATAATTTCTGATGGATATAATAAAATAGTAGATTTATACAAATAATTTAGGAAACTCACTGAACATGCAATTGTAATATTTGAGATTTTGCAAGTTACATTGTTCTCAACAAGAAAGGTAGATAAATTTGAATTGCAAACACTTGGAAGTATAGTACATGTAATCCCAAAATATTGAAACATAAAATTAGGCATCCAAGACATAGTGAATAAATTGAATAAACCTGTAGCACTAGCGCATGAAATATCAGTTATATGCATTTTACGGTTGCTAGCTTGATACAATAACCAAGTGTCTAAAGTACCAAATTGTACATTATCATTTTTCATATCTTGTCTGAATTTTCGATTATTTTGCAACAGCCATAAGAGTTTAGGTAAAATCTATAATAAAGATTGATTATTATAAGTAAAAGTATATATTACAAATAAAATACGAAAATAATTCTTAATACTTGAACATTTGAAAAGGTGAAGGACTTAGCAATTTTAAATTGTTTCTTAGCAAATATTAAGTACAATATTTTTGAAATATATTTTACTACCTAAAAGGAAAAAAATTCCCAAATAAATTATTATTTACTATCACGCATTTGACATAATATGTATCATATTATGATACTTACTTTAAAAGTTAATGATTTGTTTAATTGTTTTACAATTATATTTGAACGTGCATCACCCCACGTGATAAAATTATGATAAGGTTCACCAGTTGTTTTGTTCCAAGTAATAAATGTGTTACGTTGTGTTGATAAACCTATACTTTTTATGTTATTGGATTTGAGATCAGCATCTATATTTAAATCAAATTTTAGATTTATTAAAATAAAACATAAAAACTAAAAGTTTGGCATTCATTAACAAATTAACAGTCAATTAGAATAATCTATACATATTTTTCAGAGTATTGAGCATTGAAACATAAAATTCAACTTTGAATAATATGAAAATTTTACTACTTAGGTTAATTTTTCAAATACTGGTCAGAAATGTAATTTTGATTTTGATGATCAGTGTAACATTATGTATATGGTTTAATAGATATTTCTAATTTTGGTTCATTTTTCATTTATTTATGAGGACATTATTATTACTATTAAACCTTTTAATGCATTTTGTAAAACTTGTTTCACACCACTTTGAAGTTCATTTGGATTGATTTCTTCCCATCCTTGAAAAGGTTTTAATATATTAACCTATAACAAAATGTTAATAAATGTTATTATATAATAATATATAAATATTAATATATGTCTTCTGAAAACTTAATTTATGTATTTACTACTAATACATAGAACTTAAATTACCTTAATTTTACGATTAACTGAGTTTTTTACTACTTAAGTTTAAAATTTAATTTCAAGTAGAAAATTATTTTTCAAACATTACAATGAGGGGGGGGGGTAGGATAATTTTTATTCTTGAACAACCTTGCAGAATGGCCACTGGTACTTAACCTAGGTTAGAGTTTGTATTGGCTATTAGGGTCTATGTACATACAATACATTAACTTATTTAAGGACAACGGTTGTATCATAGACATTGGCTCTTTTATATATAAGTACATTTTGAGACAAGCAAAATAAATAAGACTTTCTGCTTAACTGTTTAATATATAACAAGGCATTAATTGTAAGTGAGTATATTTATATTATTAATTTTAAATTTTTATATAAATCGATTGACAGAAAACCCAAAATAAATTAACAAATTAAAAAATGATGCATAAATAATACAGTGCTTAATATTTTTAAGTTATGTAGAGAGACAGTAAAATATTGTCTTCCATATGAAACTGTTGAAAATAATTCTGTTACTGCAATAATGTGTCTTTTAATGATTTTCATCTATAACCTACTACCTATAGCAGTAATGATAGTATATTCAATTTTGAAATATTTTCTTTGTGTAACTATCTATGAATATTGACGTATATTTATTATATTCTAATTTAAACACTTAAATTAACATAAATCTTATTTAAAAACATACTTTCTGTATGGAAGATCCCATGACATGAAAGTCTGATGAAAAAATTTGGCATTTCAAATTAGAAGTACCTATGTCAATAGCAGCAACATAATCCATGATGCTGATAGCTGCAGTGATCAAACAATCTTGTAACTTATAGAGGTACCTATAATATGAAAATATTATTTACAACAGTTAAAATCTTAAGTTAAACTACATAAATTACAAATAATCATAAATAACTCCTAATATCATATGAAAACTAAATTATATATTTTCTATTGTATATATATATTATAAATAATGAGTAATAATAATAATTACTTACAGTAGCGTATTTTCGTGAGGGGGGGGGTCCTCAAGTTTCGATCTCCCAAGAAAAAATGGTTACGGTTTAGCAATGTTATCAATAAATAAAAACTTAAAAAATTATTGATGAATTGACAAAAAAAAAAGATATTTATCTTTTTTATTATAAACAACTTTTAATTTTAATTTATATTAATAATAAAATATTATAATTATTAATTTATAGCTAACGTGTATTTTTTATAATATTATAAAATCATTAATGTTTTTGAAACATTTTAATCCCCCCCTCCATCATTTTTTTTTTTAAAAATACACTACTGATTACTTATATTTTGTAACTATTGTATTATTTAATATTTTCGACAATAATGTCATTTGTTAACCATTTGGTACTTAATTAAAATCATATAGAACTCTGGACAAACGATAATAACTACTACTATTACAAATCTATTTCAAATAAAATGATAGATTCTTAGGAAAAAGCTATAAATTAATCAATCTATACAATTAAATATCTAACTAAATTATTGTTAACGTGATAAACATTAATACATTTAATAAAGATAACCTATTTTTTTTGATTTGATTTTACATAACGAATTTGTTTAAAAAAATGTATAGTATATGTTTAAATAGACGCACCAATAAATTATGTTATTTTAGCTATAACATAAAAATAATAATAATTAGCAGCATTTTTATAAATAATATTATGTGTATGAGAAGTATTCCTACCAAGGCCATGGTCAATAAGATTTTTTTTCGATGAAGGGCGAGGATTTTAATATAAATATGTTTTTTTTTGACTAGAAAATTATAAAATTTCAAATTTAATAGGCATTTAAAATCATACGATTTTTTTTAAGAAGATATTTCGAGGAGAGGGGGGCACCTGAACCCTTAAACTCGCACTAGTTACGACCTTGATCTCTACTCTAGCATTTCACCATATTTTATTTGTAAACGTCACTCATAAAGACCAATTACCAAACAAAAGTTATTTCTATAAAAAATAAATAAATAGTTACTTTTTATTATTAAATTGCATCTTAGCACCATATCCATAACATGACGCCTCATTCAGTTATTATATTATTATAATGTGCATTTATTAATACTTTAATACCTACCTGACTAATATATTTTTACCAATGAAAACTGTTTTTATAAATACAAATTTTGTTGGACTAATAATATTTATTGAATAGAAAAACTATCTAGCTATTATTTCAGTTATAATCTGATATAAATTATACAATGCATATTCAGGACAAAAAATATTTTATATTAAAAAATTAAATCATAAAATAAATCATCTTATTATCGTTTGGAAATCCAATTCATATGCTATATTATTATAACTTGAGGATAATGTTTTTTTTAAATTGCAAATAGCAAATTGCAAATTGCAAGCAAGAGGGCAAAATTGGCTCCTTAAGGTTTTTGACCGAAAACCTAGATTAATACTAATTATTACTAATAAAAAGTATTTTGTTAATATTTTATAATTTAACTTTGATACATATGATTTATGTCAATTATAGTTTATAAATAAATGTAACACTATTGAATCATGACATTATAGTGTAATAGTTTAATAGTTACTCACTAAGATTTTACAAAATACTATGTACTAGTACTATGGTTATTAAATAGATAGTTACACCAATAAGCATATAATTTGAAAATATATAATGATTTGTGACAGAAAAACCTAAGCTTCTGGGCAATAAGTCCTTTGCAATTTCTGATTAGTTTTTTGGTACGCGAGTGAACTCAAACAATGTGTTAAAGCACTAAGTACAAAGTTTCAGATTGACGACAATGCTATGTTTTTACGACGTGTTTCATCTAATAATTATATCGATTTTTTTCCCTCATCAATCATGATCAAAAATCAATCGATGAACGATATCACCAGTTCTCTGTGCCAATTAAGTCGTTAATTACTAATAAATAAATTTTATTAAAGTCAGTGGCGGTTCTAGCGTACGGGCAGGGTGGGCAGCTGCCTGTACCAAAATTTTTACGTTCACCTTAAAAGGTTCACTGTGATGTTTAAATAAGTAAAGAATTAAGGAATTCAAATATATATTTGTTTTAATTATTTACACTTTCATAAATAAAAAAGTGTTTAATAGGTTAATTAGTGTTTAATTGGGAAATCTTTATTTTTGAAAGCTTCAACATTGTCTGATGTACATCAACAAATAAGTAATTATGGCGAAGCTTTCACTAACTTGAGAAAAGTAGTTGAATTATCTATGGTAATTCCTGTATCCTCAACTAGTGCTGAACGAAGTTTTTCTACTATGCGGCGTATTAAGACTTACTTGAGAGTTACAATGCAAAATCCTAGGTTGAGTAACCTTGCTTTATTATCTATAGATAAAAAGAATTCGGAAAAATTGTTAAAACACCCAACTCCTGCTCTTGATATGTTTGCAAAAATAAAACATAGAAGATTACAATTTCAGATATAGTAAAAATATAGTTTATATTATACTTTATCATTATAATATGTTAAATTATTTTTTATATACCTAAAGAAAAAAGAAAATATATATATAATTTGAATTAATATTTTTATTTTTTATGTGTGTTAACTGTTTAGGAAAAAACTGTAGCTTAGGAAAATTTAGGATTTAAATTTAGCTTACAGCTTACTTATAAATATACATAAGGATGTTATACATTTTTTATCGGATAATAGCAACATATGGTTTCTCTGTGAAAACAAAAGATATTTATTACTTATTATTTACAAAATTACAATTTACAAATTTACCTATGAAAACAAAATAAACAACAATTTATGTTACTTACACGCGTACAATACGCGCCTACGTGAAACGGGACGTAACTTGAAACATAAAATATATTGTTTGTCCGTACGAAAATCTAGTCCTAGAACCGCCCCTGATTAAAGTTATACCGAATTGTATGAAAATGTTTGGAATTTCTAATAATTTAACTCTACTCAAAAAATGTATTACAAAGCGACTGCTCTACATGAACACATCAATTAGGTTTTAAGATTCTAGCATGATTCTTGCATGTTGTTCAGATGGCTGCCGCAAAAATACTAAAAAGAAGTTGAAAAATTTAAAAAAAAAAGTAAAGTTTGAGTGATTTCAATGATAGTTTTTTCTTATATTTGGTCATACCAAGGATGATAATTTAAACATGTATTTAAATACAGTAGAACCCGTTTAAAACGTTCTCGCTTAAGATGATTTCCGCCTAATACGCTGGACGCTAACCTGGATACGACACTTTTATTGTTAATTTATGTTAATGAAAAAATATAAAATGTAAGAAATAACTCAAAAATTATAAATAACGAAAATAGCAGAGTTTTCTAGAATTAGAGTAATTTCCAAATAATTACTGATAAAATGTCACTAGCTGATTAAACTTCTATAAAGGAGAAAATAAGGAAGAGGAAGAGGATAACGCCGGTAATAAACGCATTTGAATATATTAATGAGCTAAGAAGATTAATTACATTTTTTGACTACATTTATGAAACGTTGCGTAATAAAATTGAGAACTTCCTCTATTCTAAAAACAAAAAAATTTGAAACAAACAAAAATCTATGATTTTTTGAAGTAGGACAAAAGTAAGTAAATAGGTTTATTTCAAAATGCACACTTATATTGTTTTTTTTATCACAATTTAAATTTTTCCTACGTAATACGATTTCCCGTTTAATAAATTATTTTTAACTGATCCCTAGAAAAGTGTCTTACAACGGATTCCACTATATATTAATATAACAAAAAATATCCGAGTTTAGCATAAGAAACATAATATATACATATAAATATATACGTATAAAAGTAAACAGAAACAAAGATGTATCTTTACTCTTATGATTGTTAAAATAATTAAGGATTATAATACTAGAGCAAATACTATTGTTTTTTTTTAAATTTTCTTGACACAATATTATTATTTATATTAATATAATATATTATATTAACCGAGTTATATTTCAAATGGTTCTTTAAGGAAATAATAATTTTTACCTTGAGAGGGTATTGTGCTTCAACATTTTATAAAGGTTATTCCTGATTAATTTGTATAATGTATGTAAATAATTCTTCACAATCATTATAATATCAAATAAGTAATAAAAATAAAAATATTTTTTAAAGAAAAAATAACTAAAAACGAAAAACCTTTTTTGTTGTTGTGCCGGTAAGGGTCTCATACTTTCGTGAAACCATATTAATTTTCAGATGAAAAAATTAAGTTTCTGAAAAACGTCACTTTTAATTCAAATTTTACAGAGCAATACTCTCTGATATTAAACTAAAGCCCATACACTATTCTGGTTCTTATTAAAGGTATTGGAAACATTACAACAAAACGTTAGTGTATCTACGTAACAACACAAAAATGTCATTCATAATTAGTTTTTATTTGTTCAGTACTATTTAAAAATTTTCGCAAGTGTAAATACATAGGCGCACATCAGGGGTCTTAGGGGGCGGCTTAACCCCTCTAAAATCGAAACTTTGTTAGAAATATTATTCGTTGTTTTTATAATCATCTGTTGGTTTTCTTGAAAATCGTAAAATAAGAAATAATAAAAAAATATTTACAATAGCATTACGAGTAGGTAACAATACCAATTAGTTCAGCTACTTGCGAAAGAAGTTTCAGTACAATGAAAAAAATAAAAACTTGGCTAAGGTTCGGCGATCTTTCAATACTATATATTGAAAAAGATATATCGAAAAATATAAAAAGCGATGATATTTTGAATATTTTTGCTGATACAAATAGATATTTGTTATTAAAATAAAATATTAATTATTTTTAAATATATGTTATATAGTATTTTTTTTAATACAATTAAAACATATCTATATTTTTAATAGTAATAGGTTTTACTTGCGCATGAGAAGGGGGGTGTGGGGGCGAAGCCCTTGTGGGTTATTTTACATCGAATTATTATAGCCCCCCCCCCAAAAAAAAAAAAATTCGACCAAATACCCGCCTATGGGTAAATACCGAACTTGAAACGCAAAAAATTAGGCAAATTATAAAGTACAAGTCAATACTAACTTGCATCGGACGTACCTATTCGTTTTTCTTGAACACTGCAGTAGTAATAACTATGAATTCTAAGAAAAATTAGATTTAGTATACTCTTTGCTAACAATAATTCCGTTTTTTCACGCGGTGATCATACCGTAATCCCGAGACGTTGATGTTACGCGAATAATAATATTAATAAAAATTTTAAATTAATTTTTACTTGGAGTAGCCATATATCTAAAGTTGTGCACAATGACGCCAGTGTAGCAATAAGCAATAAGCAAGCCAATAAACAATATTGACGAAATGAAGAAAGCCTAATGTATAATAATAAGATTTATCAGCTATGATATAATAATTTCGATCACTGTATAATACTACTATCAATGTATTACTACTGTCTATAATAATTCGGAGAGAATTATATTTCATTGAAACGTGATTCAACGATTGATGATAATACAGTGCGCGTAGATATGTATTTAATATCTATAAACATTTGGGGTGAGCATATAAATTATTATGTTACGTTATGGATTAAAGCGAGTCTCACACGATCAATATTACTGTCAATAAAAATATTGACAGTATTTCGATATCCAATTTTTTCATCAGTCATCAGTATTGTTTTTTCATACTGACAGTACATCAGTACTTACCTCACACGATCAATAATACTGTCGGTATCTAAAATACTGCCAGTATTACTGATCGAGTGAGGCCTGCTTTAGGTCTAAAAGCTTAATCGGTCTATAATGACGTGGATTTTGGGGTTTCCTGCTTTTATCACTTCCGAGAATAATTCATGTTGCTCTGAAAACATAATTTTAGAAATCAACCTTAATTCCCCCCGACTCAGGAATCTAAATATGTGAAACAAGGCACTTATATACGAATCAAGATAGATATCTGAATTCATGTCACTAGAGTTGCAGATATAACTAAAATTACTGATCTGCAAGATGTATATTACAGTATTTTAAGTAAAAAAAAACTATTTACTCGTTTCTAACACATTATAATTTCACTGTATTTCACTGTATATTTTCACCATATTTTCAGCCACAACGGAATAATGATAATATCTGGCATGGAATCCGAAGTTTTTCAAACAGCCACCGTGATCATTTTTATTATTTCTGTGATGGCAATTTAAAAATTTAAATTAGTAAAACAGCTTTATATTACGGATTAAAGGCGCCAATAGTGGGGGAGGGATGTTTAGACCATCCAAATTTTATGTCCACCGCCCCTTCATATAATATATGATATTATTAAGGCAGAGGACTTATAGCATTTGCATATTTTTTTAGCACAGTCACAAAAATAGCAGAGTACGAAACAAATACGTTTCATGTTTTCACAAAGCTAGTTTTGAAATTTTATTTTGCATATAAATGCATATTTTGAGTTTTTTTTAGTTTTAGGGCATATTTCTTCCATTTTATACTTTTAGGTGCATATTTTAAATAATTTATCATTTCATCAATATATTTTTCGTTAACGTTTTTATTTATTTTTTTACACAACCAAAATAATGTCTAACCAACATCTAAAACTAATAACACTGCCACAAAACCTATCAATAAACCGATATCGCCGTTAATTCTCGTCAAAACTAAAATATCACAGTCCAGCAACAAGTCACCTGATGACAATTCCGATAATGAAAATATATGGCAAACAGTACAAACAGTAGATTCAAACAAACGAATCAGATCACCGCTTACAAAATCTCCTCCGCCTAAAAAATCGGATTCGAACATATTCATCTCAAAAAACCGTTATGCACCGATCTCTCCCATCACCGAAAACGAACCAATGGATAGTACCAATGAACAGCTTACCGATAATACTGCTGAAAATAACACTAATAAAATTAATCTACTCCCTCCAATGTTCATTCAAGCTCAGCTTAACTACAACACATTCTGTCTCAAATTACAAGAAATTACCGACTCCAGTAGTTTTGCATGCTAAACTACGACCAAAGGTCTCAAATTGCAAACCTTCAGTCCTGATTCTTACAGATCTGTTGTTAAATTTCTAAAAAATGAAAATGTTTCCTTCCATTCTTACCAGTCAAAAGAAAATAAGCCATTCAGAGTCGTATTCAGGAACTTACATCCTTCAACTGGTAAAGACCACATAACCAAAGAACTATCTGAACTAGGTTTTCAGGTCAAAAACATTACAAATGTTTTTCAAAAATCAACTAAAACCCCATTGCCTCTTTTTTTTCATCGACCTCGCACAGTCTCAGTCCAATCAAGAAATTTTTAAACTTAACTCTTTCTGATACTCCAATGTTAAAGTGGAAGCTCCCCACACAAATAAGGAAATCCCCCAATGCCAACGTGGTCAGTCATACGGTCACACCCGAAGCTACTGTAACCATACCCCAAGATGCGTTCGATGTGGAGATACCCACGACACCTCAGAGTGCCAAAAATCCCGAAATAAACCTCCCAAATGTGCTCTTTGCGGAGGCCCTCACCCAGCCAACTACAGGGGTTGTCAGTCCCATAAGGATATCCTAAAATAAAGAAAACTACAGTTAAATTCAAACTCTAAAATTAACCACGTTCAAACTGACATTACCAATTCAAATTCTAACGATAAATTCACATAATCTTATCATTTTCCACCCCTTCCCAACTCAAGTTCTTCACAACCTCGCGCACCAACTCACCCGCCCAAGTAGGTGAACTCTGAACAGCCATCGGAGAATAAACTCTCTGACCACCTTTCCTCATTCATTAATGACCTTAAGTCACTAATCAACCCACTAATCTCTCTTTTTACGACTGTCATCGAAAAACTCATACTCAATGATGGCCGCCGATAACAATTTAACTCAACCACTAACAATTCTATTGTGGAACGCCAACGGAATACTCAAGAACATTAACGAACTTCAAATTACCTTAATTGAAAAAACAATCGATATCGCCATGATATCAGAAACCCATCTCACCCATAACAACTTCCTTAATATCCATGGCTACGAAACACTCAGAGCTGATCACCCGGACGGTACCTCACATGGAGGAACTGCTCTACTTATCTCCAACAGAATACCTCATTCTCTCTTCCCCTCTCATTCTTCAAATAAACTTCAAATCATTGCCTCCTCCATAGTTCTCAATTCAATTCCAATCTCATTTGCTTCTGCTTACTTTCCTCCAGGTTGCCTATTTCTCGATAACGAATTCTCAATATTCCTACTCTCCCTCGATCATACTTTCATTATAGGAGCCGACTTCAACGCCAAACACCTTAAATGGGGCTCCAGATATACTAACCCAAAGGGCCGTTCCCTTCTCAGAGTCATATCTTCCTCACACGCCAAAACACTCTCCCCGGATTCTCCGACATACTGGCCTACACATGTAAACAGACACCCGGCCATTCTTGACTTCTTTATTACAAACTTGCCAAACCATTTAAAAAGTCAAATAACCAACTAAGACGATCTAGCTTCAGACCACACTCCAGTCTTATTGCAAATTAATACTCAAGCCCCGAGCAAGTTTACCTCAAATCATGTAAATTGGCCCAAATTCCGCAAGATCCTTTCTAATAACTCGCATCTCAACATCAAATTAAAAACCAAAGAAGATATCGACCTAGCAATAAATACTCTTACCAACAACATTCTTCTTGCAAAAAATAATTCACTATCGCCTACTTTAATTACGAAAAATTCCAATTATATTACTCTCGAAATAGGTCAACTCATTGCCGAAAAACGTCGCGCCCGTAAAAGATGGCAGCTCTCCCACGACCCAGATGATCGGCATATATACAACTCACTTTCAAACAAATTAAAAAAAACTTCTTAAGAAACACAAAAATGATGTTTACGAAACTCACTTATCTTCACTATCGCCAAATAATGGCTCCTTATGGAAAAAAACAAAATCCCTACTCAAACACAGAACAATATTGCCTCCGCTTCAACATCAAAACTCCAACCTCGCAGTTTCTGCTCAAGAAAAGGCCGAACTCATGGCTTTACATTTCGCCAGTGTATTCAAACCGCACTCGATCCTTCCGGATACTTCTCATCTAGACAAAGTGAACGAATTTATATCTTCATCACTACCTATGGCCTTACCTGCCAAACACACGACTCCTAATGAGATCTCATCAATTATTAAAACACTTAAGACTAACAAATCACCAGGCCACGATCAAATTAGCAATAAAATTGTCAAAAATATCCCGGCCAAAACAATCATTCTACTCACCCATATTTACAATGCTACACTACGACTATCATACTTCCCTCAAACTTGGAAGTCAGCAATCATTATTCCAATCCTTAAACCCAATAAGCCTCTAGACAAAGCAGACTCATACAGGCCTATCAGACTTTTACCAGTGCTTGGAAAAAATCCTGTAAAAACTACTCCTTAAATGACTATTCTCAATTTCTCACGAAAAAAATGCGTTATCTGAATTCCAATTTGGTTTTCGCCCAAATCACGCTACTTTTCACCAACTACATCGAGTTGTTTATCTAATTGCGACCTTCCTCGAAACGAAGAAATATTGTTCTGCAGTATTCCTCGATGTTGCCAAAGCATTCGACTCGGTCTGGCACACCGGCCTGCAGTACAAAATCAAAAAAAATCTTTCCTGCGCCATACTATTTCATTCTTAAATCCTATATAGAAAATAGGTCCTACAATGTCAAAATCGATTTTACTCTCTCCGGCTCTCACGATATACTTGCCGGCGTCCCGCAAGGAAGTGACATTGCCCCATTCTCGACATCCTATTTACAGCGGACATTCCTTCCTCCGAAAACACTCTCATTGGTACGTATGCTGACGATACTGCCATTCTAGCTTCAGACCATGATCCACTTATCTGCAGTCACCTTCTCCAAAACCATCTAAACAAGCTTTCAAAATGGTGCAACACATGGAAAATTAAAGTAAATGAACTCAAGTCCACACACGTCACTTTTACCCTCAGACCAAAGGACTGTCCTGAAGTTTCTTTCAATAACTCAGTAACCCCCAACCAAGGGAAGCTAATTACCTTGGCCTCCTACTCGACAGGAGACTCACCTGGGGTCCCCATCTCAAAAGCAAAAGAAAACAACTTAACTCCCGCCTACATCTAATCAGACCTCTTCTCAAATCTAATATGAACTTATCCAACCGTCTTCTTTAATACAAAAGTCTCCTACAACCAATATGGTCTTACGGTATAGCTCTCTGGAGCACTGCCAAACCCTCAAACCTCAGGACAATTCAAGCGCTCCAATCCATCTGCCTCCACATAGTCACTAAAGCCCCATGGTACGTCACAAACGCCGCTCTACACGAAGACCTCAATGTCCCATTTATCAACCAGACTGCAGCCAATTTCTATTCAAGACTTCACTTCAAAATGCAAAGCCACCCAAACCAACTTATATCTCAACTTCACTCTAATACACTTCCAGGTAACCCTACCCGACGCCTTAATCGGAAATGGTCCAGAGATCTTCTCAACATCCAAAATTAATTTATTATACATGTAAAGGTAGCTCTACTGTGAGCTTCCCTTTTCACCATCCCATCACCGTCATTCCTCTAACAAATTTACTTATTGTACATATAATAGTATAGATTGTAAATATTTAATAAACGAAAAAAAAATCCAACTTATTATCAATGCAATAATTATTAAATTATTATTATTAATTATTATTATTATAGTCCTTAATTATTAAGGACTTTATAGTCCCCCCCCTCCCAAAATAGGCAATTTGCACCTATGTTACCGGCTGATAATTGGATAATTACGTGATAATTCAAATAGCAAATGTAGTAAATATATTTAGTGATAGTATGATTAAAGACATACACCAAATTAAGATACATATTTTAATAATGATTTATGAGCAAATATGACAGTAATATTATATCCCATTAAGTATTTGTAAATTGTTATACACGCTACTGAGATAGGAAAGAGGAAATATTTACACCAGTAAATCGTAAAAGATATCATATAACCGTAATTTAAAAGCTACATGGGATCAATGGCGGCGCGAAATATTTTACTTCATGAGTCCTGTTAGGATTTTGCCCACCCACCCACCTAAAAAGAAATTTAAGGGTAGCTTGTAAAACGAACTCCCCCACTATTCGTTCTACATGCCACATACCCACTTGATACCCAATGGTCAATATCCACCCACTGACTTGAGTCCAGGGACTCAAAAATCTGCCGTCACGCTGCCACTGCATGGGATATGTGGATTGACCAGTGGCGAAGCACGAGTATTTAAGTTAGGGAGACATTAAAATAATACATTAGAGCTACCTCCCCCCCCATTTATGATAAAAGGGACACGGTCTTTTATTTTTTATTTCATATTCTTTTTTCGTATGAGTAGTTTACTATTCCATCATTCAACATTTCATTAATTAAATCATTAGGCATAGTGGCGAATGACAATAGTACAATATTTTTAATAATTAGATACGAGAATATCACACCAGAAATAAATAAATCGTAAAATAAAAACCAACCAATAATTATGATAAAAAAATTGCGTTGAACGATAACGCATCAACGCGAAAAGCAATGACGATTACGATAGTGTATATTAAAATGAAATAATAATTACAAACGCGAGACATGTCTCATAGCGCAATGATAATCCCCACTCAATAACCTATTTCCCCTGCGCACCGTGCCTTGAAAAACGAGACACTGCAACGCGTCGTATCATAATATTAATTTTTATATCTGTATTTGGATGTTTATAGAATTAACCACTACGCCACAACCGACGACAGTTCGCGTGCACGGTCCGCCACTAATGTATTTTAAGAATACTAATACGGTATAGCACAAAAGTAAAACTATGATAAATACTGAAGTATATATTATATAAAAATAAATAAATTATAATAAAACCAAATTATGTATCCGTATTAAAAGTGGGTAGACATTGTCTCATTGTCTCCTATGATGCTTCGCCACTGGGATTGACACATAATTATTGACAGTACAAAATTACTAGCTCATAATTTCATTTCAGGTAGATATAAATTTTAGTTTTTAACGATTCTTCGACGAGCCTGAACCCTGAGGAACCGTATCAACAAGTCGTCTGGAAGATGTTCTCATTTAAAAGTCGGCCATGCCGTCTGACGGCGATATCGCGATCAGTCGGCAGATGATCGGGGACATGAATAACAATTAACACTATCGCTGCCGTTACGCGACAAAACGGTGGCGGACGCGTCGAATGTGACAAAGAAGCCTGCTACGACGTACTGTGCTTTTTACGGTGAACAATCCTCGGCGTCTTCGTCTGCACTGCAGTCAAGGTTTCTCACCCTCTTACGCGGTGGCTATTCGAATGTAGTACTGTGGATAGGCACCAGTAAGCGAGGCGGTACCGTTCCTACGCGTCGCCGTACCAGGTATAAACGAAAACGACTCGTGGCTGCCGTGCGTCGACGACGAGACGGTTCGAGGCGCGAACGGACATCGTGACTGTACGGCAAGAGGAAACTCGATAAACACCCGACGCGAAAACTCGACAAACGTTTCTGTCCCGGAATTACATCAAAACAATAATAATGGTGTGAATATTGATGATGAAATTAGAAATAATTTAATGACGTGTACGCAACAACTACAGCGTCGAGAACATGGGGAATTTAGAAACAATTATTAATTAATAACGTGCAATTACAATATTGTGGTTCGTCAGTTCCAATGGTATTGCTGGGTTTACGTCACATAGTTTAATCGCGTTCGGCCCGGACAAGCGAATATTCTTACATTATTTATTTTCGGTATTGTAGCGATAAGCCGATATGGCGATATCAAGAGTTCGCGCAGTGCGTGCACCGGACCGGGGCTACCCAGTGTGCTAGTCGGCAGCCGCAATCGCAAGCCCGCTTTATTACAACTTGCTCATTGCGGTCGTCACTAATCCGTTCCATTATCACTCGGCCCGTGTTCACGGCAGCCTGCAACCCTGTGCAATCATCTACGATATATGTTGTAGTACACTATTATGCGCTGTTAATTTTATTTCATTTTTTTCAATTGTATTTCGCGTCTGTGCGATTAACAGCAGCAGCCACCATTATCACGCGACCCGCTGTTCGGCCTTTCTTTTTTTCTTTTTTTTTTTGCTTCAAAACGTAAATATTAAATATCTCCTGTCCGCCGCTCCTAACTAGTCGACTAACGACACGTCTCCATCTGTCAGCAGCCCTCGTCGACAACGACGATCACACGGTAAGTAGTGAAAGTGTGATTGTATGTGTGCGCGCGCGCACCCGCGTTTGTCTGTATTCCAGTGTGCGTGCGTGCATGTGTGTTTGTGTGTATGCCGCTCGTATCCAGGTAAGTCCGTTGTTACTACGACGACGGGCTGTCGGGGACGGTTGTTTTAAATACACGCTTTCTGCGGGGTCGTGCGTTATTGTTTCAGATAGAGAATAGTGGAGGCTATGAACAAAGACACAAACCGTCGGATATTGGCGATACAGGCGAAGAAGAAGCGTCGCAAACTGCCCAAGAAGCCGCATGAGGATCGAAAGAATGCAGTACCCATCGTTTCCAACAAGACGCCAGACAAATCTAACAAGTCCCATGTTAACCCACGAGACAGCGATTCGTCATCTAATGAGTCCGATGAAGGCACTGACGAAATGTACGCGTCGGATGAAGAGGAACAAGAAGAGTCTAGTGATTATTGCAAGGGCGGCTATCATCCTGTACAAATAGGAGACGTATTTCTGAATAGGTAAGATATTCTCTTGATTTTTATACTAAATCTGTAATTGCTTTACATTTTTTAAATTCATCATTGTTTCAGTTAAATCATTTGATTATGTTGAATTTCATATATTTTAAACATATTCTTTGTATGTTTAATTTGGATTTTTCAATTTATATTTTTTTTAAGAATAAGTTAAGCTTAAACATATAGGTCATAACAATATTAAATGAAGCTATATGTTAAGAGTCTATTAACTAATAAAATTCAAATACTTTAATAACAATATAATAATATTGATTAAACGCAGATTAACCATAACTGTTTTATCACAACCAACTAGAAATTATAAACTGTAATAATTATTCAGAGCAATCATAAGTATATTTTTATTTACTTCTTGGCTTACAATAACTTTGGTAATTTGTATTATTAGAAAATAATTTTGTTCCTATTAATGAACTATAAACATTTTGGTGAAGTAAAATCTAAAATGTAGAACTTATTATCCACCCCCTTTTCTGATGACCAACTTAAAAATGTATTATTAATCTATACACATTTCTTGAATACCCTCCAATTTCTCCAAATTTTAGTTATAAACCGTTATTTCACTTGATGTATGAGTTCGGCACCACTGGTATTGAATACTAGAAATCAAATCTATATACCATAACAATGTTTATAATTAGTTTGCTTTGTAATTAAAAAAAAAAATTTTCCTTAAACTATGCATATGATTTTAGAACCATAAATATTTTGGTCGGAAATTTATTATTCTCACTAATGTAAAAATGTAAAAATAAAAAACTTATGAATTTATGTTTAAGTAAGTAAATACAAAAGTATAATGTTTTGAATTCAAGTACTACTTATATTAATCATATTTATAAGTAGGGCTTGGATGATTATGTATTTAATGTACCTGTATTATGTGTGCATTTATGTACTTAAAAATTACTAAATATGCGCATAAAAAAATAAAAACTATGCAGTGTCAAATGTATTTTATTTTTATATTTTATATATTTTTTTAATTTGATCAAACTTGAATTTAATAATATTTGGGTCATTAATTTATCATTTATCTACTTGTTAATTTAAATTTTTTAAAAAAAAAAATTCAAAAATGTGCTGAAATATGCATTTATATTCTTAAAGCTCAAAAATATGTATTCAAAATAACTGTAAAATATGCAAAATAAAAATAGTATTTTTTGATAATGTAAAATATGAAACACATTTTATCCAGATCCATATTTAATTGAATCAATAGGAAAAAATATGCAATAACATAAACATCTGAGTCTTAATTATAGGATATATATTTATTAATCGGTAGTAATTATTCACTTCATATGCATGGTCAAAGGTTAAATATTTTTAAAAATATATTATTTTTACTATTAAAACAATTTTTTTTTTAAGGTATCATGTGTTAAGAAAACTTGGATGGGGTCATTTTTCAACTGTTTGGCTGTGTTGGGATTTTACAGACAAACGCTATGTTGCTCTTAAGGTTGTTAAAAGTGCATCTCATTTTACTGAAACTGCGTTAGATGAAATAAAACTTTTAAAAAGTGTTCGTGATTCTGATACTAGTGATAAAAAGCGAGAAAGAGTAGTCATGTTATTGAATGATTTTAAAATTAGTGGAGTTAATGGTAATCATATTTGCATGGTATTTGAAGTACTGGGTCATAATTTATTAAAGTTGATTATTAAAAGTGATTATTCAGGCATACCAATACAAAATGTAAAATGTATTATTCGGCAAGTGCTTGAGGGCTTAGATTATTTACATACTAAATGTAACATAATTCATACCGACATTAAGCCTGAGAATGTTTTATTATGTGTGGATGAAAAATATATAAAAAATTTAGCTAAAGAAGCAGCTGAGATTCATCAGACTGGACAAAAATTACCTATATCATTTAGCAGTACTGCACCGAAAAGCAATCTCAATAAACCTATTTTGACTAAGAATCAGAAGAAAAAAATGAAAAAGAAAGTCAAAAGACAATCTGAACTCCTCAAAGTTCATATGCAACAATTAGAAGAACTTGAATCAAAGAAAAATAATGAATCTAGTGGTGAAAATAAAGGTATTTATCAAATTTAGATTTTAATACCTATATATTATTATTATAATTGTTTAAAGTATAACAGGTGTTATACTAATGTTATGTATTATAACTAATCTTAGTATGTCATTTAAATTTAAAATTAAACTGTGTTAATTTTTATAATATACAGTAGAACCCGTTTAAGACGATTTCCCGGCTAATACACTCATTCTTACAACTCCCTTGATTTTGACAACATCATTTTGTTTCTGCGTAATACGATTTCCCGCTTAAGACGCTATTTTTAACTGGTTCTTTGGAGAGCGTCTTAAATGGGTTCTACTGTATTATGGTTATCTTAATATAGTTTTACTTTTATTCAGTGGTCTATATCAATATTCATAAAATTACAACTTCAATTATACGAGTAATATATTTTGTAATTTGTTTTAATTTTTTTTTTTTTTACTTTTGACAAAAAATTATTAATATTAATTTTGATATAATATTATTATTAATTTTGTTTTCAGATGATATAAAATCTATAGAGTCAATAGCAGTAGATGCAAATACTAGTGAATCTATATCTAATGGATACAGTAGTGATAGTACTAATCCAAATGTGGTTAACTCCCCTTCATTTGAATCTAATGCTGAAAATGACCAAAATTCAGATGAAACTAATATAATACATCAGAATGGAACTGGAGAATCAAGTAAAAATAATAAACCATTATCTAAAAAACGATCGTTCAGAAGTAAATCCCGTGAAGAATCTTCAGAAGACCCAGCATTTAATGTATGCGATATCAATGTTAAAGTAGCTGATCTTGGTAATGCTTGTTGGATAGATCGTCATTTTACCGAAGACATTCAAACTAGACAGTACCGTTCACTTGAAGTGTTAATTGGTGCTGGATATGGTACATCATCTGATATATGGAGTGTTGCATGTATGGCATTTGAACTGGCAACTGGTGATTATCTGTTTGAACCACACTCAGGTGAAGCTTACTCCAGAGATGAAGATCATATTGCTCATATTATTGAATTGTTGGGTAAGATTCCAAAAAAAGTTATTGATGAAGGAAAACAATCGCCACAATTTTTCAATAAACGTGCAGAATTGCGTAATATAAGTAGTTTGAAACCATGGTTTTTGTTGGATGTACTAAGAGAAAAATACAAATGGCCCGAACCTGAAGCCCAGGCATTCACATGTTTTCTACTCCCAATGTTAGAGTTTGATCAAAATGCCAGAGCCACGGCTGCTCAATGTTTGCAGCATGAATGGTTGAAATGTTGATACAATATCTTTGCTGATAACGTGTATGCATTTGGTAAGATTGGAGATATATTTTTTATTCTGTAATACATATTATATTTTGTTTGTATTTTATAATAAAGTCACAGAAAAATATGGATTTGATATTGTGTAAATAAACATTAATTGTATTTATAAATATATTTAGGTTAATAATAAATATAATAAAATAGTCGTTTCAAATACAATTTATGCTAGATATTTTTAGTTATATTGAATGTTTGAACAATTTATTTGTATTCTAAAAACAGATTTTATAAAGAATTTTTTAAAACAAATGATTCCAATAATTTATTAAACAGTTATGTCATCAATGAATGTAAATTACTGAATATTATGTTTATTATTTTCTTTGATTCATCAAAACATTGCTTTAAATTAATTGGTTAGCATAACTAGGTTTTACAAGGTATTGAAATTTCACTTGTTTTAATGAAGCTTATCACCTATAGCATCATTTTATTTTTTTACAACGAATAATCATTTTGATGTTATTCCAAAATTAATTTATTTTTTACCTTGAACTCCTCAATGGGTTTTTTTTATTTTTGTTCCTATTCACTCCAATTTAGTCAAAATAATATACTCAAACTACTTAATTTCACATAATGCAGAGTTCCCATGCACTATTTTTTTATGGGAATAAGTTGTTTTGTGTTTAAATGGTTTTAAAACATAATGTACACCAATATATTATAAATATTTTATTTTTATTATATTATAACACATAATTATTGTATTTATTTTCTTTTTTCACAATATCATTTGTAACAATTCTTATTTTTTAATTTATATCCATATCCATAATCCTTATTTATGATATCTAATTCATATTATTTATCATTTAAATATCATTATTTGTATTGATTTGTAACTATCAGTAATTACAAAAAGTAAAAAGTTATAGGTCTATTTTGTATAATTTAATCATAATTACCTTTTATTTTTATTGTTATATCGTTAATTTTTGTGACTAGCATTGCAATTGGAGTATGTGGATAATAAATAGTTGCATGTTCTTCAATGAAACCAATTGTGCATTGCTTTTGTTTCTTAAAATTGTAAAACATATCTACTAATCAATTATTATCGGTTTTGGGTCCAATTAATTAACAGTAATTTCTTAAAAATGATTTTTTAATGATTAAATGGTACGTAATTTTATTTATTTTTAAAGAATTATACAATAAAACTATTTAAATAATTTTCATTTAATATACATATTTCTGCTATGATTTCTCTTTTATTTTGTCTTCAAATCGGTATGTTATTTTAATTTAATTAATTCTTCAATTTTACTTTCAAATATATTAGCTGTTTGTTTTAGTATTTTATCCATTCACTTGTTATTTATTTAATTAGCTGTTATATAATTTTTCCGAGTTAGCATTTACATGCAACAATTTTAACTTACATTATTTTACTAACAAATTATGATATGACTTTAAAATATTAAGAGAACGCCACACATAAAGTGAAACATACAACGGCCGATAGAAGGAGCTGTTAAGTGTTTTCGCGATTCGCAAGCAGACGACGTTATAACCACGCCCACTATTCGCAGGCGGCGACCATCTGAAAATTGTGCTTATTCGGGAGTGATGTTTATTATAGTCTGTACGTTTGTCTACCACAAATCGCGTAAAAATAACATTTGTATACGTTATTGCTGCTATAATAATTTATAATATGCGCGCGTTTCTATGCAATTTGTATTTATTGCAATATTAGATACTCTTAATAAAAAATATACATAATATAGTAAATAATACTTCTATATTGTTTATTAGATCCTGTCTAGTATTTAAGTTATTTAATGTCTTAATGCTATTATACCTACGATTTACCCACTCCAACACGTTGGCTCTATCAAATCTACCCTCTCTCACCAGTCATCATTCCAGATAATTCTTCCTGAGGGTTAAAGCGTAATTGGATCACGGAATCTCCTAAATGCATAGTTTCGGTCTAAAATACTAAAAAAAAAAAAAATAATAAAAAAAAATCTAAAACCAATCTAAAATCTAAAAAAAATAAATCAAGCTGGAGCAGCGTCACTGGACCACTGGATTCAAGCCGTCAAGCCCTTTTAAAATATATGTATTACTTGTATTTTTGTTATATACAGATTGTAAATAAAAATTAAAAAAAAAATTATTTAATTTTTAAAGAATAATGTTTTGTTTTTCTTTTTTTCTTCCTGTGCTTTTATTATATATGGAGTGGTTCTCGTCATAGGCGCAATTAGAGGGGGGGGCTTAGCTCTCATAAATATTCCATGTTATACATGGCATACTGCATACAGCATACTTAACCCACAATAGTGTCATATACAAAAAAGACACATGCAGTAAATGCAAATTGGCTCAGAATTTAAATTATATTAACATGGTGTATAAGAATAGGGGTGATATATAGGTTATTTTAAGTTTTGATAGGAGGGCTTTAGCCCCCCAGATTTTTTACCCTAGTTGCGCCTATGGTTTACGTATATCTGCTATTTGTAACCGCCTTCCGTACAATGGGTCAACTATTTCTGGCAAAATACATTCCAAATAAAACCTTAAATTATTACATAATATCGAAAATATTCCGTTTCGCGTGAAACGGTTTTTACGGACGAATTTATACATGTGTAGCGTCTTCTTAAATAATTCGAAAGTTTTTAATATTTGATCAATATACACTCATGTAAAAGTATTTCTAAGAACAATGTATTGATTAAATGTTGGAAGTCCTTATTTCAGAATAGAATTAGTGTTTACAATGTAACTACGTTTTTGCATTTTTTGAATTAATTTTTTTTACGTTTTTAGGGTTTCAATTAGAATAAACAGTTTAAAGTAAATGCAGTGACAAAAATCGATTATGTCACAAGTATAATTTTAGCATCGCCGTTAGTTTTGAAGGAAAACTAATATATTTATTTTATACCTTTATCTTCGGCACAAAATTTGATGTAAATTTTACAGCCCTTGTTAAAATGTTATTTTACAAAATAAATTAATTCGTAAGTCCTTAAATCACGAATGGTGTCAATAATGTTGAAAAAATGTAAACGTGTCATCCAGTGGTGGTCAAACGGGGGGGGATAGATCCCCCCATGACCTTTTTTTAAATATTTATAATTCATCCATATTATACATAATATAATATAGGTATTATATATATCTTCTATTTAAAAAAATAAATATACTGTACTTATTAGTTATTATACAGTCTCTAGGTTCGAATAAAATTTACAGTTCAAACATAAAACACTAAAATATTAATTGAAACAAATTCTTTACATTTTTTTCATTTCCTTTATAGTTAAATTATAAGAATGTATGAAATTTAAATTTAGTATTTAATGCTTAACATAATATATTATATAATTATATGAATTGTGTAATTATATTATTTTAGAGTCGTCTCAATGGTTTAACCACTATGGTTGTTCATCGTGAGGTTGTCAATATAACTGTAGACGAAGTACTAGACGAATTGGCAAAAAAAAAACCAGAAAAATAGATTTAATAATATAAATATCATTAATATAATATAATTTCCATGTTTAAAAATAAAGATTTTTATATATAGTGTTTGTTAAAAAATTAGCTACATCCCCCCCCATGACAAAATCATTTGACCGCCACTGGTGTCATCCGGCTTCGTTAGGGTTAAAACATGGGCGGAATCAAGGCTCTACAGATCAAAGAGAATCGAATTGACACAGTCGTTTATATTTGATATTTGTATTTCATTATATTTGTTTTATTTTAATTTGACATCATTCTAAGATGTCTAAACATTCTATTATGGTAAGATATTTTCAAAATTTAATTTTTAGTATACTTAAGTGATTGGACAGAAAATATTCTAATATCTAATATTTATGTTCCTATATTCAGTGGCGTACATACGGTGGTGGTGGGGGGGGGGGTTTCCCCGAGTTCAAACCCCCAGGGCAAAAAAAAAAATAAAATTGTTTTATTATTGATGACGTGTAATATATTCGCAGTTTCATTATTACGCTTTGAACTTAAAATATACAACTATACAAATATTATGATAATTAAATAATTATATTGATAGGTATTTGAAAAGTTTTGTTAACTATGCTGTTTTTATATTCCAATAGCTATTAATTTACTGTATTGTAAAAGTAAACTGTAAATTGGTAAAAAAGTTGTATAAAATAATATCTATTTATAGCAGTTATTTATCTTATTTATCTGTGCAATGAAAAAAAAAGATAACGATTATTTTAGTTAACCCCCCCCTCCCCTATAGTAAGATTGAATGTACGCCACTGTACCTATGTTTCGAATAATGTAGGTAATCGGGGCATTATATTCATTGTCGGCTTATATCGGGCATTTTGTAAAATACCAGATTTCCTATATTGCTCTAAAATATATAGGTATTATATTATAGTCGGTCTATTAGCTATTATACATGTATAAGCCATGTATACATGTATATATACGGTGGATTAGATAAGCACTAGTATAAGAACAAAATAAAAATGTAAAATTTTAAAAATTATATTAAGTATATCAGAATGTTTCGGCTATGGGTTGTCGGCTATACGGTGCTGTCGACCACATGTACTGTCGGCCCTTTGGCTGTCCACCCGATATACTGTCAACCCGATGGTTAAACACCGACAATTGTCGGCCCATCTACCCTTTCCCGGCCATATATATTAGGGCTGGCACAGTTATATGACAGTTGAATAAACGGTGGGAAGAGGTTGACAGGGGTTGGATTGCCTTGAATGTTCTTTTTTGGACTCCGTATCGGGTAAAAATGATTCACTAATGTTATCGACAAACTTAAATTGTAATTTGTAAATTTTAAATACATTATGTTTTAGACATTTTAGTTTAGTACAAACAAGTTAAAAATGTTAATATATAACAAAATATTTAATTACCTGTTGGTTGATATCGAATTTGTAACATCAAGTAATTCAGGAAAAACTTATTATAAACCTATTATAAAATATAAATACTATAAATAACATTTTATTGTGCTCCATTCAACAATTTTACATTAAAAAAAAAAATTATATGTACATTTTTTTTTTGCTCATCAATTTAACTTTTTTTATTG